TGTTGTCGTTGCCAGCGTGTATGGTTTACTCTTCATACGTTTGCTCTTCATAGTACACATACTGATAGATATTCATATATATATATTTGGTTTTTATTGTCTTCGAGAGGATTAATAAACGGTGGGTGTCCATTTATGTGTGTATGCGTATAGGAGTATAGGACATAGATAATATGCACTATTCATAACTCGTATCAATGGTATTTAGGTACCTGAATATTTTCAAAGTATTTATTGGCCTTACAGCTCAGCTGTGGCGGTCATTCGATTTCTGTGTCAAATATGGCAGTACAGTAGTTCGTTCACACCGAGTAAAAGTTTTATTTGTCGAAGGTACACGGTGTTTTCGAAAATGTAAAATAAATATCATGATTATACATATGATGTGTTATAAATAGGATAGGTCCTCGACACAGGGTTGTGTCTGTTTTTTCAGTAGGTATTTTCGATAGGCACTTAAGTGTTTCTATTTATTTTTGGTGAAACTCTACGACCGAATAATTAAAAAAAACACCGGTAGGAAAAAAATGTCCGCAACAACCGAACGATTATACTGGTTTCCACGGCCTCGAGCACTGAAAGTCTACAAATAATATTATTATAAACATATTACCGATACAGACCCAACTCGGGGAATCTCTTGCACGCAGAACTGCTCCGGGTAAATGTTTACACACATGGATTTGTAACCATTCCAATCGATGTGGTAATGACCTCTCCTCGAGAATAATAATAGAATATATTATTTTGTTGGCAACCCAAACGGTCATTATGTGCTCAAATATTTGTGTTATTATTGTTTTATTAATTAGTATTTGAGTCAACGCACGCAGGTGTGTAAAGGTACGGTAAATGATATATGGTAGAAATCATAATAATTTATTAATACTGAAATCTTATATTGCATTTCATATATCTATACATAATGATAATACATGTATTTATATGACAACAATGCAGGCGATTACCGCCGAGGAATTCCAAAGCGCCTACAAATCCGCTTACCGCTATAAACATATACATAATATGCCTACTATAAACGTGCGATCATGTGGCTTAATAATGAAATGTATATAAATTGCCAGCCAATCCTCACGTCGCGTCGGCTGTTTATTGTATTATAAAATATTTTGCACTATAATTATTACAAGTGTATACAATATATTGTACAATGCATTGCTCTTGTCGACCAATTATACAGCTCAGCGAATAAATTAAGTATTTTACCAGTGCAAAAAAAAAAATGTTACAGTCTTCTTAAAGATTAACGGCTAAAATGATAAAACATGGAACATGCTTCTTAGTCTGATTTAATTTGCCCATGAAATGCTCTGACGGAAGAAGGACATGGAAGGTAGCTTACTGTTCCCCTCTAATGAAGTTCTGGATCAGAAAACCTGCAACAGGCAATGTTTAGGCCTCTATAAGACATTCATGAGAAATTTTTCATTTTGCAAAAGAATCCGTAGGATTACAGTGCTATCACTTATTAGGAAAACTACAGTTTGAAGATACCATAAAATAACTTTCTTAAGAAATAAGAACCTGAATTTCATCCGACTCGGAATCATCAAGCTATTTCTGCTTTATTTTATTTTACTTTTTTTTGGTGATTTAGCAGTACGCTCATTGGAAGCGCTTTGATAAAATGCTTTATCTTTTTCATTTGTTTTATGATCATAATTAATTACATTTCTGAAATGTTGACATCTGGTTGATTCTACTGAAATTGCTCTTAGTTTTCGATATCTCACCTAATGAAAAAAATTATAGTATAACTAAAGTATAGTATAACTAGAAGAAACAGTTCTATAGTTATAGTGGTATAATTTAAAAAAAATAATTAAGTGACTAAAATTACAATTTTTCTTAGCATCAGTGTTGAACAACTATAGAAAGGTTTACAACTCGTTTAACGTCCCTCTTGTTGAAATATTTATGTATACTAGATGATAAAATAGGTACTAGATTAAAGACTCCAGGTAATTTTAAAAACTTTTAATTTTTGTACTATTACTAAAATTGTTTTACCTACATTTGATTATTTACAATTGATACAACTGTTCAAAATAATTTACATTTTTATACGTTCCCGATTAATTAAAAGTAAGCGTTAAGCTGAAGTATCCTAAAATATATTATAGTTGGGGTACTGTCCACCGAGCTAAGTAATGACTGTACCAAATCTTAAGGTATTGTCTTAAGGTCCTGTAGTCGCAGTACACACTGTATTTCATTATGATACTGTTATATAGGTCAGGTGTAAATTATACAATATAACAGTGCATTTCCGCATAATTTATGTTGCAACGCAGGTTCTTTTGTACTACAAACATGGACGCCCATTGGTGGGCGAAGCAAAAAACATGCTCAACCTTGGGAATTGCATAGGAATAATCACAAATTATACCATTCTGAATCGATTTTTGTATAATGTTTGGCTTATCGCATTTTGCCAAACCGAACCAAATGCAACTAAAATTGCGGTCGAAACAGTAGCGGTCCAAAAAATACACACATTTTTTTGGAAATTAAAAGTGTATTTTATAAATATTAAATTTGTTTTATCTATTATGAATAAAAACTAAAGTCCAAGCGACCAAGGCGCTGTTATTAAGTTCAATATTTTTCAAAGTGTTTCTTTGAAAGTGATTTTTTAGAAAATGTTTCTATTACTGGCCAACTCCACCTTAATTTTAACAATTCATTATTTAGCGTAATATTAGTTTTTAATTTTCTCATTCTCTTTAATTGTTTTGTTTTTTTCATAAAATACAAATTAATGCGTTCACAATGCCTCTACACATCAAACGAATGGTAACATCGACTTTTATTACTTAGATCACTTTGCAATTTCCTTATAATAGCGTTAAGGAGATTTCGAACCGGTGTCTTGCACATTGCATGTCAAACGATTATTATTATGATTATTACTGCAAGTGAAACGCGTTAGGATTCCGTTTAATTACAGCATTACACCATCACTAGTGAACAATGGGTTCAACGCCTTTCTAAGATTTTTTTTTTAATAACCGACCGTTTATACATAGCAGCACCCGTGTTTATTTTATTATACCCGTTATTGTAGACAATTAACTATTTGCTATATACCTACTATAATTTCTTATTGTGGAACCAACGTAGCTAAGGCGATTGTTGTAGACGCTATTATAAAGAATATATGAACAATTTGCTTGAGTTTTGATTGGTCTTTGAAACGTTGCGAATTTGTTTTAAGTACTTATAATATTTAAATTGCACAATTGGCCATGTGATAAAAACACAGGTTTACGCAGAACGATGACTATTTTTGTATTTTTTTACTTGTGGCTTTACTGGCGGTGTGGAAATTATTATTGGCGTTTAAATGATGATGGAAGGGGCTTTTACGGTTATAACGATAAAATATAGTAAGCAGCAAGATTTATTTTTAATTTTTTAATAGAGACAATAGTTGGATTATTAGAGGATGTAATTATTATTATTATTTTTTTCATTCTCTTTTGAAATTAATAATTATTAAGTGTCATAACTCATAATATTGCCGTTGAAAGTTAACTTTCGATGGCTTCTACTCAAATTAATCAGCCAAAATAAAATAAAATTATCGTTATGTCTTCGGTTACATAAAACATTTCTTTGTAAAAATGTATACCTTTTTAATTTTGTAAAAAAAAAATACTTTAATTTAGTTTAACTAATTAATAAAGATTAATTAACCTGAATCCTGATACACTAAACCGAGTTTTTATTGACTTAATAAATAATCGCTACAAAATTGAACTTTAATGTTAAAATTGCTCAGTTCCTCAAAGAAGTGCTTTAGTCATTACCCAAGATAAGTTTTTGTAAAATATTAATAGCTGAAAACCTGCGTTTTAAGATTTGAAACCAAGTATTCTCAATATGGTTTTATTTTTGCTATGATTTTGAGAATAATAGCTGATAATAATTAGGTTTTATTAAAAAAATTGTTTTGATATGTTTTTGTTCAATACTAGCTGAAAACTTGAGTTTTAAGATTTGAAACCAAGTGTTATAGGCTATTTGTCCAATTTTCAAAAGTGCAAATAGTGCATCCTAAAAAGCGATATGATGAAAACTTATCCTAGAATAAACTAGAGGTTTTGTGAAATAACACCATTGTAAAACTAATACTTAAATTGCAATATGTTTTGTTTGAATTTCTAAGAAAGACCTTGTGTTGTTAGGTTTAAAATCGGAAAAATTTTAAGCGGCGATGCTCACCTATGGCTCATCCTCCAATTAACACCTATGCTTATCACAGACATCTTGTTGGTTTTAGTTTGTTATAACTTTCAGGAAATGAACTATTTACTTGATAATTTTCGGATCTCTCAATGCGTTGTCATTGGCTAGCTGACGTTTCGAACCCATTGCAGGGTCCATCTTTAGAGACACCGTTCTACCATCAAGACTATACTTAGTGAATCGCTTGTCTCATACTGGTATTTATATGTCAGTAAAAATAAAACTTGTTTTTTTTTTAATATGTGTACCAAATGCACATTGTTTTTATCCTGTAAAAACATTCATGCGTCACCTATATTTTTGGCGTTTGGTCGTCGCTCACACGGATTTGACCGTCATCTTTGGGCGCTGCATGAGTATGAATTTCGATTTCCCGTTACAGCGCTATCGCATTAATCATTATTCAGTCACACGTGCGGTTTATGTGATTCATCGACTTGCAAGTTGTATTTCTTAACGTCGCGTCGCATTCAAAGTTAAGACTGTACGACGGTTTCGCCGAGACGTTCACAAACACACGCATAGACAATAACAAAATATTATAATGTCATTTGTTGCACCGCCGGAGTGAGTGTAGTGCACAGACACAGAACTAACGCTCGCACCTTATAACGCCCATAGCAGCTCGCCCATCATTGTCTCTGCTTGTGATGTTCGATTGTGTATATACTAGTATAATAATAATCGTATGTGTTTTTAACGCTGGTGTGGTTTTTGTTTTTGTCTAGGGTTAGATGTTGCCACGACTCGCTATTGTAAGAGATGCCTGGATTGAAAGATATGTCGATGCAACAGCAAGGAACGAATAGAAGGTACGTGGGCGACGTCACGGTAATTACAATATGCATGATAATATTATAGATGTACATATACATGAGATGATTCATTGTGAGCTTAGTGGCCTCTGATATTGATGAATCTGTTGAAAGTCATTCGCAGTGAATTACCGGACGTTGTGTTATGCTAGTACCTAATTGATTAATGTTTGCAGAGAGTTTAATGAAAAACCAATAATGCCTTACCACCGAAACAGCGTCAATTCAAATGGATACTCTACGGGTAAGTTGGGTTTTTTCGTTAAAAACTTAAAACTTTTCAATTCTTGTTCAACGATTTTCAAAAATTAAATCTCCAACATAAAAAAAAAATCAATCAAAATTATGTATTTATTCCGTTCTATGTTTTGTATCATTTATCAATAGAATTAACTAATCATTTAATATTTTATTGTTGTAATTAATATTGGTAACGATACTATTATATTTATTTTTAAACGGCCTCCACAAAGTTATAAAACACTTTTCAACAACAATAAGAAATTTTAAATTTGATTTTGTTATAAACTGTGGTCAGTTCTGTAAGGAAACAGAATATAAAAACTGATTTAAGTAAAACATACTAAAAATACCACAAAACCTCGATTTTTACAACTTTGGAGGCAATTTAAAAAAGCTGATAGTTGTTCTAGTAAAGATTCAAATTGAGCAAAAATAAAAACAAATTTAATAAAACAGATTTTTTTGGGGGTCTTGTTCCCAAATAATGTTGTATATAGTGAAATTTGTAAAATGTTAATAATGCTTTTGAGAAAAGTTTTTATTTTGAAAATTATTAAAGTAACTGGTAATCAAATAAAAGTCTTGCTAGAATTTAATTAAATCAAAAGGTAATTTTAAATTTGATTTCTGATTTATGCGCTATGTGTATGCAACAAAAGGTCCTTTTGTTGTCCAAAATGAAAAAACAAGTTTTTTCATTTTGGACATATTGAATCGGCTTTCTCTATATCATTAAAATCCATTTGCCTTTCTGTATTGTTGTCCGGAAACACATTGATTCCGTGCACTTCTTAATTTACTTAAGTCTTAATACATGTGTTTTTCATAATCTTCACATATTTTTCGAATATGACCACAAGTTTGATCCGTGTTGCCACTTTGAGCCCTTTTCAGAGACCTTCTTCTGGTCCATCAATAAAAAATATAACGCCCATGATCGAGAGAACCGATTTAACAAAATTTAAATTGTATTTTTTTCTCACCATTTGTTGGTCTAGTCCAGTTGGCTTAGTATATATTAACAAATACAATGGCGCTGAGTCTCATATTTTATGTGAATCAAAGTTTTAAGTATTAAACAACCATTGGCATTAAAACAATTTTCACTTTTGATGTAAAATGTGTGGGTTTTCTTATAATTTTCTATCTACTCCCAATTGTTGTATTGTCGCTTCAGTTCAAATATAGGTCCGGCGCATATGATTATCACATTGAATATCATATTTTGTTTTATTTCTCAGTACATTATAGTTGTACCTACTACCGAAATCCTTATGCCTGTAGTTGTATAGGCAATTTTCTAACGACCAATACTAATAGTTTTCGGTTTATTATTTAAGACGGGGGACAACAGAGTATCATCACGACCGAAGAGAGGAACGACAATGGTGGCGGTGGCGATGACAGCTCGGCACCCACCTATGTCATTGAGCACTTGGCCACGTTTACCGTATCAAAAAACACCGGTATCGTTTACCCGGCCGACGGCATGAGAAGACTGTTGCAGTTGGAAAAATCCAACGGCATTTGGTCGCAAAAGATGCAGCTGCGGCTCGACCAGTCTTGGGTGCTCATAATGGACTACGAGACGGGCGTAAGTACACGATTTCCAAAGAGTTTGCAAAAACCCCACTCGGGTTGGATTGTTTCTGCCAACTCTGATGTGTCTCCGTTCGAACGCAGGTGGTGATGGAGAGGTTTCCCATTTCGCTGGTGAAGGAGCCGACGGCGTTCACCAGCAACGATCCCATGGAAATCTACAACAACATTTTGGTGTTCGTCGTGGGTCAGGTAGACTCGCGATCGGAGATGCACATATTTCAAGTATGTACTTATACTTATCTAATTTTATAACACAGCGTACTATCCGCCGCGTACTTATCCGGTTTCGATTTGTTTCAGTGCCAAAGCATACCGGCCCAGGAGTTGGTTGAAGACCTCAAGTTGCTCAGGTCCGGCAAGGGGATCAGTCGAAAGACCAGACACATGCCGCCTGCTCCACCTTCGAATCCACCTCCTCTGAACGGCGTCAGCGTCCGCGAGCAAGTGTCCGTCTTCAACGCCGTCGCACATCGTAAGTACTTTCAACATAAATTCCCAAGACATTGGAGACTTCAATGGCTCCACGTTTGTTTCTAATATACGTGATCGACTAACGATTGTTGTCGTTTTCGTTTAGACACTGACAGTCCGGCTAGGGTGGACGATGAGACGAGTTCGACGTCTAGTGAGAAGTACGAGAGGGACGTGATCGTGCTCAACCATTGTTTTGACGACATAGAGAAGTTTATTGCCAGGTTACAGCACGCGGCAGCTGCTTCCCGCGAGCTAGAACGCAGACGAAGGTAAGGTTGGGTTGTGTTAGCTTGGATTAGTTCTTTCACGTCGAAAAAAAGATAAACTCAGTTGTACGAACGAATCTATTGCTCTAGTAACCATAGTGTTGGCCAATGGCTAGTTCATTGTCTAAATGAATGTACTAATTAGTCGACAAATACTAATTATCTGTTACACTTAACTTGCCGATACTAAATTTTACTAGTAACTATATAGTGATATTAGTAGCCTACCAAGCGAAGAAGAAAATTGAATTTGGTACGAACACATACGAAATTCATCCTAATGTCTAGCTGACATATTTAGCTATTAACTTAGTAAAAAATACAATAAGTGTAAAATGTGTTGATGTAAAACGATAAAAAAAATAAACTACCTATTGACGGCCGTTCTCACTGGTTTGGCTTATCATCTAGTTATACGCCTTTTTAGCTTCAAACATAGACATATTTCACTATGTTTTGACAGTAATTGGATTAAAACGTAATATGAAATGAATATTGTGTTTGTTATGCTGGAAAAGGAACCGAAAATCCAAAAAGAAGGACATCGGGGACGGAATGCTGACGATGCGAGCCAAGCCGCCTCCGGAAATCGAATTTGTCGATATTTTCCAAAAGTTCAAACTGTCTTTCAACCTTTTGGTGAGTGCTCGATAGAAGCATTGTAGTAATAATAATCGCAATTCAACCACCGGTCTATTAACCCGAGCTGTTGCTGTTTTTTTTTCCAAGGCCAAACTAAAAGCGCATATCCATGACCCGAACGCACCGGAACTAGTGCACTTCCTGTTTACGCCGCTGGCGCTGATCGTGGACGCCTCGCACGATACCCACTACAAGCCCAACATACCGTCCAGAGTAGTGGCGCCGTTACTCACCAGGGACGCCATCAATCTGCTGATGAATTGCGTGACCAGCAAAGAGACCGAACTCTGGCATTCGCTTGGCGACGCTTGGCTCATACCCAGGTACGGATTATATAGATAGGCCTCTTTTGCCATTTTGAGTACCTACCTATCTACCGACCGTTGTAATCTGCTATTACCGCGTTGGATTTTTGCGCAGAGAACAATGGAAAGGCTACGTGGCTCCGTATCATCCGATTTTCATGGACGGATGGTCGCCGGAGTACCCGATTCCGGTATCGTCGTCCGAAGCGCCGACAGCCGGTGGTCAGGCGGAACCGAAAAAGTCCAGGGACGAAATGAAAAACGCCCATCCAGAGGTATAACAGACTTACATTGGCCGCATACTACTCATAATTTAATACAAATTTAAACCAAAGTCCGAATTAACATTTAATTGTATTTACCTATGTTTCCGGTTATTGTTTAAGGGGGTTGCATGCGGTCTGTTTTTAACTAGTTTTGTATAGGCTGCAAATTTTTATGAAAAATATAGTTTAAAAAAACTAAAAAACACGCTTAAATAGTAAAATAAACTAAAAAGTAGAAAATAATTTTCAATATAGAAAATTATTCTTGTTATTGACGTTTACTCCCAAATACTTGAAGTCGTCCACTGCTTCAAATTTCCAATTGTCTACCAATAGGTCGTTTATATTTAGATTGGTCCTTGACATCACCATGTACTTAGTTTTATTTTCATTTACATATAAGCCCATTGACATGCTTGCCTTAAGTAGTCTCTCGGTTGTCTGGGCAACTTCCTCCCTAGTCTCTCCCATCACTACAATGTCATCGGCGTAAGCTAACATCACTGATTTGTATAAGCTTCAAGGTATAATTTTTAATTTAAACCAAAAACCCAGTCAAAATTTCGACTACATAGGATGGTCGAATTTCAATTCTGTGGAGAGATTTAAGTTTTTTGGATACTTTACTATGTTATGTAAGAAGCCGATTTTCATTTAAAATTTTCAGTTTCTTGTAATTAAATAAATTAAAATTCTGTTTCCTACATAACCTAATAAAGTTGCCAAAGAACTGGTATATTTTTATTGAATTAAAATTGGATCATTCTGAGTAGTCATAATTTTGTCTGGTTTTTTGGTCTAAAATGTAAAAAACAGATCGCATGCAATTCCCTTAGTTCAAATGATATAAATAAGTAATTTGTATTTATTAAATACAAGAGAGAAGGACAAATTAAAAAAATTGGATGATTTTCAGAGAAAAATTTATTTTTCATGTACTTTTCAAAAATAACATAAATATTTAAACCCAGTTTCTGGAATAAAAAATCTAAAGTAGCTAAAAACGACTATTACTAATTAAGAGACAACCAATAATTAAAAATTGGCCCACTTTATAGATACTAGGGATGTAATGGAATTAAAAAAAAAAAGTTTGATAGAATAGATTTTTTTTGTTTTTCAAACGAGTGGTAAAAATTAAAAATTAGACTATTGCAGAATGGGTTTCGCGTGTATAGTATAACAATAACTTTTTTTTTTTATCATGGACGCATCTATTACCTAGTTGTAATAAGGTTTAGCTGGGGCGCTTAAGTTAGTGCCGGTCTGGGTGTACTTTACTGTACTTGTGCTTATATCGTTTCTTGGGCAAACAGGGTGAGCTACGCGACGGTCCGTACCATCACAGGGACCGACCACACGGCGGTGGAGGAGGAGGAGGAGGCGGCATTGGGGACGACAGCAGCGACTATTTTGAATACGAACACGAGCAGACCGGACAAGGGATGATGCAAGGAATCAGACCGCATTACACTTACAACCCGGGCAATTATTCAGGACACCCCGAGCAGTTTAGCCCGGACGACAGGTAATTTATAAAAAAAGCCCCCCCCCCTTAACCGATAAAAAAAAGAGTGGAAAAAAAATACCTTTTTTTTTTAGTGCTCTGAAATAGTTTTTAAAATCTTCAAACAAGCTAAAAAGCTAAAAAGCCTCCCAGTATAACCAAATTGTAGCTGTTTTTTGTGAAATTCCATTTAGATACCTATCAAAAGTAAAATACTCCCCAAAGTTGGAAAAATATTTCCCTAATTTTTTTTCAATGTTCATTTCATCTCCTTAGTTTGCACGTCAAAATTTTAATTATTTAGAAAAATATACAATTTTACACAAGTTCCAAACTGAGCTTACTGCCTAGTGTCTACCCATATAATCTGATGCAAAACCAAATGTATAAACATTTCAACATTTGGAGCTGAATGATGGCCACACAACGACGCGTTTCATTTAAGGACGATCCTAATATAAAGTCGACACAATTTTTAGTTTATATGTTTGACCGGTGTGAAAAAACATTTTTTTTGGGATATTCGCTGGAACTGCTGTTGGTGCTAACCCGAGTTTGTCCGATGGATCTTAACTTTATACTTTGCATTGGTCGTTGTAGGGATGATTCGCACAGTCTTGAAGGTGAATCCGAACCGGATTTTAACACGCTGTCGTTGCACAGTCCGCCCAGAATTGACAAGGAACGCGGTGACGTGGCTGCCCGCAGTGATATTTCTGCGGATTCCATCGAGCGGAACATGGCAGCAGGCGGTCCGGGAAGCGAACGGTTCGAGAGGGCGCAAGCCAGGTGGCTGGAAGACATGAGAAACCGCGGCGTGAAGATAGTCCAAGTCACCTATCCGAGGACGGCCAACAACGACAAGGAGCTGTCGGTGGTCCGAGGAGAACTGTTAGAGGTAGGTCGTCTTGACGGTACAATGATGACGAGTTTAGTCCAAACCAAGGCCACAGTCGACTTGCTACCTTAACTGGCTAGGTAACAATGTTTCTGTCGTGGGACTGAGAAGTTTCCACTGTGGAGATATGTTGCACTCTCGAATGTGTATTCAGTATTGAACTAAACAGCCGACTTGAGGGCCGAAAATAACGCAATTAATACTATAGTTACTACTGGATTTGTGGCGAGAATGCTAAGATGGATGAGTGGAATGGCTAGGGAGAATAGAACAAGAAATGAATACATAAGGGGGAGTCTGGGAGTTGCATAAATTGAGGCAGATACAGTCAAAGGTGTTAAGTGGGAAGGAGAGCATGAGTTAGACTGAAGAAAAGATGAATAGACGGAATAGAAAGTGATATGAAGATAGCTGGAGTAATTGAACGAGATGTAGAAGATCGAGCTTTGTGGAGGTGTAGGACTAGGGTGGCCGACCCCATGTAGTTGGGAGTGCAAGGCCAATGTAAAGAAATAGAAGAAGACTGGAATTGTGGCGATAGTGTTTTATAAGACAATTATTATTTATTATTATTTATTTTCTACCACCCATGCAGATATTGGACGACAGCAGGAAGTGGTGGAAAGCCCGCAATAGCCGTTCGCAAGTGGCCCACGTGCCACATACCATTGTGACGCCGTTCAATCCCATGTTAGACTCCAACGACGTGTTTACCAATCCAGTGTACGCCAAAGGATACGACAAGAGGTCTCCGTCTCAGTCTCACGGTTACTCTATGCAAGTGCGTTTTACCTAACCGATTGTGTGTGTGTGTGCAAATAAATAGCACTATGGTCTTTTTTTAAATTAAAATTTCTTTTTAGGAATCCATAAAGAGCGAGTTTGTCGAGCAGAGCATGAGTCCAGACTCGTCCAGGGGAGCTTCGGTGCCGCCGCCCGTACCAGCCCCGGCCGATTGGGTGCGCAAAGAGAGGATAGGCAAAAAAGGAGAATTCCGATACTTCTAACGGCGTACGACAACCTAATAGAACTTACTTTATTTGCCCCGGTGACAATTATTATTATTATTATTATTATTATTATTATTATTATTATTATTATTATTATTAATGTAACCAAAAAGTATGTGCATCGAATAATAGTGAATTATTTATTCTCACTATCGATGGACACATTCGTCAGTATTTTATTTTTTTTATAACTGATTGACTTGTTTTTATACATAAATATATTTTTATTATTTTTTTAAACTTTGTTATAGAATATATATATATATATACATATTATTTTGTTTTGTGAATAAGCGTTAGATCTTTTATATTATTATATACTCATAAATAAATAAAACAATAGAATGTCACGTATCTCGTGTCGTAATATTACACTTTTTTTGCATACAACAGAGTAGTCGACTATTATTTTTGTGCTTAACTAGATTATAGGTTCGGATTATTTAAACATCTCAAGTAAAAAAAAATCTTAATCTTAATGTATAGTGAAATTAAGTTTTATTTCTTTTTAGTAAACGTACCAACTTATATTATGTATGAGGTATACTTGTAAAGATGTTCTTGAAAACATATTATTTTTGTATTAATATAATTTTTTTAATAAGATATTTTTTTGTAATATTTTAACAAGTTAATAAACGGTATTGTTTAGCTTACTACATTGGCATAGCATAATATACATATATTATGTCAATGGTTTATCACCATTAGGATATAAGTAGCAATAATTATTAATATATCTCAAAACAACTTCAACTACAAACCAAATTGTAATTACTTTATAATACTGGTATTGCTTAAAGACATTAAAAAAAAACATGACACCTTACATTTGTACTTGGATTTATGTTATAAATAATTGAAATAAAGTCATTAGATATTTTTTTATATATTATATACAACATAAACAAACATTTTTATTAATCGATTAAATATTGTGTTTTATTTTTCTTAACGTCCAACAAATTGGATGATTTTTACCCTTACCTGTTATTTTTATTAATTGCTGATTTATTCACAAATGTAACATTGGTAATTGCTAGTGATATTTGAGTACCTATCTCCTAATATACACGATATAATAGCAGTTGAGACTTGAGTGTTCAACTAAGATGATGCTGACAAGTAATATTGCTAGTTGTTATTTACTAATCAAAAATGTGTTAATGAAGATTGAAAACTGTACCTGAAATGTTCTTTATTATCTCAAAAATTTTAAAGTTTACCCCTCCCACTGAATACAATTTTAAACTCCCTAACTAGATTCGTTTAACTTAATGAAAACCAAATTTAATTTCTTCATAGTTAACCAATCACCCTGTAAAACTATTGGCTTTAGAGGAAAACAATTTATAGTGTAAACACAATGTCAGTAGAACACTGCTAGCAATCCAAATCATACACATACCAATTTACCAACAAAACTATAAAAATAATGAGTATTAATTTGTCACAACGGTTTTTGTAATCCCTTGTATCCCTTATATAAATATAAATAGAAAAGTTAGATAAAAAAAATAGAACAATTGTATAAACAATTTTTTTTTATGAATAATTATATAAATCTGATTGTAATATATAATTTAAAAGGTGACGATTGCTTCAAATTGAGGCCCAAGGGTTTCAGATAGATTCTTGTTAAATCGTTGTGACTGGTAATATAAACAATTTTGAGGTTTTGTATAACGCTGAGAGACACTTAAAATGGACAATAACTTACAATAAAGTTGATTTTTATTTACGATTATTATGTGAAAACACTCAAATTGGTATTATAAAAAAGTAATAATATTGACCATGGCCCGCCCACTCAGGGCTCACAACATCATGGGGTCTTTCCTGATCGAAAAAAAACAATTAAGATAATTCACAAGTTAAATTGTACCTTTATCCCACTTAGTGATTTGATAGTGTAATTAATTTTTAAATATTCTGTCGCGGATTATGCAAAACAATTATAAGCATATTATAAAGTTGAGATTTTGAAAATAGTTCTTACATAATTATTCAATTTTTAATACTTAGGAAATGTCATTAACGGCCGTCCATATTAGTTTAGGTAACATTTAAGTACAGTTAAGCCGATAATTTTAATACTGGTTAAGATCATACATATTTGGTTTATTATTCATTTTTTTGTCAAAATAGGTAGTTTTAATATTTTTAATTTATGAAAAAAAAAATTATTTTATTAGTCGTTTGTGTGTTACAATGTACGTGGCGGTTGCGGTGGCAACTACGGTGTGAATGATTATGTATTAGGTACTATTTATAACAATAATTCTATCGAAATTTAAATGAGAAATAATTTGTATAGATTATTATATCTATAATCTAATGTCTAAAACAAAAATTGTTTAAAGCATTGTAACAAAAAATAATCATGGACGTACAATTAAAATATTAATATTAGTATTTATTATTGACAAATAATATCAGTAAAATGGTAAAATCATTTATTTTGTAAATAACAAATTATTTTGAAAAATATATGTGTCCATGGATATGTATTTTAATTTTATATTGTTTTGTCTTTTGTAAAATTTACAAAATATTACTTGGTATTGTTTTTTTACGGCCATACCAATTTTAATAATATTGTAAATTATGTTTAGCCTACATACAATATATCGTTGGGTAGCCATTGAAAAATTGAAACTTATACATGACATAAAATAGATATAACTTATACATATATTTTATATCAAAGTTCTTCAAATAGTGTTTGTTTATTCTTCTGTGTTGTTACAAATAAAAATGACGTAGACTACTAGATAGTGAAAAGTAAAAAAATATCGAAGTAATTGTAACAGGGATTTGATTTTATACGGCCTTGGTCACTGCATTTACTAAAAAAAAAAAAAAAATAAATAAATAATAAAAAAAAGAATAATTTCCATTGACAATAGGTAATATTTTTGTACCGATTGGCTAACAAATTGTCTTTTGTTTGGTGGCAGATCGTTGATGGAATAATTTTATTAAATTATTCCAAAATTTTAGATGAAACTTGCTGCTAAATAATGAACGTAATTATTTAGTGGAGACCACTCATTAATATAATAATTATTGTGTGGGGGCCCCAAGGCTTGTCCTCCGTGAGCCCCCTCGCTCATAAATCCGGTCCTGTGTAAAAATGTTATAATACATAATGTATAAATCCATTAGACCTACTAAAATTTGGTAAGGTCAGTCCTTGAATATGCTTTTATCATAAATTATAATAGTCTCCTTATCAATTCTGTAAAATCGACAAAATAAAATCGATCCAGACGATTTCCTATTCATTTTTACTTTCTAAAGTTTAAAGTCATCTATTAACTTTAAAAGTGTTTATACTAATTTTCTTTTTCTCTATAATAGTAAATGTAATTGGTAAATAATTTGTTTAATGCATATTGTTGTACATATTTAAATATATTATTGTAAAACTTGCTGTAAACAAATTGTAAATTGTCTCATTAGCATAAATGTATTACTATTATAAATACAGTATTGTTATTAATATTAAAAACATTAATTTTCAATATAGTGATAAAGAAAGTTTTATCAAACGGCAGTTAAAATGTCGTTTATCTTATAATCTCGGTTTAAGATTAATCGAAAATTAAAATATTTTTGAATTTATCAATCAAATAAATAAGGTCTTCGAATTTTGTTGAAATATTGGTTTAAACTTTATAATATAACCTAAAAAATAAACTTCTTCGTCACTATTAATGTCACTAGTCACTACTACTGCTACTAATCTAATTATATCAATCATCTAGAATTAAATATGCATTTAATTTTTATCAAATGGGTAGGTAATACAATATTTATAATTTAGGCATTCGTTTTTAATTAAATTGGTATTTACATTAAAATAATTACCTACAAAGTAACTGTTAATTCTATTTTTTGTTACATACAATCATAAAGTATACCTCATTACTATAATTCGATAAAAAATGTTAAGTATGTAAAACCAAATAACTAATATTAATAACAGAAGTAATGACTTTGGAAAATAATTTTATTCAATGAGATACATTTTTTAAAAATATTTTCCTTAAAAATATTAATTTTCAAACATTTAGAGAATTAGTTTTTTTTTATTAAACTTGTATGTTTAACCAGTTTATATATATATATTTTTATTGTTAATTATACATTTTTTTAAATAATATTTTTTATATATAGTTAAATACAAATCTTGTTGAATAAGAAAATGATTATTAAATAATAAATACATATTGAACATATTTAAAAAAAACTTTTTTGTATATTACTTAATATATTTTTTATTAGTTAACATAATGTAATATTTGGTAATAATCTAATAATTATTATAAAATATTTGTTTAAATATTAATTAAGGTTGTAACTTATTACCTACTAAATGAATTCATGTAAATTTGGTTAAATATTAAACAACATCGTTCACTTTATCCATATCTTGTGATTCGATAGTTTACTGAAGATTCCCAGGTTTTTGATGTTTTGATATACATTCAGAAACTCTAACATAAACCCCTTTTAAATGAAAAATGTCTCCACATAAGCTAGCAGCAACTTCAGGGTCCAAAAATGACACAAATGCAAATCCTCGAAATGGGTTGGAAGGAATCCAGATGGTATTAACTTCTCCAAACCTACTAAAATACTTACGAACATCATCAGCCAATAAATCTTCAGTTAGGCCACCCATATAGACATTACAAAAAGGTTCAAGGTTCTTAAGCGCCTAATAAAAGTTTAACCACCAATACTATACTAATCTAAATAATAAATTAAGGTGTTATTATGAAAAGTAAAACAAAAACTTACTTTTGATTTACTTTGAACTTTTACAAAACAATTCCGATTATTAATTTTGTGTATTTTTGTCAACACGTTAACTTGTGATTCTAAATTAGAATTCCGTATAAAACCAACTCCTTTCGATTGACCACATTCATCTCTTTTGACCTACCAAAATAAATAAATATGTTTTTGAGCTGTACATAATACAAAATTATCTAAGACTTAAGGAGGTTCAAATTTCATAAATGTAAAAACTAGTAAATTACTTCTACTATGAGAAGATTGCCAAATTGTCCAAAATATTATTTAAATCGTATTCATTAAAATGATATGGTAATTTCAGCACAACTAGTGTTGCGCATCTAATGTAACCTTCGTGACCTCGCACATATTTGGTAGGAATTTTATAATGTTCTAAAAAAAAAAAAGATTACAAATTACAATTAAGACAATTAAGTATATAAAAGTTATTAGTATATAAAAGTATATATTTTGTGTAACAAAATCAACATAGTGCAACTTGACTATCTTTGTATTCCTATAAATACATTTTTTATTTTTTGGATTAACATATTTAATTTTTTAATTGCACATAAATGTTAATATTTTAAATTGATAAGTGTAATGCTTACAGAAATTATGAATATATATTTTTTTTTATTATTGTAAAAAATAGTTTTATATGTATTAAAAAGAACTTAATTTTAAATATATATTTTTCAGCTTGCCTATTAATAATTTAAAAACAAACATTACATGACACCCTTGTATTTGGACTTGTCGATTTTCTGTACTTGGAAAATTATTAATTGTTGTACTTGCAGCAACACCGTGCTGACATTTTTTTTTAAACTTTACAATATTCACACCATACACTTCTAAATTGCTTACTAATGTAATCTTTAAAACAATTAATTACAATAGATTTATTTTTATATAACAAGATCAATATACATAATAAGTAAACACATACCTTTTTATCGTTCTTCGTAAAATAAAATGTAATATCTATTGTAGTGTCGTTATCGTATGCTATTTCCATGTCTGAAATTGAACATATTCTTATTTCGTTTTGATTAGGAAGAAAACACAAATTGTCCTCATTAGTGGTTTCTTTGTCTGCTAGCAAATCATTAATTTCTCTATGCTGCAAGTCTATTTCTTTAAGTATTAAGTTGTAATTGACATATATTATTAAAGGAATCTCACCTAAATCTTCTGTGCATTTTATAAAACCTTGTTCTTCAAGCGATTGAAGAAAATTAGATAGTTTTTTATAAGAGGTCTTCTTAATATCTATTTTTATACCTTCCGGGTCAAATGGAATTACATTTTTTTTATAAAATTCAATAGCTAGAAGTGGCAATGTATCCTCTTTGATAAATTGTATTATTGCTTTTAAAAAACAAGTCAAAACAATTTGGTCCATTTTTTCGACAGAAACTTCATTACTGCTTTCAGAAAGATTTTCTAAGTTTTTATTTAGTTTTAAAGTTTTATTAATTTCTTTTCTCATCGCTTTGACTGTGCACGAGTTTTTTCCGAAACGGCAAATTGTTTGAAAAGCTCATCATCATAATAATGTAATACATTAATTGTATATTTATCGTTCTCGTTTTGTTCACTTTTATTCACATTCTTGTGACCTACACCAAAAATTTTTTTACTTAAGGTAGAATAAACACTAACACACTGATCAATAGACAACAATGTCAAAAGTTCATTATTTTCTTCACAAAATATATTACTATACTTAATTTCAACAGAATCATGAAAATTGGGTTTAGTATTTTCATTTATTTTTAATCTAGGGACAATCTGAGAATATATCAAAACCATAAACACTGTAGGATACAATTTCCCTTTAGATTCAAATACAATAGCAATGTCTTGGGCACAATACAATTTGACAACATTATTGTTATGTGTAATTATTTTCATTTGAGTTAACTTCTTGCTCAAAAACGACTCCAGCATATTTTCTGTCAAATCAAAAGTTTCCAACATTTGAACTTTTAATTTCTCTCTACGAATAATATAGGATTTTATTAATCTAAATAGGTATATTTTAGTTAAATACATTTTTTAATGGGTACTCACCGTTCAGCTTTTTTTACTGAAATAGTGGACTTAATTGAGAATTTATTTTGAAACATTATATTAATATTATTGAGGAAAAATCTTAATATTTATTATTCAAATATGTTAATTGTGTCTTGAATATAAAAAATAAACTGTAGACAAAAGTGCAAAATAGTAAAATCATAATTGTTATAAAAACATAATAACTAATACCATTTCGTATTAATAACATTGAGTAGATTAGATCCTCGATTAAAGATTAAATCAGAGGGGACCATAGCCTATAAAGATATATCTTTTTCTATGGAGGTCTATGGAGGGGACACTATGGAGCGGACGAAGATTCCGAGGTCGCTTCATATTTTGAAGTTTGAACAGAGTATATAAATTTATATCTATAGACTATACATTATTATTATACGTTGTGTATAAATATATATAAATAGTATAATACTAAATATCCGTCCCTTTTGTTTACATCACGATATCTTCTCTACATCGTGGATGTAGGTATAAAGTCGTGTGAAATTTTAAGTGTCGGGGCCCCTGTAAATATTACGGGGTTGCTACAACTTTTACCAATTTCCAATTTTTTTGATGAATATTTGTCCTTTAGGAAAAACGGTAAATGAAAAAAGGGGATGCTTAATAAACTATCAGGACAAAATATTTACATATTATGTAATGAATGTATTTGATACAATAACGATTTTACACTGTGAATCTATTTCCCACGACAATTATACTTATGAATTTTATTGACATTGGCGTATGTATATTTTTCCTAGTAACTATTTATTCTGATTGGTAAGAGTTAAAACTAAATACTGTATTTATCATAATTTAATATGTCGGACACTTATCAGTCTCGCCCTAGGTTTCCTTTCTGGTTATTCTGTGACGCTGTGCATTGTGCACCTGGACTCTCTTATCATGTTTTGCTCGAGTAAAATGTAAATAATGATAACAAAATTGGTTGCAAAAGTGAAAATATGCGTGAATAAGCGTTACATTTGTTATATTATTATTTATTGTAAACTCATAAATAAATAAAACAATAGAATGTCACGTATCTCGTGTCGTAATATTACATATTTTCGCATACAACAGAGTAGTCTACTATTGTTACTAACAGAGTAAAAAATAATGAGTATTTGTCATAACGGTTTATGTAATCCCTTGTAACTCTTATATAAGAGGGTGTCATTGAAATAATATAAACTGAAGGGCCATATCTCAATTAGTTTTAATCGATTCTAATATTATTTAACCTATTTTTAAGTTAAAAAATGTTTTTTTAATAATTAATTTAGAGACAAACGCTATGTTAAAATATTAAATTTAACAGCTTTAGAGAAACATTTACAGTTTTCGTCGCAGTTACAACTTACGAGTACGAGTTAAGACTTTAAATAAGTCTTTTTAGTAATTTATAATGTTTTGGAAATGAAAATGTTATGCGGTAACTGGTAGGATATCAATTTGTATGAGAAATTTCAACTTTTTAGGAAATATTATTAATTATTAAACCCCGCCCCAAATTGTTTAAATAGGAAAACAGACATTTAAAAATCTGTTATTTCTAAATTTAAACAAAATTGAAATTTCGATTTTTTTCGGCCTAGATCCCATTATTTATAATATTTAAATGTCATAGATGACTATTTGAATACATCATTAAGATACAAATTATAAATTAAAATAATCAACATTAATAAGTGTACCAAGAACTGTAGTGAAAGTAGTGAATATTAAACGTATTAACTAAGTAGGTAACGACTATAACCGGTTTGACTGATGTACTTTCAACATTGTTAATAACAAAATGTTTGAAAACAAGTGCATTTTTATTCATTACAATATGTTAGTGTAAAAATCAGTGTAGATTCGAAAAAGACGTCAGCTAATTTTTAATAGTCATTTTATTATTTATTATAGGTTTTTGTATAATAATGGCTGTTAAATTTAATATAAGTTTTGAAGTTTGAAGACTTTGATAGTTTAGTTGTTGCTTACTCCGTTGCCACTTCGATAATCGATTTTAGAACATTGTAAATACCTAACCGTGGTTACGACAACGTTTTGGTCATGGGTAATTTTTTTTAACAATCATTAACTTAACAAAGTTCTTTGTAATCATGAAGTTAGCGACAGAATAAACTGAAGACAGTATTCAGCATTGTTATTTGTTAATTGGCGGCAAAGTATTTCTTCAATTTTTTGTGCACAAAATGCAATCGAAGACCAAAGGAACTGTGAACCGTTTATTTAGCATCATTTCATTGTGTTTTATGTGTTGTGACGTTGTTTATATTAATATACCTTTTGTATAACATTAAAATGGATACAATGCCGATTAGCAAAGAAGAAGAAGTTCTTTCAGAATACGAACAAGAAAGAATCAGGAATATTAAGGAATTTCAAGACCAGGTAAAAACTAAGTCTGATTATAATTCTCGTGTAGAAAATAACTTATATATTTATTTAGTTTAGAGACATATTCGACGTAGTGAAAACCTCTGCAAAGACTTTAGCAACTTCTTTACCAAACGATAAAAAACAAAGTGCCACTAAACAGATTTTTCGGCCTTCGTCAAATATTAAAACGACGTCTGTTCATCAAAGTTCTGTCAGACGATCACTACGCATTGTAAATGAAAAAAAAAGGTACAAACTATTTACCATTCTATATTTATAAAATGTAGTCATTTTATAATTTGTTTGTTACAGTTTGAAGTGAAATTTTACGTAACAAAAAAAAATTCTTATTTGTTTAAACTATTAATTATTAATATGCTAAATTTAAAGTTATTTATTTAATGTCAGTAGGTACAACACAAATTTAGAACAAGACACGAAATGCATCTTTTTTAATAAATCTAAATTAGGGTTTCCCTACCATGTCTAATTATTTTTTTAATTGTCTCCAGAGATGTTAAAAATACCATTTTGTAGTATTTTCAGTGTTTTACATTTGAATAATTTTCAATAATTTATTGCAAGGACAACTTTTTACTAGATTTTTTTTGGCTATATTCAGAAATGGTCTCAGAATTAATATAGAAATTTTATTATAATTCTTTTTTTTTTTATTGTAGTTTGTTTTACAGTATTTTTATTCAAATTTTAAATAGAAATATGATTTTTATTTACTTGTATCTAGACTAACAGCATTTAAAAAAACTTACAACTGTCAAAAAAATAAATAGGTAGCCTCAATTGAGTTGGGAACTTGCCTTGGCTAACTTAGTACCACTTTTTTGGAGTTGTAGTTATTTTTTAAATTAAATGAGTACGCTATTCTTTTGATTCCAGTTTTCTCGCCGAAAAATATTTACATTTTTTAACTTGTTTTTCTACTTGGTAGTGGGTGCATAAATTATTAGGTATTATGTAATACGCATCAGATTTGATGAAAACCCATTTGCCTCATAATCCTATACTATCCTAACTAACATTACATATAACTCAGATATAAAAGAATTATATTAATTATTTTTTAACTTATTAGTTTTATATAACTTATGTACATGTATGCATTATTTATATGAAATTGGTTTCTCTTGAATTAGTGAGTCTACTGTTAATGAAGTAATCGAAAAAAAAGATAGCAAATTCAAAAAGCAACAAGTTACCAATTCATTTAAGTTTCACAAAAAAATTGAAGTTTTGAAACGAAACGCAGAGTATCATAATTCGCTGGCAGATAGTGTTATAAAAAATCAAGAAAATTGTGAGCCTGTAAGTAGTCATATTTTTATAATAGAATTCTTAAATCTTACAGTTCTACTATTGTTATTATATTACATTTTATTTAATAGTTGCATATATACATAGGTAAAATAAGTAGTAAATTGAGAAAAAATTAACTAAATATTCAACAAAAATTAATAACCTAGTAGATTCTGAAATTTCATAATAAAATGATATTTGTGCTTTCGATGACGTTTAAATTATAGTTATAAGTAGTATAAGTATATAAGTTATGAAAGTTTTATAAGTAAAAATGTGTAATAGCTTAAAATCAAGGTATTAAAATAAGAATATCTATTTAAAAAGCGTATATTTGAAGAATATTTTTTAAATGATCATAATGGACATTTTTACTAAAAATAATTGGGTATTGTGTAAAACTAATCTAAATAGCATCTTGTAGAGTTGTAACTCATTGAATTTTTTTTTTCCATAGCGTTCTAAGAGGATACGTAATACTAGCTCAGCAACTGTACCTAGATTACCTGTGTCACAGGTAAATCAGCAAATGTTGCAAAATATTAGTTACAGCTCTTATGGAAAACAATATAGTTCTGAGGGAACAACTTGTCACCAATGCAGGTATAAAAAATAAGTTTTCTTTAGTAACAATATTTTATGTATGTGTTGTTTTCGTATTCTAAAAATTACTAATTATAAAAAAAAAAATATATTACAACAAATTTTGAACTAACTCACTGTTTTTTTTTTTTTGTATATATATCAGGCAAAAAACTTTGGACCAAAAATCATATTGCCGCTACATACATTGTAAAGGTTACCGTGGAATGTTTTGTGGATTTTGTTTGGGCAAAAGATACGGTGAAGACGTTGCTGAAGTTCTTTTAAATCCGGTAAGTTCTTCAGCATATTGTGGTCCACCTACTTCTATTTAATTGAAATTTTTTCCATTTTAAGAAATGGGCATGTCCGCCGTGCCGTGGATTATGCAATTGCAGCATATGCAGGCGAAAAGTGGGAATGGAACCAACTGGAACATTAGTCCCACATATGTCGGTTAGTGGATTTCAGTCGGTTAGTGACATGTTGACTAGTATTGAAGGACAACAAATATCTAAGGTATTCTGTACCAAAACTGATCTGAGTATTGCCAACAGAAGTAATGGCATTGAAAAATAATTTTATTCGATTAGATACATTTTTCAAAAATAATTTCCTTAAAAATGTTAACTTTCAAATATTTAGAGAATTTTGTTAGTTAAAATTTTATTTAAATAGTATTTTTTATATATAGTTAAATACAAATCTTATTAAATAAGAAAACTATTATTAAATAATAAATAAATATTGAACATATTTAAAAAAAACTTTTTTGTATATTACTTAATATATTTTTTATTAGTTAACATAATGTAATATTTGGTAATAATATAATGATAATTATAAAATTTTAAATTTTATATGAATATTAATTTAGGTTGTAATTTATTACCTACGCAATTGATTCATGTTAATTTGGTTAAACATTAAACATCATTGTTCACTTTATCCATATTTTGTGGTACATGAGTTGCTGAAGATTCTTAGGTTTTCGAGGGTATGATGTACATTTAGAAACTCTAATATGAACACCTTTTATACGGAAACTGTTTCCACATAAGCTAGCAGCGACTTCAGGGTCCAAAAATGATACAAATGCAAATCCTCGAAATGGGTTGGAAGGAATCCAGATGGTATTAACTTCTCCAAACCTACTAAAGTACTTACGAATATCATCAGCCAATAAATCTTCAGTTATGCCACCCATATAGACTTTCCAAAAAGGTTTAGGTTTAGGGTTCTTAAGCGCCTAATAAAAGTTTAACAACCAATAATTTTAAAAACCTTATAATAAATTAAGGTGTTTTTATAAAAAGTATGACAGAAACTTACTACTTTTGATCTACTTAGAACTTTCACATAACAATTTCCATTATTAATTTTGTGTATTTTTGTCAACACATTAACTTGTGATTCTAAATTAGAGTACCGTATAACACCAACTCCTTTTGATTGACCACTTTCATCTCTTTTGACCTACAAAAATAAATAAATATGTTTTTAAGCTGTACATAATACAAAATTATCTAAGGCTTAAGGAGGTTAAAATTTGATAAATGTAAAAACTAATAAATTACTTCTACTTTGAGAAGACTGCCAAATTGTCCAAAATATATATTTAAATTGTATTCATTAAAATTATATGGTAATTTCTGAACAACTAGTGTTACGCATCTAATGTAACCTTCATGACCGCGCACATATTTTGTAGGAATTTTATATTGTTCTAAAAAGATTACAAATTACAATTAAGACAATAAAGTATATAAAAGAATTTGTGTAACAAAATTAACATAGTGCAACTTGACTATCTATGTATTCTTATGAATAAATTTTAAATTTTTTGGGTTAGCATATTTCATTTTTAATTTGAGTTTAATTTCAATTGCACATAAACATATTTTTTTAAATTCATGTAAGTGTATGCCTACATGAATTATGAATGTATTAATTTTTTTATTTCTGTAACAATTAGTTTTATATGTAATAAAAAGAACTTAATTTTAAATATATATTTTTTCAGCTTGCCTGTTAATAATTTAAAAACAAACAATACATGACACCCTTGTATTTGAACTTGTCGATTTTCTTTACTTGGAAAATTATTAATTGTAATACTTGCAGCAACACAGTCCTGACATTTTTCTTTAAACTTTCCAATATTCACACCGTACACTTCTAAACTGCTTACTAATGTAATCTTCAAAACAATTAATTACAATAGATTTATTTTTATGGAACAAGATCAGTTACCTAATTGCCAAACGCATACCTTTTTATCGTTTTTTATAAAATGAAGTGCAATATCTATTGTAGTGTCGTTATCGTATGCTATTTCCATGTCAGGAATTGAACATGTTATTTCGTTTTGATTAGGAAGAAAACACAAATTGTCCTCATTAGTGGTTTCTTTGTCTTCTGGCAAATCATTAATTTCTAGATCATGCTGCAAGTCTATTTCTTTAAGTATTGAGTTGTAATTGATATCAATTACTATGTCTTTAGTACATTTTATAAAACCTTTTTCTTCAAGCAATTGAAGAAAATTAGATAGTTTCTTATAAGAGGTCTTCTTAAAATCTATTTTTATACCTTCCGGGTCTAATGGAATTACATATTTTCTATAAAATTCACTAGCTAGAAGAGGCAACATATCTTCTTTGACAAATTTTTTTAATGCTTTTAAAAAACAAGTCAAAACAATTTGGTCCATTTTTTCCACAGAAACTTCATTACTGCTTTCAGAAAGATTTTCTAAGTTTTTATTTAGTTTTAAAATTTTATTAATTTCTTTTCTCATCGCTTTGACTGTGTCACGAGTTTTTTCCGAAACGGCAAATTGTTTGAAAAGCTCATCATCATAATAATGTAATACATTAATTGTATATTTATCGTTCTCGTTTTGTTCACTTTTATTCACATTCTTGTGACCTACACCAATAATTTTTTTACTTAAGGTAGAATAAACACTAACACACTGATCAATAGACAACAATGTCAAAAGTTCATTATTTTCTTCACAAAATATATTACTATACTTAATTTCAACAGAATCATGAAAATTGGGTTTAGTATTTTCATTTATTATTAATCTAGGGACAATTTGAGAATATATCAAAACCATGAACACTGTAGGATACAATTTCCCTTTAGATTCAAATACAATAGCAATGTCTTGGGCACAATACAATTTGACAACATTATTGTTATGTGTAATTATTTTCATTTGAGTTAACTTCTTGCTCAAAAACAACTCTAGCACATTTTCTGTCAAATCAAAAGTTTTCAACATTTGAAATTTTAATTTCTCTCTATAAATAACATACATAGCATTTTATTAATCTAAATAGGTATAATTTATTTCAATGTATTTTTAATGGGTACTCACCGTTCAGCCTTTTTTACTGAAATAGTGGACTTAATTAGGAATTCTTTTTGAAACATTATATTAATATTATTCAGAAAAAATCTTAAATTTATAATTCAAATATGTTTAATTGTGTCTTGAATAAACAAATTAACTGTAGAAAAAAGTGCAAAATAGCAAAATCACAATTGTTATAAAAATATAATAAGTAATAACTAATGTCTTAATACTTTATACATTTATGTATAAATAACATAGAGTAGATTAAACCAGAGAGGACAGCCACACAGCTTCACACTCAGTGCAGCTCCGGACACATAAAAATTACGATGGCCATCTTCTTAAGGCTACGCCACTATAATATTATATCAGTCCGTCACTTCTGTTTGAATCACGATATCTTCTCTAATTCGGGGTTTAAAGTGACCCTTCTGCTTTCATCTGTTCTGTGTTTAAGTAATAAAACATTTTCACATGGAAGCCGCCATCTTCTTGTTTATTCTAAAGTTATATCTATACAAACTAATGTATATTGAATAAACATTATATTGATTAATATTTTAGAAGATGGCTGTCGCGATTTTTAGAAATAGGTATAAGAACCGTGCTGAATGATGAGTTTCACAGCCCTGTAAATAATACGGGCTTGCTATTTTTACCAATTTCCAATTTTGTCAATGAAATTTGTCCTTTAGGAAAAACGGTAAATGAAAAAAGTGGATGATTAATAAACTATCAGGACAAAATATTTACATTTGTAATAAGTGTATTTGATACAATAACGATTTCACTCTGTGAAACTATTTTCTACGACAATTATACTTTAGGATTTTACTGACATAAATTCGCCCTAGGTTTCCTTTCTGGTTATTCTGTGGCGCTATGAATTGATTTTGATATTTGACAGCGTTTTAGGAACCCCTGGACTCTCTTATCATGTATTGCTCAAATAAAATGTAAATAATGATAACAAAATTGGTTGCAAAAGTGAAAAGTTGGTGAACTTCTTTTAATTGGATTCGTCGAGTTTAGGTTTTAGCCAAATGGATAAATTAACCGTAATATCCGGAACATTATTCATGTTAGCTGATGTGTTTGCCATCATTAGCTTGGCAATGCCAGATTGGATCATTACTGACGTTGGAGGTATGTAAACATTACGGCTCATATTCGCTGACTAGGTATTTTATATTTTCAAATTGAAAACATTTTAAGCATTATTTGGCGGTCAAGTCATCACCGTTTTTTTTTTTTTTGTATATATATTAATATATATATATTAATGTTACTATTTGCTTATAATGCATTGTAGCATAGATTGTAAATATTCTTTAAGTTTAGAAAAAAAAAAGTTACTATTCAATAAAAAACGAAAACTAAATTGAGAATGGGTGTAATATGTTTACAAGTTTAACCGATTTCCATTGATTTTTAGGAGATACAAGATTGGGCCTAATGTGGACATGCATGACGTTGTATAACAGGCCACAAGTGTGTTTTACACCCAATTTACGCCTTGAATGGTTATTGGCATTGGTGAGTATATTCATCGGATGTATATGCGTGACTACTACAATCATATTATTGGCCTCTTCTCATTGGGATCGTAATGTCATACCTTACGCACGCTGGGTCGGATTTACTGCAAGTAAGATCAAATTAAAAATATATATATTTAACGGCATGGTATTAACGCCCCTATAAAAAAACTTAATTCAATAATTTTGTATACGATTATTTTTTTAGTGGTACTATTTTGTTTTGCTGCTGTCGTCTTCCCCATGGGTTTTCATATACCTGAAATCGGTGGCCAACCATATCAACTTCCTAATAGTCATCAAGTGGGAGTGTCGTATATACTCTTTGTGTTATCACTGTGGGTTACAGTAGTATCGGAGTTATTTGCCGGCAAAGTGTGCTTACCACATTTTTGATACAACGTATACAGGGAAAGGAATTTTTTAAGCGCCAACTGTGTACACTACTTGGACAGGAATTATCTCCATATTGGTGCCACATTACGAGGAAATAAGGTTTAGATCAATTTGAGCACATCTCATTTATTATTCAAAAACGTGAAGTTTGACCTAGGAAAATGACATCTGCTGATCTGAGGTACTTTGGGAGTATTTATAAATTTCAAAATTATATAGTATAATATTATAAAAAATGGAATATCACCAGTTAGGTTTAAGATATGATCTTTCATTAACGTTATCTTTCTATCTCTTAGTTAACTAATAATTTTAATGCTTGTCCTAAATTTGAATTTGTTTTTCAATCAAAGGTTGTTTGAATAAAGTATATTTTGCTATTTATAGTTAAAAAATAAGTTATTGATAGGAACTGTCTAGGAACACTCAATTTTAGTCATTGGATAATATTTGAAAGAGTAGTCCTAGGGTTTATTTTGTAATCAAAATAGTTTGTTTTGTTAAAGCAACGTGTACATTAAAAAAACGATTGTATTTATTACCATGTATAACTTTCAGTTTGTTATAAATTATATTATAAAGTTTTAAATATATAATATAACAATGTATACTATACAAATTATGTTAATACAATTACTGTTAGTACTGTTTTATTTCCTAGATTCCACTGTTATTCCTCACAATAAATAGCTAAAATGGTGAATGAAAAAACAAAACAAAAAAAATATTAGTAATACACAAAAAAAAAAAATTCACTGCAGAAACTCACTGTAAACAGGTTGTGTTGCAACATTCTAAACAATAGAATGCATAACAATGCAAGTATTCAAAGCACACAATTCATGTTATGCTCGTCACTAGAAATTATAAAATATTTTCTTAGAAAGAGCATTATTAACATATTACTTATGCAGGTCGACTCACCAACCAGATGATAAAAGTTATCTCTGAATATTTAATTAGTATTTGTAAAAACGATGTCCTCGAAAGTGATTTCAGTTTTCCAATAATACTTGAGGGTCTCCCTACCTAAATCATTGTATATTTTACCGTATAATGATGAATCGCATACAGTGATAAATTCTGGTTCAAAAAGGCAATATTTGTACAAAAAGATTATTGGATAAATAATTAAGATTAATTTGAGTATACAAAAATTGGAAGTTTAGAGGCTTAAAGATCATAATTCATAACATTTTCTAAAACATAACTTGTGGCAAATTGACCTGCAACCAATTAATACTTACAAGATTCTAATATTTCATTCATTAGGCCATTAGGGGAAACAGAATACGACTTTCTACAAATGTCTGATATTTTGGAGACCAAATGACAGATGCATTCCTTCAATTTTAGACTGAAATCCATAAATAATCTAATATAAATTAATATTTATACAATTTATAACAAATATACAAAATAATATTTATTGACTGTTATAGGACTAATTAAGCATGCCTTCTAAATTGACTAGGTATGTCGCATAAAAAAGTATATATAAATATAATGATATATTACAATTAAAACACAAACAATCATGCACTATACCAAGGCAAATCCAAAGGCAGAAAAACGAACAAGAGCTTAACACACATAGATACTTACAAAGTCGTACCAATCATTGAAGTCATTTATAAAAAAATATACTCTGTCAACACAATGTTTTTATTCATTTGAACATTTCCAATTTTAGTTTTCACGCAGTAATGAATGCAACTTAATGTGTATTATTAAAGGAATTTTGAAATCAATAACTTCAAAAAACCACATATACACAAATAGATTATACCATGTAAATTTTTTATAATATACACATTTCATACACGGCTTTAGGTGAATTATGTTTACATTTTATCATAAACATACATAAACTGGTTAACCAACCATACTGTCAATAACAACATAATAACAAGCCACTGTCCATTCAAACGAGAGGAAGATAAAGAATAATCAGACGCCATAATAATGCATGGCATTGTTTTTCAAAATACTAATGATTATACATGTGTAAGTATACACATAAAATTGTTCAAGTTCCAAGAAAAATCATAATACAAATAACTTAGTAACTCGTGCAAACCATGTTCCAAACACATTGAAAATAATACAATAAATGAAAAGTTTAAAGAACAACTATAATAATATATATGACATAAGTTTTTATTAAACTAGCAAGACGATTGGATATTTTATTTTATAATTTCTAAAGAATCATAAAAAAAGTTGATTATACAGATAATCGTTAAGGATATTTAAATAATAAATAGTTTAACCAAATACGCAATAGACTTCATTTATACATACTTATTAGTTATTTATCAACTTAATTATAAAGTACACAATTCCAAAAAAATATTTTTGTAATCATGTAAACACAATAATGATAGAGGAGGCATTTGCTACAGACATATTCAAGACATGTATTGTTTGATATTAAACATTCATATAAACTATATTTGTATCATACAGACTTGGAAAATTCTATATTGAATTAAGTATACTTGAAATGTTTGTTTAAACATCATTTTGCTGCAACAAACATTTGAATAATAAATTAAGACATAGTTATTATAATATAAATATAAAAAGAAACATTGCGAATAACCAATCATTTACAGCCAAACAAATGACACACGAATAATGCTCAGAAATACATTTATATCAATGAAAGATTTAGATTTGTTAATTATTTAAGCGAAAAGAGGTTGATATCATTTTTTGTACAAGGACACAAATTTTGTACTAAGCATATCGTTTGTAGGCACGTTTTGTTTTAAAATAAATCATTTTTTTTACACATTATTTTATAAGATTAGATTAAGGATTAACACCATTCGTAACTGAAGGGCTTGGAGCAACAACCAAATAAGAGAATTTATCCTTTTTTCGTTGAAAAATCTTCATGGAAAAATTATCAATATTCAGTCATACACTCAGTAAAATCAGACTATTCAAAAAAATGTTTTCAAAAAATGTATTTTTATACACCAATAATAGTTAAAGAACTTTCTTTTCATCGTCCAGAACAATTAAAAAAAGTAGATTTATCTGATCCTTGCTCGAAGCCCTTCAATTGAGTATAATTTTGATCAACAATAACGTCAAAAAGAAAAAAAATTGAGGAGGTCGATGCAATAAGAGTGTATAAAACAGCATTCTGAGAGCTCCATGAGCTCCGAAGTTTTCCAACGTACCCACTGCAATAAGTAAGTTGATAACAAAACAATGCTACTAATAAAACTTCTTTAATTTTGCTTATAACTATGTAGCCATACTCAAGAAAACATAGGGATTCAATTTTTGCAACCCCCCCCCACTCCAGAAAGGTGTATAAGTCTATTACGACCTTATTGCACTGACATCCTCCCCGAATGTGACTTTGTCTAATTTGTTAAACTCATTATTTTAAGTACAATAACTTTTACTAAGTAAAAATCAATATTACATAACTCTTAAAACCTTTTTGCCTTTGTTGGATTTTTTTTATGAGTACCTATATTGTATTTAATATATTGTTTGTCATTAATACTATTAAATTTTTAAATTATTTTTTACTTAATTACCCAAATTTCGATTGCCAGATGAATTGTAATCATTTGAACGTTTCCTGTTGTTATAGTTATTGCGTTGAGGCCATTGGTTGTTTACTTGAGGTGGCGGTGGTTGCTGCTGGTTCATCATGTGCCCATTTACTAAACTCCATCCTGCGGCTTGGGTCAGTGCAGCGGCTACTATAGCAGGGCTCAGAGGTATCATTGGGTTATAGGTGTCCTGTCCATTAATACCCAAAGACTGTAGATTAGGCATATCTACATTACAGCGGTTGTCGTGCTGTGGAGGATACCAATTACTACGATAATTGTCATTATTGGAGTTGTTTGGCCGTTCCCAAGGGGCAATGTTTCCATGTTCGACGGGAGGTGGTGTCTGATGTCGGTGTTTAGGCACCTGAGGTTTTGGTGCCGCTTCAGACACACGTACAGAGATATTTTTTACAATATGATCTTCACCACACAAGCTAGCAGCCACTTCGGGGTCAAGAAATGTTACAAAGGCAAATCCTCGGAATGGGTTTTTTGGCACAAACACATTGATAACTTCTCCAAATTTACTAAAATACTCACGGATATCCTCAGCCATCAAATCTTCAGTAACTCGACCGATAAATACTTTACCAGACACTTCAGAATTATTACCTTCCTAATTAAGTAAATATATCAACTTAAACCATGTTAAACTAAACAACTAAGAATATTATGAGAAGAAACTTACTTTAGATTTTGGAATTTTTACTTCACAATTTCGACCTTCAATTTTATGACGCTGTGATAAAACACGAATTTGTGATTCTAAATTAGTGAATCTTAAAAAGCCATATCCTCGCGAGTGGCCATTTTTGTCTCTTTTAACCTAACAAAAAATATTTAACTAGTTTTTAAGTCATGCTGCATAAAAATAAGTACAATTACAGTTTAAATGCATATATTTTATCATTGTTTAAAAAATCCAATTTTTCCTGACAGTAAATATATATTAGGTCAATATAAATTAATAAATCACTTGTAACATTAGAAGTTCGCCGAATTGTCTAAAATATTCTTTCAGTTTTTGTTCATCATATGTATATGGTATATTTAATACAACCAAGTCTGAACATTTTAACTTAGTTTCCAATTTTTTAGTTTTTGCAGTTGGATTTTCTACACTGTCATCAATCTTTCTTTTATTTTCAACTATAACAACAATTACAATAAAAATAAATTATTAATTTTCATTAGGGAATTTGTATCAACTGTCTATGAAGTGAAACCCCAATGCTAGCTTAAACATAAATGTATGTTTTACTTGACAGTAAAAATGAAAAAAAATAAATAAACATAAGCTAAATATGTCCCTTAACCCCCCCTCCTATTTAAAACAAAATTATGAAAATTTACTCTTATTGGACTTCTGTTAAACTTTTAATTACTATTTTATCCAAAACTGAGTAACTAAAATATTTTGTAAATTCAGTTTGAATATAATTAAAATGAAATTTAAAAATGTAGATGTTTATACAAAAATTAATTTATATTCACAGATGAAATGGTTGATAAATTTTATATTAATTCATAGAGGTAAAAAGTAACTTGGAACCCATAATAAAATTAAATATAAGTATTTTTTTTCAACACAAAATTTTTTTTTGTTAATGAAATTTATAATATTAATGTTAATTGGAATTTTTTCAAGCATCAAAAACTACTAGTTTTTCTATCAACAAAAAGTTGTTGTTGAAGTTTAAGATTTGAAATGATAATATATTTAAGAATTTTTAATGGTGAGCATAGTTTCAATGATTTCTTTGAGACATTTAGGTATTATAAATATAGTAAATACTATTGTTAAGTGCAAATTTAACACAAACATAATAAATTAATGTCTCTGATAATTTGAAATGCCGCAAAATACGTCTTACGTGGTTATATATCTCATAAAACATATTATTGTTTGTCTTTTAATTGGAACTTGTTTATATTTTTAAAAAGGTTACCTTTAGGAAAAACGCAATAGTATGGAATTTTGCCCCAATCGTTATCAGGTACGTGGAAACGATCGTCAGCTACTCGTACGCCTCTCATAGCATTGCTCTCAGTACGAAATTTAAGACCACTGGCACTCGGAAACTGGGCTGTTAGAGTTGATAACAACAAAGTCCCATCTTCTTCCAATGGTAACTCAACGACATCACCATACTCTTCATCAGACACCAAGACATATTTTACAGACATGTTAAACTATGGCAATTGGAATCGGTAAATGTGCTTCTTATTCTCCACGAGGAAACTTAACTAATTTATCTACATTTAAGTGATTAAAAAAAAAAGTTTTACATAGGTAACAGAATGTCGGAAAGATTATTCCGTTTTTTTTCTTTACTTACGCGTTAAGTTTCAAAATATTGTTATAATAAAATAGTTAACCAATGCGGGTTTTATAACACACATTACGGAAGCCGTTTAATTTTTATAACACATTAGTATGAGCTTTTTTAATTTATGGAAAGCCCCTTTAATTTCAAAAATTAATAAAATAAATGATTAATTAAATAGTTTTCAAAGAACTAGCACTTTGGTCTTTAATTATGTTGTAAACAATGAGCAGGGCACAAGCCAATCCCCATAAATAATCATTAAATGGTTATCTAAAAGATGCCTTATCATTTGAGATTTTATATCAATACACTGTAAATTACATTCTCTTTGGACCACAACAACCAGATTACTGCCTTTTAGTGTTTTTTCAAAAATATGTTTCAATTAATAACAATACTCGAAACTCGAATGTGTGAGTTAATTTATAAATTAAATCATATGTCACATTTTAATTTTTGATTGGTAAAAAAACACGAATACCTAACCATTTCTCATAGACTACATAGGCGGACTAACTCAATTAGACCTGCCCATGATCTTTATTTCATGAAGGGTCCTAAAGTAGACGTACAACTTTTTGATGTGATATATACATTATTTCTGCATGAATTAATTTATAAAAATATTTTTTTGGTGGGGAGTAGTGATATTCCACCGTCAATACTATGTTTTTTTAAATAATAATTGAACGTTTATTAGGTATGTCTACAGATAGTTTTTACTGGTGTATAATAAAATAATAATACATTTATTTTTACACCTAATATATAATCCCCCAACAATAAATGTAAGTGCGTCAATTAACCGAGTCCTATTAAGTATTTATTCTATTGTTTTTGAGCAAATAAACATGTTGTATGCTGACCCCTTAATAATATTTTTATATTTTGAAAATATTAGGTACCTATGAGGTTAAAAATATTTTTTAAAGTAGTTATAGTTGGTAATTTTTAAAAGATGTATTGGTAAGTAGGTACCTAGTAATGTGTGTTGTGGTGTAGTACAGGTGTGGGGTGCGTAATGTAATAGTGACTACATTTCAGGTCTATTCACCTAAACGTTAATAATTCAATACTTATATATTTAAAACCTATATATCAGTCAATATATTTTTTTAAATTATTCTTAAATTAAATTTAAAATAGAAATCACTTTAGAGCAAATTTGACAATGTCACCATTAGCGAGCCGTTACAAACATAATATCAAATAATTTGTCACAAAATAATAATGACATCAGTTTTACATAGCCCTAAAATAAGCGTGTTAAAAGTTTAAACCAAAATAGACCATTTTTTTCAAAATGAATTCTATTTTTTAATGTCTAGAAATTATATATTACAAGGGTAAAAAGTATTCATTATTTTAAAAAGTATACAAATATTTTACAATACTGCCTTTTGCTTCGGTTCCTTAAAACTTAAAAGTAATGTTTTGTTTAAAGGGGGCCTCGACCCCCCAGCATCTTCCAATTAAGTAATATTTCAATAACGGGCAGATGAGTTATGCTAGTATTTGATAAGTGAATCCATTGCATAAATTGTTTGTACCAAAATGGAGTTCTGTTATAATTAAACGAGTTGTTTTAAAAAAAAAAAGTCTATTGTAGAGATCCTTTCATTTGAAACATCTCAAATTCGGCCAAAAAAAATAATATTTGGATATTTTACTTTATAATTAATGTACTTACATGTTTTCAATCTGCACGCACAACACTTTTGTGAATGAAAGTCTTGAAGAAGGGAAAATAAATTCATAATGTATGTTTATATCCATATATCAATGCAACCGTAATACATATTGTGCGTATACAGCTAATGTTTAAATTTATATTTCCAAATAATTATTATTATTTATTTTATATTACAGCTATTTTTTTTAATTTATAATTTATTGTTTTATATATTAGTGTATTTTACCATAGTTTTCATACTATTTACTGAACTGTAGGTTACTCAATTATTATTTTTTTTTTGAGCGAACAAAGTGTTAAATCAAAAATATTAGTAGAGTAGTATATATTTAAATTTTATAAGTAAATATTAACTATGTATGTAGGCAAGACTGTCTTAGGCTATGCAGGGGCCTTCGGGTAAAAAAAAAAGAAATGCGAGTTAAAAATAAGATTATTTTTAATTAAAAATAACAATAATTACCCAAATTAATTTACCAAGGTTTTTATAAATTAAAAAAAAAATAGCATCAAATAAACTATATGGTTTGGACAAATGAAATACTTTCTATTAAAATGTTTAATTAATTTTTCCAAGATATTTCATTTATAGTAGTTCCAATTTTAAAATGAAACCTATCGATTTAAAAATATATAGATATATTAGAGGTATCTTGAAATATAAAGGAAATGTTAGCAATAGAAAATGTCTATATTTATTTTAAATAGCGACTAAATGTATCTTAGTTTATTAACATAATATTTACATACAATTTCTAGAAGTAAGACTTAGGCTTGCTCATATTTATATTTGCCTCTCCAAGGCTTTGGTAAAGGCACAACAGCTGGACAAGGAACCTGCCCAAAAATTTCACACATGCAATGCTTATCACACATATAACCAAAATTAGCAGGGTTATCTTTTTTTTCACGAGCTGTAGCTTCCATATCTAGAGTATCTTTGTCTTTGCCAAGAACTCGTAAGACATGATCATGGATTTTGTCTTTGTCTCGATCGTCTACGTCTATTAGCACATCATTGCCGTCATTTAAATAGCATCTAAAAAATAATCATCAATAAACAAAAAATGTTAAACAATTAGACACATCATTACATAGCATACAACTTACCTAATAAATGGGGTTGGCGTCATATTCTTTAGCGTCAGTACTTGAACATTGGGATTCTTATACTGGATTTGAGGTAAATGCCAAAAAACAAATTCTCGAGCACCAAGATGGTTGTCGCCTAATGTGTTATAATGAATTGAGAATATCTTAACTCGTTCTTTAAATACTATTTTTCCAGCATTCAAGTATTGAATAGTCCTCCTTATTGGAGCGGCACCTTTCATAAACGGCATGGTTTTAAAAAGGTAATGTTATAAAACAAAATAAGACCTTTTAATTATACTATCGAGTGTACTTATACAAATGTAAAAAAAAAATTACTTATCAATGATAGAAGTTAGAACACTATAGTCTATAGATCATAGTATGCTCAAATATTGTAATTTATAGCACGCTGCACAGAATAGGTATTTTGTGATTATAGATTATAGAATGATGTGTTATCACCGCCATCTACTGTTATCAAGCGTGCATTTTTCTTTGATATCAAACAGCACACGTTGGGCGCTAAATGCATGGCCAAAATCAAAAAGGTTTGCCGGTAACATTTGGTAACCATAAAATGGCTGTCGGTATTGTTGAGCGGCCGTGTATGTCTTACGGGAGAACATTGGCAGCCATGTTGTGAAAATTGGTGCTGACATACCGGTTTATATGGTCAGACTTTACCGCCAAATTCTATTGTCCGTTTGTATTCGTTATTGTTTGATGTTTACAGAGTACAGATTAAGTCACAGTTTACACTTGAATCGACTGATCTCAGACCAAAAGACAACTGTAGTAAAGTGTACACAATATTATTCAATCTTGATTTTACCTACCATATTTAAATTTACCATTTTCATTGTGTTCTGCCGGTACTCGATTGACCGTTCATCATTTACGTAATTATTATAATGGTTTTTACTCATTACTGTCGCTATCTTTCGTTTTGAGTTCATTTATATACGAAGTCGGATACTACCTTAACTTCTGCGGTTTCTGGTCACTTCGTTTTATATTACTGTTATTTTTGCGTGAACTTCCTTAAAATGGCAGTTGCTATTGCGTTGAAAAGTAAAAATAACGAAGAGCTGTCCGAATATGAACGGCAGAGGCTCGAAAACATAATGGAAATGCAAGAACAAGTAAGATATTGTAATGCGGTGGAATGTATTTTTCCATTTAATACAACCTTGTAATACTGTACGTTTCGTTTACAGTTTAGCGATCTGTTTGATGAGGTCAAGCGCTCGGCACAGGATTTAGCGGCTACTGCAGCAGCACCGTTGTCGGAAGGATCATTTTCCAATAGAAAACGTACTAGAAATGCTCAAGGTTGGCGGCGTCCTGTAAAAGTAGCTTCAAAAATAAGCAACACACCTGAACGAGTTAGATGTGTTCGACGATCAGCGCGTATTAGACAAGACAACAAGTATGTATATTGTTTATTACTAAACTAGAATCATTAAATTGACACTTTCAAATATTTTGTATTATGATTTTAACAATATTGTGTTGTACAAGATAATAATCTATCCAGAAATAAGTACGTTAGTTCACCAAGCTCTCAGGGTGATCAAATATCCAATCCAATAATGATTAAAGTTAAGTTTTGTTGGCATGGTATCCACATATTAAATCTTAGAATTTGTTGTTATTAGTAGTTACTAAAAAAAGTAGTACCTATTAATGGGGGAAGGTAACTGGTAAAAAACTTTGTTCTTAAAATGTTTTAAACTTTTTTCAATTTTTATCAAAGTGTCTAGATTTTGGTTCATTGATAACAATCCATAAGGGGTATTGTAATTTTGATGGTCAAGTATATGAATACAGATTATTTTTAACAAATCTTTCTTAAATTGGATTTTTAAAAATATTTTTTCTCGCAAAAATACAAATTTAAAGGAAATCCAACGATCATCTAACATTTTTTTATCTACATCAAAACAACTCATTATACATTTCTTAATTTTGAGTTAAGGAAAAAATAGTCTTTTAAAGTATCAAAATGTGTTGGCTTTGATGCATAGCTGAGAAGGTATTTTTAATATGTAATTATTAGTAAAAATAGTTTTATTGAACTGTTAGAGACATTAGACAAGCCTGAACAGTTAAATTATTGTTTTTTGAATATTTAAATAACAAATAACCATTAATTTGTTGTATTTTTTAGAAAAGGAACTAATTATAATGAAGAGAGTGATGATGAGGACGGGCAAAAGAAAAAACGACACGGCACTATACGTGTGATGTTTCCGTTTTTTAAAAAATCGGAAAATAAAGAACGAGATGAAGAATACTATAATTCACTTGCTGATAGTGACTTCATTGTCAGCGGGGAAGAATTTGATTATAATGATGACGAACCTGTAAGTATTTACAATGGTATATTATATTTTAACTATAATTAACTTAATTTTTTTTCCCCATAGCGCTCTAAGAGGAGACGTAATAATAGCTCGGCAACTGTGCCTAGATTACCTGCGTCACAGGTAACTCAGGAAATGTTGGACAATATTACTTACAGCTCTTGTGGAAAACAATATAATGCTGATAGAGGAACAACTTGTCACCAGTGCAGGTATTTTTAATAACTTCTTCCTTAAAACATAATTTGGCTATCACCTTAACAGTGTATATAAGATTAAGTACTTTTGTTTACTAGGTAAATAATTATGTTACCCATATTATAGATTGTTAATTTTTTTCTTAATTTAGACAAAAAACATTGGACCAAAAATCATATTGTCGATACAAAGGATGTAGAGGAGTTCGTGGCATGTTTTGTGGGTTTTGTTTGGGCAAAAGATATGGTGAAGATGTTGCTGAAGTACTTTTAAACCCAGTAAGTTATTTCAATCGCTTATAATTATTATTTAACATTTAACATTTGAATGAAAATATTTAAATGAAAAAATATCTTCATATTAACCATCTGGATGAACACAATTGTTTAAAAAATTATGTTTTTTATTTTGTGTGTCTGGTCCCACAATATCTTTTAAGCCTCTGGACTGATTTCTTTTAGTTTATTGAATATGGGTCTTTTTAATTTTTGTTCTCATCTCTATGGTGGGATGTATAGGAAATTAATTTTATTATGTACTGTAGATGGGTTTGTGTTTTTTCATAAGTATCTGTTATGCTGGAAAAATAATCTGATGTCCTATGTTATTAGGGGAAAAGCATCGTTTTAGATAGTCATCTATTTTGGCTTCATTTCTTATTTATTGAGTTTTTTTAAATAACACAAGTAGTGTCAAAATAAATGATTTATACTTAATCATTTTTACCATCTACAATTTTGCATCGAAGAATTTATTTAAAAGCAGTTATATCACTTTCAGTTACTAAATATCCTGAAGACCTGTAACCTCCTTGTCCCCAATATGCTACGTTCCTATTATGTCCTGACCCAACTGTGCTGGCCTGTTTTATGTATTTTAATTTCCTCCCTAGTAAGCAGGCCTTGTGCAAAGGGAGTGGTCAACATCTGTTTTGCGGTGTGTATATTATGTGTTCCCAGTTCCTCTATACCAAGTTCGAAGCCTTATTTACTACACTACACACATTTACAATTTATTAATCTATTTTAAGTGTTTATAATTGTAAATTTTCTTTTTAAAGAAATGGGCATGCCCTCCTTGTCGAGGATACTGCAATTGTAGCATATGCAGACGAAGAAAAGGCAAAGAACCAACGGGTCAATTAGCTACACAAGCTTCAGCTAGTGGTTACAAGTCAGTCAGGCATATGTTGAGTAACATAGAAGGAGAAGCAGCATCTAAAGAGCTAAGCAGCGACTCGGAAAATGAAGACGATAAAAGCAATGATGAAGAGGAAGTAAACGACAAGAACACGGAAGATACCTTAAATACCAAGAAAGACAGTATTGGTGAAAATAATGATAATATCATTAAAAAACCAACTATGACTGAAACAACAATTGATGAGACTGATGATTACAAGAGCAACAAAGAACAAACTAATGAGGAAGGAATTGTGAAAAATTACAGTGAAGACAAAGAAATCGAAATAAAATGTGACGACAAAGAAAATCTTGATTTGTGTAATACTAATGTTTTGTCTGTCAGTGAAAAGCAAATAACCGAAATTGATAATGAAAAATCACTAAAATTATCAGAAGAAAATGAGACTGAATCGGATGGTGTTCAAAATAAAAAAGGTAATCAAGAAGCACTGCTTGATCAACTTTATCAACAGCTATTCGTGAAAGCCTGATCATTACGCATATGCTAACATTTAACACTTTTTTTTAAATATAAATCCTTTTTTTTTTTTATTGGATACAATTTACTTTGATTATTTTAATTATATATTTATTACTTGTATTATTTACTATTTATGAATTATTCATTTTTTTTACTTGACTACCTAAGCAGGGTAACACATAATAAATTATACAAGTTCACGCTTACAGTTTTGAGTTTTGCTACAATGTATATTATAGATTATAATGTTAAATAGTTATAATTTTATATGTGGCATATTATGCTAGATTTTTTTAAGACTTTAAAAGATTCCTAACATAAAATATTGTTATCTATTTTTTAAAGTATTTAAATTGTGTAAAAGTTAATAATTAAAACTTTTTTGTAATACAATTTTTTTTTTTTTGTGTTTATATAATGTATTACTTGTCTGTTTCATGGTAGAAATTAAATAATAAATATTTTTGAAGACTTGTAGAAATTTAAAACCTTATTATCTAAGTTTTTTTTTGTAAATTAAGTTGTTAAAGACTTGACTAAGCTATTGACTCAATAATTATAATATTTAATCTGCAATGTAATTTAAGTGTTGTAAAATAATAAAGAAAGAAAAGAATTATGAACAACTTATAGGCGCTGGTCTTTACTATAAATTGAAAATAAAAAAAATGAATTCAAATAGGCAATATAAAGCAGGTGGCCTAATATTAGTTTTATTTATTTAACAACAAATTTATGGTATTTCGAAGTGCATTATACGTTTTGGGTACAACTAAAAAAACTAATGGCAATCTGAAAAAATGTATGAAGAGAAAATATGTATTCAATAATTGCTCGGACCTTAACTAGTTTTGTCTGGTAATTCAATTTTAAACATCTTACCGTTTAAGTAGGTGTATGGATTTGAAATTGTCAATCCTATACAATTTTTGTTTTGTTGCCACTATATTTAGTTATACATTCATAATAATAGTTCATAGTTATAGTAGTAATAATAATAGTATAAATTAGAGTTATACAATATTTGTATGAATCGCTAAATACTATGGTCGTTTTTTCTAAGCGTTTTTACGGAGATTGCAATTTGATGTAAATTTCCTCAGCTTTATAAAAAAAATATTAGAAAAATTCCCAAATTTTGGGCAACACAAAAATAATTTTAGAATATAAACTCAATTTTAATAACTTTTTGTTTTACAAGAATTTTTACGAAAATTTGAGATTATTTTACATAAGAAACAGGTTTTTATTAAAATGTTTGATGGCCGAAGATACTATAAAAAAGAAGTGCCAAGAAAAAAACTAGAAATAATTTTTAACACAATGTCAATTTAATTGAAAAAGAAAAATCATTTTTTTCATCATAGACATGCAGTGTAATTTTCAAAAAAATTCGTGAGGTCGCTTCAATTGTTCGTTTGTGTTTGGCGATTCAAAAAACCAACCAAGGGTAAAAAATCGTATTATCCGCTGCGGCAGTTTCTTAAATATACTCTTAGTGTTTTGACAATAATTGTTTTATATTTTAATTAATACATTTTATGTATATATCTTATCATGGTTATTTTATTAGTTTTTTACTCATGCTCTGTATCATGTTTGTTGAGGTTTATTTTGAGGAGAGTTTCAGGGTAAAATATTATGAGGGCTTTAATCCCTCCTTTCTTCTCAATAATAGTGTAAAATAACAATATATTTTATTTCGTATACTAATTATGTCGGTGTATGTGAGTATTAGTGCTGCCCATTAGAATAATACGGTATTGGCAGCACAACATACACCAATGTCATGGTAGTCTCTGTTATCAAAATATTGCTGGCTCGTTTATTGCTAACTTCATACATATCTCTATATCATTGATCAAATATAAATTCAATTACTCTATTAAATATGTTGAAACACCTTGGATCTAGGGATAGAATATTTAATGAATTATGATAACATATCACTGACAAGTCAAAATGTTTACAACCGTCTATTCATTATTGTCGTTTGTCGTGTACAATAATTATTCAGCGAACGACCAACATCACTATCTTATCAAATTTACATATTATTCCATAATTGTTTATTTGATTTTAATATATTTTTCTAATTAACCATTTACTAATCTACACTTACTTCATTCGGTTACGTGCCGCTATCCGTTTACAATTGTTGTCAGTGATCTGTTTTAGTTGCAACCTTTACCTGAAAGTTTTTTTTTTATATTAAAAATGGGTGAGTATTGTTATGGATTATCTAATTTTCACAAGCACGGTCGATGCATAACAAGTGGCGTAATAGAGATCTATTTTCACTAGTGGTTAAAATGTCGACTGACACTAGAACCCCTGTAATATATTTAAAGTAAGAAAATTATTTTCAGATGTTAAACACCTCTCTCTTATCTCTCCATTTTGTGCTTCACTGATTACTTGGCGAGCAGATTGTTCGAAATTACCAAATTTATTCGCTTTCCGAAATACAATAAACAGTGTAACGTTAAAATATGTGTAGCGAACTTTTACCACTCCATTTCCTTGGCTAGGTACTCAACATTTCTGATTACTCTTACCTTAGTTCACATAAATGAGTTATCCTAGAATATTTGATTTTACACAGTGAAATTAGCACCTAATTTATAACATATATATAGAAGTATACAGTTGGCCGTAGTAAAATTCTAAGAGAAAAAAATAATAGTTCCTTGACATATGTTAGTATAAATTGGACTGTGGTCAGTGTAAAATTTAAGTTGTTTTTTTTCTGGACATCATTTTTTATATTAGACTGAATTTTTTCAATCTTGCTAATACGAGTTCTCTACTAAGCCATTGTTTATTTTTAATTATAAATTTAGGTACAACTTCTTATCAATAAATTGAGCTTTGTTTCACTTTTGCATTGTTACTTGGTAAATTTATCTTGATTCTCAAAAGCATTAAATATTTCAAGTAGGTCACTAATAACACAATGCATTTATTATTTAAAAATATGTAGACAATTAAAAAAAGCACAACTGGAGGTCCAACCCTTCCAAAAAAAATTTTTAATTCTTAATCTGTCTAAATTTTCTGAGAATTGCCTTAATAAAAGTGTCAGATGTTGTACATGTTAACATATTTTGATAATAAATCGTGGCTAGCGCACTAGCATATAATTATAATGGTTTTACATAACTGCATTACAATAAAAAAATCCCTGGTTGTTCTCCAAATAATTTTTTTTTTATTGTTTGTAAGACCACTAAATTTGTGTGGCACATTAAAAAAAAACCTATAATAGACTATGATTTTTACGATGATATTATGAAATGTTATTATTTGTATACATTTTATTAAAGAGATTTATTAAGAATAAATTAAAACTTTTTAATTATGTTTAAATTAAGATTGTTTTACTAGTATAATTAACCTAATTATTAATTAATTTTTTTTTTTAATAACTTTAAACTTAATAAGTTGGTTGTCTTTTTTAACTTATTCAAGTTTCATCAATTAAAATAAAGACCATAATATAGGAAAAAAATTATTTAACATTTAAAAAGACAATATTTTGGTTTTAGGCTGTTATCATGTAAACATTACTCTATTGTATACTCAGGTCTTTGGTGTGTGTTTTCATTTAATTAGTAAACGGTTGTATACATTTCTCTGATTTTTTTGGATTTCAATGTATTTCAGAATAATATTATAATTAAACATTTTGTATGTTTTGTTTTAGGGGGATTTCTCAGTTATTTTAAAAGTCTATTCGGTGAAAAAGAGCTAAGGATTTTAATATTAGGTTTAGATGGTGCAGGGAAAACCACAATTTTATACAGGCTTCAAGTCGGCGAAGTAGTCACTACCATTCCAACCATAGGATTCAACGTTGAGCAAGTTGTTTATAAAAATATTAAATTTCAAGTTTGGGATCTTGGAGGTCAAACGTCAATAAGGTAAACACTTTTTACAATGATTATCATGTCAATGATAAATAATTGTAAGTTGTACACATTTTTTTATTTTGTTCAGACCTTACTGGAGATGCTACTATTCCAATACAGATGCTGTAGTTTATGTAATTGACTCTGTCGACCGAGAAAGAATGGGTATTGCAAAAGATGAACTTATGTACATGCTTAAAGTAAATTTTTTAATGTTTTATCAATTACGATTCAGAAGAGTAATTCAAATTTTTGTATTTGTTTTTAGGAAGAGGAATTGCATGGTGCTATATTAGCCATATTAGCCAACAAACAAGACATAGAAGGCTGCATGAGTGTAACTGAAGTACATCAAGCCCTTGGTTTAGACTCGTTGAAAAATAGAACATTCCAAATTTTCAAAACTTCTGCCAAAAAAGGTATAGGCCTCGATGAAGCAATGGACTGGCTTTGTAGCACGTTACAAAATCGTAAATAATATTTACGTTGATGTTTGTAATTAGATAATTGTGTACAAAATAGTTTATCTTATGAAATGTATGATTATTCAAATTATTAAAGCTGTGATATTTGCTTCATCCAAATATTAGCCACAGCTTAAGAAATAGTGTTTTTTTTTGTGTCAAAATTTTACTGATTACATATATATTATATAAAATTTGTTATACATAGTTGTATTCCTTCATTTCATAAGTGGGCAGTTATTTTTATGCAATTATTCTCCACTGTACATATATGCAAACTACGTATAAATAAGTATATATTAAGTATATATAATAAACTTAAAACACATTGTATTATTTATTTTTTCACTATTTTGAATTTTACTATTTTATTTAGGAAAAACATGAGTTATAAATTACTATTTTTTTATTACTTTGTTTATATAATAGTATATTTTAATATAATACCAGAAAAATTTTAATAAAATTCAAGTTATTATTACACCAGAAAAGTGATAAAAAAATTATTTTAGGTTAAGAATATTAAATTTGTAAAAAAAAAAGTAAAATAATAACATTGATTATAAATAATATATAATATTTATAATCAATGATAATAATTACAAATGGTGAATTTCTGTTTTCAGTATTGCTAAACCTGTTATTTTTTTAGTACCTACTAATTCTTTACAACAAATTGACATAAATTAAACATATTCTTATAGTTACATAAATATTTAAATTGCCTCGGAGACGTTTATAGGATACCTTATCATGTCTATTTCTTAATATTATCAGGTCTCTGCAACGGTAAATAGAATTTTACCTACTACCTAGTTTATATAATAATCTCTTTTAACATCTTAAACTTCATATGCGTTCTCTTATATTTGAAATTAAAAATTCCACTACTTGTAAATAAAATTATGTATAATATGTTCAATAACATTACGAGAAGTACTATGGAACAATTATTGTTCTTTTATGGATAACTGTTATCCATTTAAACTATCTATTATTACATATCTATTAAAGGTTACTATTAAGAAAATGTAAAATGTGTATTTTAAAAGCAATGATAACGAGTGACTTTAATTTAATTTGTTGTATTAAACAATTTTCTGCTCTTCCAGCAATAACATGGGATCGTCATGTGTTCTTCCTCCTTATCACCATAAACATCTTTATCTCTTCCCCTCCCTCCCTTAATTTCCCCCAATTCCGTCCGCTCTCCTCGATGACGGTTTGACTTGAAGCAAAACTAATTTGTTCCCTAGAGAAAAGACACTTAGACGTAATATGTTATATGTTTGACAACATTATTAGAAATATATTTTGGTTTAGACTTAAGAACTAAGCATGACTGATCGAACATAACACAAAAGACTTAGTTAAATAGTTATAGTTATTACCTACATTGAGTACATAATATGATTACAAGTTAAAAATAAAAAGTATAATTATTAATAAGTAAATAAAAATGACTGACAGGTCGTTGTGTTAGATTTACAAAAAAACTTGGATTTCAGTTTATAATTCTGGTAAATAACAGGCAATTAAACGACTAACAAACAATATCGAGAAAGTTGCGCATACAAGTTGGAAGTAGGTAAGTAAGACAAATTGTATTATTTTAAATTTTATAGTTGTTTAGTTGACTTAATAATAGGAAAATATTGCTATGTAGGCACAAAGATGTGATAAAGCCACGTTTGAAAACTTTTCTTAAACAATGCCTATAAATATTCCTACTAAAATGAGAAATCTATACTTAACTAATGTTATAATGAGGAATATGCCTATTTATATTTTATAATAAAAAGTAACATTAATAATATTATAATAGTGTTATTAATCGTTAATAATAGTATACGAGGCATGTTCAGAAAGTAAGTGTACTGAGGCTCTCATGGCCGTAAAAAATATTTGCTTGCTATGTTGGCCACATTGCTGTATAGCTTAACTTCTCCCCTTCAAAACAAGGTTAAAACGAGTTCAGTACGTTAAAAATTATGGTCACAGGAATTTTTCTCGTGAAACATGTCGATCGAGTCTGCCGCCAAGTGCGAAATCCTCGCCAAATCCGCGAAATCAAGTGAAGAGCTTCAAAGAGTTTTCGGAACGCTAGGAACTGGGGTGATGCCACTGTTCGGTCTGTGTCTTGGTTTTAGGCGTATAATTTGCAACCTAAGTTTTATCTCCAGTAACAATACACTTGAAAAAATCATCACTCCCACTCGTTTTAATCTTGTTTTGAAGGGAAGAAGTTAAGCTATACGGCAATGTGGCCAACATAGCAAAAAAATATTTTTTACGGCCATGAGAGCCTCAGTACACTTACTTTTTGGACATGCCTCGTATAATGATTGTTGTCTTCGTGCCAAAATTGATTAAATTAAAATTAAAACTTTTATTAATGCGCCTATATTTTTTTGGTACTACTATTTTTTCATTATGTAAGCCATGAACATATAATAATCACAATGAGTAAATGTATTATAGTTCTAAAAAAAATTATTTTGAGACCTAATTAGTTTCCAGCAATTTAAAACGTATTATTTAAATATTATTATTATAATTAACATTAATTACTTTGATGTAAATATTGGTTAATATGAAAATTGAAATTTACATACCTAATTCAGATTTTGTATTCTATTATATTTTCTATAAAAGAATGCCTTTATTATGTATATCAAATTTGTTGGACTTAATTTATCAAAACGATTTTGATGACATATAATATTTGTCATTCTTGGAAACCGTATAGAAATGACATGACTAATATTGAGTTCAAAGTTTGACTCAAACTTTGTCTAAAAAAAACTTTTTTTTACTTATCCCCTTAATTGATAGAAGCATATTCTATTTTTTTTTTTGCATTTGATTAACATGGCAAATTTTAGTTTTTATTTTAAAAATAGGCTACCATTAATTGATAGGGTAAGCTGTACTATTTGGTCAATTTTGGCATAAGAAGACATGTGCTTTTTTGTAGTATCTAGCCATTTTGTCAATAAGGCTTATTAAAAAAAATTGGTAATAGTTTTTAAAAAATGCGTTTTTTTTATGCTAAGCGTTTTTCTATATGGAATCAAGTAAGTCGACGTTACTGCCGTCTTCTATCAAAGGACTTAAGCTGGTTTCGTGTTGTGCGTGACGAAGAAATCTGGTTTTTGTGAGATTTTTTGGTTCTCCAGTTTTTTCATTTTCATCGTTCCAGTTGTCAGTCACTTGATCTAAAAAAAATAATTTCAAATACCATATAAGTAGGTACTAGCTAGTAGGAGTTTAAAAGGACAGTGACATGTTGAAAATTAAAATTCAATAATCTGTCTAAATTCCGTCATGGGCTATTGTTTTTTTACAATTATAGGTAAATTGTAATATGCATTGGCTGATAACTTCATTTCTAATAACTTTGTTGAAAACAGCTTACCATGTAAAAATTTGGATGTTGTTGTTAGAGGACCTCACACGTCTGTAATTTTAAGTTTAAAATTAGCTATTTTCTTAACTGCTCTATTTTTTGTTTGTAGTTAAAATATATAAAAACCATATTATACACAGTATGTTATCGATTATTGTTGATATTTAATTGTATGAAATTAACTTTTTCCTTGTTTTTAGTTTTTTACTTTAGTAAAAACTTTATTAACTACCTCAAAAAACAAAAAAACAACGATGCGCGTCGTTTATATTTGACGTATTTTTTTAAATGCTACTAAAATTCTATATTTCTGTCACCACTACAGGCAAAATAGGACAGTTCATAGCGGATCATTAATATTGAAGAAAAATAGTGGAAACGTTGGTAATAGACACTACAATAGAACAAAACCAAAATATAAAAAAAAAACCCCATCGTTGTATTAAGAAGACGTCATACAGCCAACGTTAAAATATATACCTACGCAGAATGCGTTTTACAGCTAGTAAAACGCATTCTGATGATTTTAGAGTAAAAATACGAATAAAAAAACGAAAGATGATAAGATTTTAAAGACAATTTCGTATCTACTTTTTAATAAACCTAATATTCAGCTTAATATTTAACATTTAAAATTACAATTTTTTTTTAAATAGCTATAACTTTTTTCACATTGTTATTTTCAAAATTGGACACGACATTTTTTCTAAAATTCTTTCGATTTTATAATAGGTGTTTTTTCTCTATAGCAATATTCCTATCATATAAAATTATCATTAGTAAATCTGAATCTAGTCTCAGATTTTTGTAGAACATTAATTTGTTTTTTAATCGACTCCAAAGTTGTAAGCAACTATCGAACGGAAACAGTTTTTGTTAAAGTCAATAATTACCAATTATGGTTAATTCAAAAATCAGTTCTGAATAAAACAAAGCAAACAGAATAAACCCTGCTTTACTGTTCATAGAACATGCTGTAAGCACCAAAAAAACGTTTTCTTTGAAAAAAGCTGTGGAGGCAGATGTATTTAAAAATATTTACATGGTTTATAGTTACACTTATGTTTACAAATTGACTTTGCTAACGTTTTGGAAGAACAAAAAAAAAATCAGTAGTAGCGTAACATGCAGACGAAAAAGACCAATATTAACTATGGGAATGTAAAAATGTTATCCAGAAAAACCCATTACGCAAAAAGGGTGGCAAGAGAAGCAATTGAAATAGAAATATCTCCACTTTTTTTTAGCAGGAATGAAGGAAACTGAGTAAGAAGTTCTCCATAAGTATAGTCTAGTTATACAATTTAACTGGAACCTTATCAAGCTCAAAGTAATACATTTTTAAAGCATAAAATATCTTTAATAATCTTAAGTGGCTTTTCATGATTAGTAATGTTGTACTAAAATAGTTATGATACTGTCGAATTCCTATAATAGAGAATTTCGGTGCTGGACAATATTAGACCTAAACCAAGCCGTGTGAATACTTAGTATTTACCATTATTGTCTTCCAAAGGTTTGGTTTTGGCATCCGCTGACTTTCCCGAAGAAGACGGAATCATTCCCTGGACTAGATCCATTCGGGAGTCCAAAGAGAACTGCTTGCCAGACATCAGAATACCACGGATCCTCCTCCTCATAGCTTGGATAAGGGCAATGCATTGTTATTAATTATATGTAACGACACAATATTATGAAAATTGAATTTTGATTTAAGAAGTCACGTTTGTACTTACAGGAACTGTCCTTCGTTTCACTTCTCAACAGCTTCCTTGACCAGTCGGCTCCGTTGTCGAATAACGCAGCGAAACTACCGTTGACTACTTTCGGTGACATAGGTGAGTTCGCCAACAGCAAACTTGCCCCAAAGTTGTTGTTCCAATTTCGAGTTTCTACAAAAAAAAAAGAAAGATTTTGTAACATTTCATTACAAATCATTTGGGCTTGGGACTCTCAATATGTACATAAAAATCTGAAGAACTCTATGAAGGCCAGCAGATAATAAAACAGATTAACTCAATAAAATAAATAGTAACACATCTAGTCTAAACGAAATGAGTGGTTCAACACACGAAAGCAGTGGCGGACTGAGTTTTTTAATTATTTGTAATTGAAATAAAAAATACCGGCCAATGTGACTTTGGTCTTGTTGAAGGACGCGTCGGAACCGTGGATTTTGTATTCGTTAATGATTTCGGTGGCAGTGGCTTTGATTTCGGCCCAGTCTTTTGTTATGTCCAAGACCGTAGTGTATTGCGAGGTTACTGTAAATCGAATAACGTATTTCCCTAGAACGAGAATAAATATTTTCATAAAAAGTGCATAATGTAATATAGTAACATGAAAATAATTGTCGATAAGCCTATTCGAATGTGATCATTCTAGACGGTCTATTACTCGACTTGACTATTTTATGACTTGCGACTTTTATGTCCATAGTTTTCATAATTACTTAATCGACCCATTATGAAATAGTGACTATTTAATAGTCTTATAAAGTGTGAAGTCCGAAGGCCTATTGTTTTAAACCTTGACAAGTTACAATTAGAGCTAGTCAGAACTTTGTTTAATCGCTTTGCCAATTTTACCACACATTCAAAATCAATTATCGTTGACTACAGTATTATAAGTAATAGCTAATGTGTTACCTTTGAGAGAAGCCGGTACACAGTGTATTCTTCCTCTTGCGTTCAAACGTTTCAACAGTCTTTCGGTTAGATGGTTTTCACCTCGCAATCGAAAAACTACCAGACCCAAGTGTCTGGCGGCTGGTATTTCAAATCTCGTGTCGTTTATAACCATGAGTTCAAATTTTTTCGCCAACTGTACGCCCTGAAAAAACAATCATCTTAGCATGAAATGATGAACGGTGAATTGGTTAAATGAAACTGGGTAAATTTGTTGACACAGTAAATGATTTGGAGAATGTCACATCATTTATCATTCATCACATCATATTATTATTATGTCACTTTTTTATTTGGAGCACTATTAACAGTTAATTTAATTTTTTTACCTAAAATATAGTTTAAAAATATTTATATCACAACTTACATGTACGGTAAAATAAAATGCATTTAAAATAAATAAAGAGCTATAAATTATGTGGCATTATAAAACAACTTGAGTCGATGAAGATAATTTAAACAAGTTTTATAAACTTTCTTTGTATATGGTTTTTTTTTTTCACTTACATCCCTTATATGCTTCTGGAGACCTTTTATTCCGTAACTTCTAATCACGAACCACAATTTCAACGCTCTAAACCGTTTGCTCAACGGTATTTGCCAATGCTAAAATAGAAATCGAACAATTGATATTTTACTAGATAAAACTTATTTTTTAAATTTTATGTCATAATAAATCAAATATTTAAAAAACAAGTGATGGCTGTACTTCTATAAACTACTCACCATGTAGTCAATCGCAAGACCTAATTAAAAATAAAATAAAACCATTAAGGAAAGATTTAAAAATAGTTTGTCTTTGCAAATCAATTTTTGTAAGCAGACGATAAAAACAGAATATTAATATCAGATGTGTACTAATATTGCATAACTAAAGCGCCGCGTTAATTTTTTTTGACAAGATCTATTTTATTTGAGAATAATTTTGAGTACTACACTTTTCTCAGTCGATTTAAATTAAAACTTGCTTAGTAAATATTTCAAATACTACTTCTTATGTTAAAAATCTAACGTAGATGTTGATTTCTGTGAAATAAAAAATGATTACATAACTTTTATTCATTCTGCGTTATTATAATAAAGCTATTTTTAATCATAAAATTACTACATTTTACACTACATTTATATATCAGTATATAAATTTGTTTTTGTTTAACTGATTATAGAATAACTTCAGTGTTATTAAAGAATAGAAAATATAATTGATGCACTTTTAAAAAATGATCAAGTTTTAACAACATTTGCTATTATGATTGGAGAAGTACTTAAATCAACGATATTATTAATTTACGCAGACTATTTATTTAGACATGACATTTTTATGTACGTCAATTACCTGAGTTTTCATGTTGCAAGTACAAAGGCTCCACGTTGAACGTCCTATGGAGGTGTTCACTGTTTTTTACCCTAGTAAGACGTTATAAATCAAATAAACCAAAAACCAAATATGGTTTCACGTTAAACCGCATAACCGGTTTTATCCAATACAATATACTAAGCTATCTCTCAATATACTATTCTATCTATGTTAGAAATATTACCACATAGCCGTGCAATCGAAATGGACCATCATCCATTTGCTGGGGTTGAACGCAATTGAGTCGGCGTAAGTCACACCAGAAAGCCAGTGACGAAACTCCGGGCAAATAAATGCTGTGCCAGCATAAGCCGCATCTATGTGGAACCACATGTTCTCTGCTTGACCTATAACGCAAAATGTGAATTTATTTTTTAAGTGATACGATTTGTTTGCCTTATTAAGGGCACGCTAGCAGAAGTCAATACGAATATCTGTAAAATTAGAAACCTACAAATAATTTGTTTTTCTCAAACTAAATAGATTTTATATATATATATATATATATATATATATATATATATGTTTTTCAAGAATTAAAAATAGTAGGTATTATCGTTTTTTTTTTGTTAACATGAATTTTGGAAAGTCCCGCCCTACTCCAAATTCAAAAATAGTATGCTGTATCAGTGTTACTTAAAATCAATTTCAAAGTTACGCGTTAATGAAATAGGTTTGTTTTAGAGAAATAAGTTTAGGAGTTAGTTTTGTTTTTAAAAACCAATCTTGAAACGAACAAATATTTATCCACTTGAGGTAGTTTTAAAAAAAAATTTACTTATATAAATAACTATTGTCTGTAGTGTAACAATTAAAGTTTTCAATTTATACTTACAAATACATGTACTCTTAGAATTAAAACTAGTTAAAGGACGAGTAGATATTTTGTTAGGTGTGCTTTTAATGCGTATTAAAAGTAGGTAGGTCATATCTTTAGTGTCATAAAAATTAATAATTGCAGCTTGGAATAAAATATATATATATATTTTTAAATTAATGTTGACGTGGTTGACTGGATAAACCATTAAAATATTTGTTTTGTATTACGATTAAAAATTTTTATTCTAAATCGCTATGTGCTGTGTCTGTTGTGTTAGCCGTTAGGTTAGTGGTTTTGAGGTGCTCGCAAGCGTACTTACAAATAGGGCCGAGTTCTTCGAGTTTGTCGAACGCGCATGCACCGGTCGTACCCAGAGTGGCACACAACTACATTGAAATGAAATACAAAAAAAAAAACCGTAGTATCTTTATAACATTATTTATTCAAATAAGCAAGCCCTATTAGACTATCCGAGTACTCACGAAAAACGGTATTAGCTTTTTTTTTTTGTCGGCGGCAATGGCTTCTTGTAGCTGAGGACCTCTTAACGATAAGGATTCGTCGCTTTCGACAAAGCGCATTTTCACCAGACCGATTAAACCGGCTTTTTCGACCGAAGAATGAGCCTGTAAGACATGCGGCCCCGTTACAACAATCGAACAAAAAAACGTTATTTTCCCCTCAATCTTTCTGAACGTACTTGGTCCGAACAATAAGCCACCAGTTTGCTGTTGATCTCCACGTCTTCCAGGTCCGGGTCTATTTCTTGTAAACGGCGTATGGCTCGAGTCCTGGCCGCCAGCAAACACACAAACGTCGCTTCACTAGACGTAGTCTGGCCACAGCATGACATATTACACAAAAGTTAGTGTTGGACATTGGAAAAGTAAGATTGTGCAGATAAGGGGTAGGCAATTTAACGGTTCGACAGAACATTTGGAACTAGATTGAAGATGTATGTAACGGAATTATGCTAAATATTAATTAATGATCTGTTAAGTAAAAGATTGTACAAAACACAAAGACTGGTGGATGACTTTTGAATCGCAGAAAGAATTAAGTGATACAGTCTTACTTTTTAGGAGACTTGTGTAGGATGGGAAGACTAGCTGGGAATTGGACCTAATCGAATGCAATAACTGTTGTTCGAAATGTTGATTTCAGATTTAGTCATCATTTGAAAATCGTTAAGCATAAAAGTTTCATTGGCACAATAACGTTTTTTACTCACCTGGATAACACCGCCACCCATGCTCTCGTTGTGAGTATGCAAAAAACTTTCGGGCAGACCGATCATCTTGCCCAACCAGTTCATCACCAAAATTTCCAGTTCTGTACATGCCGGGCTGCTGGCCTACATGGGGGACAGGGAGGTGTCTAGTTAATGAGACTCTTTCTATAGAATTATTTAGATTAAAAACTAATGTTAAAAAGGCAATAGCCAATGAAAACGTTAAAAAATAAGGTCAATTTGTTAAAGTGGTACTTAAACATACTACAAATTGTTTTACAAAACATTTGTTAAACACGTGTTGACGATGAGTCATCACTTCCGGGATGACGTTGCTACATAAGTATAAATGGAGGTTGTTAGCCCCAAATAGGTCTCAGTTTGTTGTAAGCGGATTATACTGCTACGGTATATTAGTACCGAAGTACGCTTAAGTGTATTATATTTGTGGTTAAGAGTTGGTCAGGTGGTTAAGAAGTTATTGTGTCTTCAGAAAACACACACATCAATGTAAATCTTATGCTCCAATCATTACTAAAGTTATAATAATTGCAGCACAAAATTATGAGCTAATCGGTTAAAGATATTTGCCATTTTTATATTTTTATATGAAAACCAGCCTAACCTAAATTTCTTACATCTAACTGCTCGCAAAGATCTCTTAAGTTTCGTCTTTTAGCATCGATGCAGAGCTGGGAAGGAAATTGGTTTTAAGGTAATGTTTAACATACAAACACGATTCATTTTAAATAAAAAAATCTGGAATTCATAAGTAAAACACCCAAATACAGTTAACTTTTAAAATTTATAAGTAATTATCACGTCAGTAGAATACTTATTTTTAACTTAGTTCGTTTAAATTTTTTATTACAGCAATTATTGTTGAGTGAAACAAAAGAAAAAAATCACGGGCTTTATCATTACTTGTTTACAACTCCTTCAACGGTTTTTTTTGAACGCCTGTTGTAAATCAATCATTAAAGATTTCGGTTACAAGTTTAGTTAGTGTAAATTTATTGATCTAATACTTCATAATAACTATTTCTAGTTTTATTACACATTAGGAGTATTTTTGTTTGAAATATTTCTCAAGGAATATTATGTCGCAAGCCCGATTCCGTTATAACTTACCCATGTAAAACCCAAGCAGTTGATAGCGTCAGCCAGCATGTCACCTAACAGCGACGGAAAGGAGTTCAACGCCGGGAAATACGCGTGCATATGAGGCGACTGCCAATGTGTTATCTGAGGATTTGATTGATGCAAATGAAACAGTATAGGAAATCAAAATTATAAACACATTTCTATACTCACGCCGGGCATCACAATGTTTTCCACGTCGTCCATAATGTGCTCCCAGCATTCGGGATCAACTGGCGCGCTGTCAGGTGTTAAGTTCCTCAAGTATCCCGGACTCACGTTCGGGTACACTCGTCGCTCCCGGATTGTCTCCAAATAATTCGCTATGTAGTCCACCATCATTTTACCTAAGGGGGAATATTCAGTGTGTAACTGGGATTACCAGGGCCATGTCTAAAGTGTCCAAAAACTGTTTTAAGACATTTCAGAGTTGACTTCCTCTTCGCTCAAAACGTAAGACCACTAATAAAATCGTCATATGACTTCTAATGTTTTACCGAAAAACCCGTATAACACGTACGGGTTTTCCGAATATAGTAGTGACATGAACTCTTTTTCGCAAATGTTTGACCAAACACTATCAGAAACACATAAGCATTGATTATATAATTATAACCAATGATACGAGCTAACCCCATGTTAACCATCAGCTATGTCTCAAAAGTGGAGTGATGATACCCTATTTTGGATTAAGGGATTTTGATACCATTTTACACGAATTACTTTTATTATTTTATCATAAAAATTATATTGCACCGTTAACCTCAACAACTTAAAACAACAAAATATTATTTGTGAGAAATCTATAAAAAATTTTATATTCATATGATTTTATCTTTATTATATTTTAACCAGGAATTTGTTAAACTAAACAAACTTAGTAGTTTTGTAAGCTAAAATCTTAGTTTTTATACAAGTATTATAATAATTTTGTCGTCAAATATTAAAAATAACATATTCATAATACCTCTATTCCTATATTCATTGAAATCCATTGGAAGCGTATTAGTTTCACTGAAGGCTATACAGTTCGTTCTGAAAAAAAATTATATCAAAATAGGTATATGATTTTTTAATTTGAGTTTTGCGATCAGTGTTAGAAACATAGCATAAGAAGTAGTAAAAAATAAAACAATAGTTATTGCGCTGATATTACTCAATTAAATAATTGACAAAATTGTCTGTGTTGCTCTTAATACAAAACATTGCCGTTATCAAATGTCACCGTATAAGATTTTTATATGAATAGAAAACGCCTGACTTAGAAGACACAACAGATAAGTACTAACATTTCAAAGCTAAAATATTTTTCTATTGTCCAAGCATGTACAAATGTGTAAATCGTATAATTAAAAAAATGTGGCTAAAATTAATTTTTCCTATGTAATAGTTTAAAAATGGGTAATTTATTAAGTTTTTGAAGTAGCTGATTTGTAATTTGCTGTTAATCATTTTCGTCTAAAATGGAGGTGGGTTCAAATCCTTCTAAATGCCTTTAGGTTCTCAAAAAAATATCAGTAACCAATAACGCATAACAACTAAGTAACGTATTTAATTTCAATTTTTTTAAGTTTTCAGAGAGATTTTTTTAAGAACGTATAATATACGTTACTTATATATATTCTTTGATTACACCCTAGTCGATGAATTTTAAAATACACGTGCTGTACCAAAATAATTAATTTTTAATTTTATATCTTAAGTATTACAGCACTTAGTTATTAATAAATAAACCACATATATTTATTTTCGATCACCATTTTTGAATTCTAGACCACTGTGAAACAGCATTATGAAGGGACACAAAATATAACTGCTGTGATTTAGATATTATAGACAACTTATATAAATGATAAATCTGTATTCGGAATTTAGTAACGGTTTAACGGTCAGCTTTTATGCGTTTTTACAGGTTTTTATCATATTAACGTTTGACAGCGGCGTTTACTGTAAATAATGTTATATAATTTTGATTAAATAATAAACGATCGGATGACAAAATATAATAAATAAGTACCTATACATAATATTATTATGTGTACAATTTAAAATGTGATGAGTGTAAAAAACACAATCAAAATGTGTCAGTTAATAAATTGAAACGTCTTAAGTAACGGACGGCGACGCTTGAGCGTTTGGCGAAAACACTTATAAGATTACTTTTGGATAAACATTAAACGGCGGTAATTTGTTAAGCGCCGACTTCACCTGGTACCTGATAATGATACACGTATATAAAAAAAGCTTATTGACAAATAACGTTCAATTACTCTTGACGACCGTTATTTATGGAACACCGTTTGGAGATTGTCTTTTTTTTAAGGGCATTATTAACTCGACAATCGTTAATTTACACTTGGGACCCGCCGAGTCTTGGGTACTACTTATGAGCGCGCACTACCAATTACAAAAATATCAATTAACAAAATCAAATAAATTGAATACAACTATTTTGCCAGCTTTGTCGAGTATATGTAAATCGGTAATTAATAATAATAATTATTATTAGAATGAAAACACAAAACCATTTTGCATTCCAGAAACTAAAGAAAAATAGTTCACATTTGTTACAGTCGAAAAAAAAACATTCAAATAATTTTAAAGTAGACAAATTTTCCGTTATAATAGATTCAAGAGTATCATTTAAAACTTATGCAAATATAATTATACAACCACTGTTATCATACGTACTTAAATTAAATAATAATAATTTCAATATTAATTAGTTGAAAGTTATTAAATCAGTATAATTTTGTGTTTTTATTCTTTCTCTGGAAAATCTTTCATTTTCATGGTAGTTTCATTTTAATTTGTATAGATAATATTATGTTATTCTCTAACGAAATATGTGTGATGTCCCGAGGTAAAAAAATTAAGGGGGGGGGTTGGGTATAATATTTGACAGTTATTATAACTACTTATTCTTAAATGTTCTCTGTTGTGAGCACAGCTGTAACTACAAGTTATACAATACAATATGATTGAATCACAAATGGAAACAAACAATTGTCTATAATGACTTCAAAAATAGTACCTATTTAAAAATGTTCTCTTTTAAAAAAGTATTTTGGTAGCATTGTCATTTAATTGTCCGAATTTATGAAGAGATATTTTTTGTTCTGTTTTGTATTTCCGTAATAATAATTTGACAAAATTAAAAAAATTCATTAGTCAATTTAATGGTTACCTAACCTAAACCTAACCTAACCAGTATTTTGGTCGATAATAAACAAATCGTTTTAACCGCCGATGAAAAATGATTTTTGTGTATTCGAAAAGTCAATTTATGTACAAATGTTTTTTTTCTAATAAATTATATTCTAATTATTATAAGGGGGAAAATTAATTTTATTATAAATACAAAAATTGTACAGCAGTGTTGGAAGGGCAGCCTTTGGAATACTTATGCAATCAAACTCTGTCAATATAAATAATTGGAACTCCAAGCGTAACGTATTATTATATATATTTATACATAGTAGACTATGGTGTTATATAACTGTTTAGAGTTTTATTTTCAAACACTAATTGATACTTAAGCCAAGGGTTTCTACGTTTTCTAGTTTGAATTTTGGCTTGACGTGCTATTTTGGTATCAAAGTTTATTTTTACGCCACAAATACTGACGTAACGCACTTTTTTTTTTTTTTTTAATAGCCTTTATTGACGTAACTCACTTTAAAAAAAGAAAATTATTTTTAAATAGATAATACACATGTTTGCTGTACTACCGACGAAAAAGGTAGTAGTAATTCGACTGTGTTCTTCAGAACTTCTTTGGTCGATTCAAGATCCACCTTATTCGTCGGTTATACAAAAGACGTGAGATATCAGTTAACAAATAATCGTTTCTAAAGTGAAAAATTACTTTCTCATAGATGATTAATTTTACAATAGTTATATTTCGTCCTCAGGCGACCTGTTATAATATATATATATATACACGTGTACTACACTCCGGTACAAAACTGTGATATTTTCTTAAGCCGATTTAGTTTTTCGTAAGCATAGTAAGTAAGTAGGTACAATATTCGAGTATGCGCGTCAAATTGGAATATTATAATATTTACACCATTTAAACGGAACCATTGTGAAATTCAAAACTCGTTAAAACAGAACTGAGAAACCATAAAAAAAAGTCTAATGTGTAATTTAATACAGGTAATCAATATATTAGCTTAAGGCAAACATGTCCCTAAATGTAATACATGCAAATTTTAACGTGTAAAAATATGTTTAAGATAATATAGATTTTTCACTCAACGCTTATTAACTAGTATCGGCCACTGAACTCTGGGTAAGCATATAATACCTACCAAGGCATAAATTCATGTACAGTCTTAGCTCTTTCCGTTCCCATTTAAGACATTAATTATCTTTTCCTTTGTTTAATTTGATATTGATAATATTTTATTTGAACCAAAGACCCTAGACCAGTTCAACAATCATGTTCCTTTATTTATAAATTACTATTTTCTCTTTGTTTTTGTTTTTTTTTATTTAACAAAAAAACCGCGGCAGCTCTGGCCATTGGTCGTATTTTCTCTTTGGTTAGCATATGAAAATAGATAAAATATCAAATGTACAAATTCTCAAAAACACATTTCACAGTTTGTGTTTGAATGTTACTTTATCTACAGCACAAAAATAAATATTTATATTTTTTTGATATAGTACAAGCGTATTAAGGGCCCCGTCTGAGACTATTTATAAAGGGGCCAAATATAGTCATTATTCAAGAAAAAAAAAATGTGTTAAATAGAATTCAACTATGTTAAATTATTTTTAATTTAATTCGTATGAGCTTCAGGGTATATTCAAGTACAATTTTTTTTTACGAGTTTAGTTATTTTGGTGGTGAAAAATGACTTTACTGGACTTAACCGCTTTGTAGAGTAAACCGATTTTAATAACTTTTTTTTTCGTTTCAAAAACACTTTTTACAGTTTGAAACATCTCAATTTTTTTTATTTATACATTAAAAATGTAAGGTAAAAAAAAAAAATAAACATTCAAACGTTTTTAACAATACACAGAATTCAAAACTTAAAAATCGGTGATCAATGCGGAATATACATTCTTCCTTTTTTATTTTAAACTGTTTTATTTAAAAAAAATAATAATCGAAATTGATCGATGCGACGTGAAGTTTTTCTTGTAAGTATGTTTTTGTGGTAAAAATACGGGTCATAATTATTCCTTAAATGTTATGTCTTAAATGATTTTATGTACTGCTTAAAATACATACCTTTTTTAGATATTTTACAAATATGAATTTTATACTTTGCTATCAGGATAACAGATGTCAGATTTTCTAATACGTTTACTGAATGTTTGTTAGTAATTAAAAAGTTCAAGTTTACGTATTCAATGGTATTAGACAAAATTTGTATAAACTGTGTGCTTGATTATTCAATAAAGAATCATTGCTCAGCAATGCAAGTGAAATTAATCATTCAGTCAATTAGTAAGTTAAAAGTTAATGTTAACATAACATATTTTTTACGCTATAATGTGTCATTGATTTTAGAATAGTCTCATAATTGGACTTTATAATAAACTTTATTGGGGTTAATAAAGATACTAAAAATTGAAGTCAATGGTAAAGTTATAATAATAAAAAAAATAACAAATAAGTTAAATATAATTAACATATTAGAATTTATGAAAACAAATAAATTTCAACTTTATTATAAACAAATACTATATACTATATTAGATTTATTATTTGTTAAATAAAGAAGACGGTTTAAATTTTAATAAAACTATACTAAAATACATTAAGTACACAGGACACTATAAATATAAGGTTCGGTAAATATATCTACAGAAAAAATAATTTATTAGTTTGAAAATAATTTTTTTTTCTTGTACCTAAGGTAATTAAAAAAATGATTCGCAGTGAAGTATTTGTGTTGTTGCATATTTCGATTGTTATATAAAATTATTCTAATTGTTTTATAATCGGATTTTTATAATAATTACTTAACAAAAGACAAAACAATTTTTTTTTGCTAGTATTATTTATTTTGTTTTTATAAAAACTTATATTTACCTATTAATAATTTTGTCACTATTAAACTTAGGACCACAGATATATTTTGATGTTAATATTTTAAAAGAAAAATGTATTATAAAAATGTTGTCTGTAAAATCGGATCGTATATTTTATTTTTATTTTTTTTCAATGCGCTTTTTTATTAAATATTTACAATTACAATGAGAAACATGTTTGATACCTAATGTGAGTTGTGATGAAACATATTTTTTTTCAATTTTATTTTATTTTTTATTTTAATTTAATAAAACTCTATCTAAATAAATTGTAATGCCAAATTAATATTGCATAAGTAGCAAAAAAAAAAACAACAACAACATTAATACTTTATAAATAAATAATAAGCATGAATAAATAAAGTGAGTTTCATTACCTAGTATCCTGGAAGGTCTGAATGTCCTGAAAGTTGGATCGACTTCCTTGGATCAGACGGTATGGAAGAATGCATAAAAGACGGTCTTGTTATAATATGTTCGCCGCCGTCTAAATTCGAGCGCATGCTTTTGATAGCGCACCAATTGACAGCACAGATAAGCTTACACCAGTCATGCTTAAACTTGCTCCGGTGTATACTAAAAACGATTTCGTTTCAATAAACATAAGTAAATCAACACGATTATTTAAAAAAACGTATTACAATAATTATTGAACAATAACTTATTTATTTTTGTAAATTATTTTTTTCTAATATTGGATTGACATACATTTTAATGGTACCTACCTATACGGTATTCTTTTTTGATATTTTAGACTATTTAGGTATAATTAAGTAAAAATTCAAACAAAACTAATACATTTGAGAGCTAACGAGTTTGTATTTTTGAAGTTGTGGCATTGAACGCCCACTTCTGTCGTGTGTCTCAGTAACTGTCATAAACAAATAATTGTGTTTTTTTCCGTATACAAATTTTAAATTATCATTTATGAAAAAATCGATTTATATACATGTATACTATATATGCATATTTTAACCTCCGGCATTTGCGACCTGGATTTCTGGGTCCCAATATTTTGAAGGAACATTGTATTGTCATTTAAAATGAGTGTCTGTGCCAAGTTTCAGCCCTCTACGACATCGGGAAGTGGGTTAAATTAATTTTGCAAGATTTGAAAAATACCCGTACAAACGTACGTGTTAGCGAGTTAAAGAAAAGCATGTTAAAAGGTAAAATATAATTATTTGATAGTTTTTAAATTTTACGTTAATACAAAAAAAAAAGGGTTAAATTTATGAATAATTATATATTTCAAAGGAAATAAATAGATAGTAAATATTAAAATTGTACGTCAATTTATGAATCTTTTTATTTTCCTTACGATGAGTATTTTTTTTTTTTTTTTGTACAGAAAAACTGTGCTTGAAACTAATTTTGAGCACCCGTTTTTTATCCCTTATGGTATTAGTTTTTTTATTTATTTCAGGTGGTCACGAAGACCGATAACGGGCAATTTGTAGTTTTAGTTTTTGGGTTTTAAGAATTTTTTAAGTTTTTAACTGTATAGTAAAGAGGAAAATGTATGGCTTCGGACAACATTATTTCGAGTCGTGTTACAAATCAAATCCCTTATAGGATGGTGTAGTAGGTACATCCGCACAACTTGTAAGTTATTAAAAAAAATCTAAGTTGGGAGGAGGGTAAAAACAAAAAAAGTTGTAAAAAATTGAGATCACATTGTATACAAATAAACATGAATTAAATGTCTTATTGAACTCTATGAGATATTGAGTGGCCCATGATAAAAGAATCACCTTGTATGTGTGTGTGTATGTGTTTGGTTTTCGTTAAAAATGTATTATATGGAAATAATCACAATATTTGACGTTCAATATGTTTGTGTTTATTACATATTGTGTTCAGCCCCTATGTGCGTTTTGTTTTTTATTCATTTTGTCGCACAACTGAAACACATTAGAAGAAACGATGTACGACTGGACAATTTAATAATGCAAACAGTACATAGTAAAACGTCGAGCAAAAAACAAATAGCATTACCATTTTACACACCATACAAAACTCGGTGGCATAACATAATCGAAAGGAAGTTCTGCGATGCTTTCAATTCTGTGTAATAGCCGTATTAAGTAGCTATATAATGTACAATAATAATATATTTTTTCGAGTTTTAAATTCGTTAGTTTAATCACATTCATTTTTTTTTTCAACGTCAATTTTATAATAATTAAATTGTAGTAGTATACAATAATAATTGTATACCTAATACTATAATGTAATATTATACACACAGGTGTCTCTTAAAGTTTTACAAAGCTCTAAATTAGTTTTTTTATTACCAATGCTCTTTGTATACTTAAAACTCTTACTCTTTGTAATGATAAATGCAATTCACTATGTTTAAATCGTAGAATCAACTGTTTTACAGTGTTTGTACTTAGTTGAATAACGACCACGAGTTAATATAATTTTTCCAGTATATTTTAAATTCCCATCTAATCTAACATAAATAGTTCCTAATCATGTAACTGTCATTGAATTGCTCTTTCCACACAGGTTTTTATTCAACAATACAGAAATAAATGCATTTTTTTAATTCGTGATATACTTATATATTTGATTTTGACGATCATTAGTTCATACAAAATATATTTTTTAATATTTCATAATTGTGCAAGTACCTGATAATTTACACACATACGCTTACTTTTAAAAAAACTACATTTTAATAATATGATAAGATAAGTGACGCTTAAAAAAATGCCGCAGTGTTTTTAATTTGGATCAATCTTTTTCCACTAACCTTTTATTAATATTACAATTTTGTACACATTGATACTGTACTATAATATATTTTTAACTAGAAAAAAGTAAGTATTATTATATTTAAACAACTTAATTGATTAGTAGTGTTCTGCTCGATTGTATGGCTCACTTCACAGACACATCGCATACTTATCAACCTTTGTATTTTGTTTACTTATTGTCAAGAAATTACTCCAGACTATCGCAACTCATAATACTTTTGTTTAAGGTGATATTAGTAAAATAACATTACAGCCCAACACATATTATATAAAACTTAACCAACTATTTCCTGTAAGAAAAAAATGGCTCTCCGATGAAATATAATAGAAATAATAATGACTAGGTATTAGCCTTTCCGTTGGTATATCAAAGATTTATCTGTCAGACATCTCGTTCGACTTAATTACTCCCATGTGAATCGTGCCTTCTTAGCGTCTACCAGCATATACACAGACAGTATAAATCCATTGGTATCATACGGTTCCACCGATGAGTTTAGCGTTTTAATGCGAACGGGCCAATTATTATAAATACATTGTTAAAAGAAAACTCTCCTTAAACTGCTTAAATATGATACATACCACAACTGATTGGAAAAGGACTATAATATATTTATACTATTTCAGACTGACCTAGAAAAATAGAATTTTAGGATTGTCTTTTAAAATTGTTCATAGTAGGTATGTAAAAATTACTATAGTAAATTTTGGTAAAAAAATATGCAGCATTAAAAATGTTTTTTTAGTAAATTATTAATATCTTACTCATTTAAAGAGTTTTCAGAAAAATATGTGCAAACAATACAACTGTATAAACCTCTTTACTCCATTATATTTTTATAGACCTGAGTGTAGTAAATAGACGTTTTTAAATTTGATCTAATATACATATGCAGGGTGTTTGTGTTGTGTCTCTACTCATAGTTCTTTTGCGATATGAGTATTTCTAACTTCACCAAAAATGTTTTATTTTATTTCAGAAGATATTTATAATAATAAATAATAATGTATAATTTTAATACGATTTTTTTTAAATATTTTAAACAAGAAATTTGATACAAATGAAATAGATATTAAACTTACTGAAGTTTTAACGGGTATAGATTTGGAACTTTATAAAACTACTTGTAATTTTATACAATTTCTAGGTAAATTATTTATTTTTTTAAATGTGTGTACAATAACTGAACCCATATGGTTATTTATAAAGAAACGAATTTTACACTATATCTGTGCCTACAGCCGCAAAACAAATCACAGATACATCAAATTACAGATCATAGATTATTATAACGATTTTTCACTTTTTCTTTAATCAATAATTTTTTTTATTGTGACTACTGGCATCTACAAATATTAAAAAAAAATATTTTTTTAACGACACTGATTTGTCTCGGTGTTACTTTGGAGCTTTTGAACTGTACTGAATGACGACAATCAAATAGGTTGTTGCTAGTCGAATTAGCTGAAAAAGTCAAATAGCAATGTTATTTTATAGCTTTAATTGTGATCAATTAGAACTAGTGGTGATGGTTGTTAACAGCAATAATAATGGAACAAAAGATAAATTTTTGGCATAATATAGGCTATTATAATAATCATTGTATTAAATTTGATAGGATATATTTTAATATTTACCCCGTGAAAAAACGACAGGTTGACAGAAAAGAATCCGCAAGCCGACATGTTTATGTTCCTGTTGACTATTTGATTGGTAAACGCATTAATCTGAAATCATTTACCATTAGGAATATTCGCATTAAAACGTTGTTGAAAACTAAAACAAGCAAGTGTCTAATTATTTAGGTGTTATAATATTATACCAGGATGATATTAGAAATGTCATTCATGTCACCGCTTGCCAGGACGTTCCTTAGTGATATTTTAACTAAATCTTCTGCCTGCAAAAAAAACAAAAAATGTATTATTTTTTACAACTCACGTTAAAGCAATTATACAATTGATCATGTATCTAAAATATTAAATTAATATATATTTGAATAAATATATAATATATGTTACTATTTTTAATTTTTATATTATTTATTTATGTGATTTGTATATGAACCTAAAAGCTTATTTTTAAATAAAAAAATTCTTAAACTTTTTGGTAGGTCATATATTTACTTATAAACTCTTTATACTCCACTATCTCACTATGCCTCGTCACACTTTGCTCATTTTTTGTTACTTAAATTCGTTCAAATAAAAATGGTGTTGAAATTGTTATTTGGATTGTTGTGCACATACAAATAATAATGTATTTATTATTTGAGTTTGTATTTAAATAATGTCTAGATTTAAATAAATCACTATATAAATATGTCATGCACATTTGTACGTTTTAAAAATGGTTCTGCTTTACTTGGGTATTGTGCAGTTTCTAAAATGTTTAAAGAAACGACGATTGAAAGGTAACTCAGCTTATACACTCCTAGTACTATTTTTGCTATTTTTAATTCTGCACCGACTTTTTACAGGAAAATAACAGTCATAAAAACAAAATTGATACAAAAATATGGGTAGGTTGAACAGGATAATCTAATTGCGCATTTATAATACGATACATTTTTTAAGGCTAGAAAAAACGCAAAACAATAAAAATAAAATCTTCCCAAATTGTTTTTTTTTAAATACATACTTTTTGACATTGAACAATTCTTCCTTACCTTTAAAAATTGTAAAACCCCTTGCTCATATAACATTATGAGCGACGGTAAAAAGTTAGAAAGTAAATGCTTTTTGCTAAAAAGAATTATTCAGAATGGTGTTAAATGAGATCAGTATTAATTATGTGTTTTACTAAGAAAATCGTTTTTATAAAACTTTGTACAATTTATGTTTTTTTGGTCGAAATTACCTAATTTAATAAATATTTATTTAAGCAATATATACATAATCTTAGGGCCAGATTGGGATTAAGAATGATTATAATATAATATATTTATTTTATATAATGTGAATTGTGATAATATGTTATTGGTGGTCATGTTCCAAAATCTGTTGTGTGCAAAAATGTGCAAAATAAAATAAAGTAAGTTTTCTTGTTGCATTCCCATACTTTGATCTCGTTCTCCGATTCACCTCATTTTACAGTACTCGGCTCATACACTCCTGGTACCGTTTTTGTCAATTTTTCCGTTACAAATGCTGCGACGTTGACGCCGCCGAAACGGATGCGGCATTACACGGTACTATCGAAGAGGGCAAATCCACTGAGCTCTAACGGGAAATCAAAAAGGGCGAGTCACCCTTAACCGTAACTATACTAAGATACCAGGAATACATAAGACAGACATCGTCTTTAGCAACTTGCCACGCCAGAACAGCGGCACTATCAAAATGGCGGGAATAGTTTAAAAACGAGTTGTTCGAGATTGTCGAATTTTGCACAAAATTACTGAAATGTTTATCTAAAATTATCTCTATGTATTATATGTATATAGAACATAACTTTATTTTAAATATAATTTCGTTTAAATAGCATATACTTTATACCTAATTTATTCCGTTTCCATCTAAAAATTAATAACAGCTGTACGGCTTTGTCAGTGAAAAAAATTACGAGTATACCCTCCTAAATTTCAAGTTTTTTTTACTTTTTATGTCAACTTTAAAGAGATAATGCCGGTAATAGAAGACAGTACTATTGTTCTTATCATCCTAATCATCATTCATTATCATGCTGTAAAGTTTATACAAAACTTTTACAAACAACTTTAAAAAAAAAGAAAAGATTTAAGTTTTACTTTTATTTTTATTTACTTTTAACACATTAATTATATATTGCTCATTTCATCATACTTATTGCTTTTAATTTTTTTAAATAAACAATCTCTCACTCCCTCTCTCTCTCTCTCTCTATATATATATATATATATATATATATATATAATATTATATTTATATATGAAGTGAATGGGAATTAAAAGTAATATAGTAAACATAGATTAACTGAGGAAATACATCATTAAATTTAATACCCTTACTTGCTTTGCTGTGGCTATGTGAAATGAAAGAAAAAATATGTTTTTTATTGTAAAGCTAATTTACAAATTTCAAATCTCTGCATTGATTATAAATTCAATTTGCGACCTACAATTCACCTCCTTAGGGGTGTTTTTTTGAAAAATACTTTCTTATCTCACTCCTACACCACTTCATATCACCTTATCACCCACTTTTGTCTGATAAGTATCTTACCCGTGTTAATTTTAATCAGTGTCCCGGAACTGGCTCACATTTATTTATTATAAAATGTATTAGGCAATAAAAGATAATATATAATTAGGTAATAATTAGCCCCCTTAATATTTACCTACCACTCGTTTGAGTCTTTCCGCCCGGTAGGATACGAACATCACACGAATGGACACACATACCAGCTGGCACACCAGTCCGACGTTCCAGAATATTTCGGAGGCCTTGTCCAGGCGGGTGGCGTACACGGACAATATCGTGGTGTACGCGTACACGATGAAGAACATCATGCAGACGGTGAGGTTCAGGAGAAGGTCGAGCCCGTAACACCGAGACGCGGCGTCGACCAGCCGACAGCATTGCCAGTGCATCTCCCAGAGGTCTTTCAGCTGGCGGCTCCGGAACCGTCGATCGTCGGTCGCGTGCCAACGGTGCAGCCGTTCCAGGCCGTGGATGATCCGACCAGAGACGTCGTCGAACAACAGGCAAACGCGCACGATGCCGCATTCGACGACCACAGGCATCAAGATGGCCGGCAGGCACATCACCGTCTCTACTGTCACGAATTTGCCGGGCCTAGCCAACGTAATGGCGGCCACGCGGATAGCCATCACAGCCGCCACCGCACCGAAATACGTCAAGGCGGCTTTGTAGCCATCACGGACGCCATTTTCAAACCTAACCGGCAACCGCTGCGATTTTGCCGCCAGCAACCGTAACATTCGGTCGAGCAGCGCCGCAGTGTCGTCGAAACGGTACGCGCTGGCCACCATGATGGACGCCATAGCTTGCGCCACGCTGGCCGACGACACGATCCATTCCACCATAAACGAACAGTCTTCCATAGTTGAGCACGGCCATGTAATCATCCGCACGCATTTCCGGAGCGTCCAGTACAAGTAGAGGAGCAACAAAGCGTTGTACACCCACAGCCGTTTGTCCGGCACGAACACTTTGTACGGCACGTCATCTGCGATGGCGACAACAAAAGATCAACAGTGTTAGTGATTCAGAAGAAGTGATAAACCAATATAGAAGGAAGTGAATATTTTAAATAAATAGAAGGAGATTGGATAATGGATTAGATAGAGAAATGATAATGTTAATTACATCAAATTTAATTGGGCCATTTGTGAAATTAACGCTACAGTTCTCTTCAGTGGTGTATTTTGGATATTTTTTTTGAGTGCCTTGACAATTATGTATTTAATATCCAATTTTCGGGTAATTAATTATCACAAACTACATCTCCAACTTTTTATCCCCCCCCTCAACTCACAGTCATCCAAATTATACAAACTAAATGGTGTTTAAACTTCACTGATAAGAGCCAAGATAACGTTCCGGGCAAAAATAATATTTAATCGCTGACTAAAATTTGTTTTTCAATATCGGACGATCATTTTAAACGTTAAAAAAAACATATAAATATATATATTAATATATAAGTATAATTGTTGTTGAATTCTGAAAAACATATTTTATTTTGAAATTTTTGTTTTTTGTTTTAGTTAACAAGTGAAATATGATTTTTCTTGGCCACCAATTTTCACTCTTATTTCGATTTTTTTTTTAATTGTGGACATTTATTATAAACAATTTAATACTCTTATATTTGCTCAATTTTGGATTTTAGCACATTTTTTGCGTAGATTACACATTAATTAATACTTGTCGGAATTGATAAATTACACTAAAACCACCTTCACATTTTCAGATGTACACCTGGAACGCTTTTAGGTAACACTTTTGTATTCATCAAAATGTTATCTTAAAAACAATATTTTAAACTCCATATTCAATATAACGCGATCATTTTTTTTTTAAATTCATAATTCTTTTACACGAAGCTATTTTTCCACAACTCCAAAAATGTCGTAATAAATTCATCCAAGTACTTGAAACTGACATTTTGTCACGCCATTATTTTAATCGTAAATAAATAAAATTATACACGTGTTTAGGCAGGTTTTTACTTATATTACAACAATTTTAATACGGCAGTATGTGTAGGCAATTGTGGTGCACCAATGTGTTGCTGTCATAATTGCTAATATCAAGACATGTTATGACATCAAGTATTAGTACAACAAGTGTTAGTACATACTACATCTTAAACTAACCGTTTGTCTGTACCTTGGCCACTTGGACGGCGTGTTCTTTGACAAGTAAGAGTCCAAAAGCTTTGGTCATGGCGTAGAACGGCCCAAAGGCTTTGTACCCGAACGACTTGCGTTTGACGGTCATTGCGGTATTTAATTAATAAAAATCCTAAAAAAAACCAATACAAATGCTAAGGTGCAAAACCCAAACAGCTATTAGACTGCGGATTACACGGTTGATGGCAACAGGCTTTGATTTGACACTGTTCACTTAGCTTTCAGCGCATATAATATAGAAAGTGGCCCGACTTGAAAGGGCGTGAATTGCATAGTATGGAATTGACATTCTAATAATCTACCTACCCTGTAATTGTAGGTTTCTCTTTGGTCATATCGCTAATGGTCGTTTATATATTCAAAAAAGTCGCAACACAAATAAAAAAATAGCTTTTAAAGAATATTATTTATTTTTAATATTTGTTTTATATTATTTCAATCGAACCAAAAACATATTATACAAATATACACAACGAATATATTAATACAGTACAATAATCAAAAAAAGTTGTAAGTATTTTTTTCTTTTTAATGTTCTACTCTAAATAATTTCGATTATGAAATGTTAAAAAAAAATTGAATGATTTATGTGTACTTATTTTATATCTGGTCGAATCGATTTTTACTTTTATTTCAGATTTTTTTATAAAAAGCAAATTTAATTAAGTGTTATGTGCAATACATAAGTGTACAAAAAGCAGAGAACCTAAATTGTGCAAATATTGAACTTCTTTTAATATAGATAGGTCATCTAGAGTTTAAAGAAAAACCCGAAATACAAGCATTGGCGCAACTAGGGGGCTAAGGAAGTTCAGACCTTTTAAAACTCTTTCAGAATTTCAGTACAAATTATAAACCTTACTTGGTTGTGCTTGATTGGTTTAAGGTTTCTGACATGATGTTAGAGTCTGAACAAGTTTAGAAGGATTTGAATTCCATTTCTGGTTGCGCCAATGATTGCCAAGTTAAACTGTTTGTGTTGACTTCACACAAAATTACCTATTCATAAGTTATTAAAAGTCGTGATAGTACAATCAAGCGTTGTTGATGTGTTTGGGCGAGACAACTGGTTTTCTGTGCTGTCCTTTGATTTTGGTCCTTCTCTCTTTTGTCCGGATGTAGTTTAAGTATCGTCTGAAGTTCATCTGTATTTTGCGAGCCGCTATTTTGCGTTGGATTTCGTACAGATTTTGCCGCCAAACCCTTTCCGTTTCCTCTGCTTTTTCCACCATCACTTGATCGTATTGAACCTTTTGCTGGCAAATCGACACCTGTATATTTTGGATTGAGATGTTAACGTTTTCAAGTAATACAAATCACCTTTATAAGGAAAAAAGTCCGCCTTAATGACAGGTAAAAAGGAAGTATATGCCAATTTGACAACGCCAAAGGAGAGGTTTAAGCGTTGGCTGATATAAGGGGGGCGTGGGATTCTAAAATTAGTGCTACATTTATTTTTATTTCAATGAATCTCTCTTTAAAAAATAATTTTGAAAAGAGCCAATTTTATGTTTTAAGCATATTAGTATCTCAATCCTCTCCACTGATCTGCGCCAATAGTTTTGCATTATAGTGCTACAGCCGTCCAAGTCCACTCACTTGTAGCTGGCCAATTTCTTGGTCGATCAAATTGATCTTCGCCGTTAGATCGGTGACTTTCTCATGTCTATCGATCATTTCTTTATCGTACGCCCGGATCACATCTTTCTTAGTGGCTTTCAACCCGTTCCTAAAACAAGACAGTATTATTATTATTACTATTTTTTTGTTCCGAAAACCCTAAGTATTGTATTTACCTTTTGACCGTTCGGTTATTTTTTTCCTTTTCGTTTCGTTCGGCGTTTTCTTCGATTTTCGTCTCCAAAACGTTCAAGTCGTTTTGCAGATTTAACATTTTAAGTTCGTGTTCGTTCATCATTGCCACTATAGCCGTTTCCGATTTCATTCTGACAAACATTAACCAACGACACCGATTAATCGAATCAACATATAAAATCGGCGAGTCAAGTTTAATATTTACACATTTTCTGTTATTTATATTTCAAAGTGAACTGTTTTAAGTAAATAGTCTTCGAGTTATGTCTGTTTTATAAGTATTGGTGGTAGGAGAGGTTGTTTCCATTTGAACAGTAATTAACTTATTTAAAAAAAAAAGTTTAAAATTTGAAAAATTGATTTTTATATATAAAATTGTTGATAAAAGAAACTCAAAAATGAGATTTTACATTTTATTTTTAATAATGAAACTTTAATTTTTGGCGGATGATAATGAAACTAAATTTCTATTATAATCACACTATACAATAAAATGTAGGTAATCTATTTTATGGAACAAGAACAAAAATACAACCATTTGTAATGTAATTTTATATGAACTTTACGCCTATGCCGACTACCTTTATTTAAGCCTGTGTATTTTTTTTTCTTTGATAGCTTTATTTATGTGTTTTTTTATTTCAGCTACGTTGTAAGCCATTTTCCTACAAATTACCGAATCGTATGACAATCTATTATTATGGCAACGACTGACGTCAGTAAATGGTCTTCTTATTTTCGAATTGATTTATACTTTTAGATGATGATGTTCGAAGGTAACACCTATCAAGATCAAAATCAGGAATCGCGTTTCAAGAACGTAGGTTGAATTATTTAGGTACAATTGGTCAGGGTATATTATTAACAGTACTTTTTGAAAAGCCGTTTGGAAATAGTGACAAAAACGCCAATACTTTCTATTAGTTCTCGGTCGGAGCCTAGCATAACTAGATTAGGTATTCTGTTTTGTGTGTTATCAAAATTTTAAAATTACATATTTTTCTCCATGGAACACCGAAGTCGTCTGTCGATCACGTCGAAATAATGGCGGATTTTGTTTGCTCTTTCCGTTTTCGCGTTTACGCTGTAGATCAACTTTTGGTAATTTTCCACTTGCATTCGGTCGTCTCCGGTTGTGCAATAATTATAATCATTATTTAAGTCAGAATCACAAGATTGACTACTGCAGCTGTGGCCGGCCATAGATTTGGAATTGCTGCGAGTGTCCACCATTGTCTCTTCTCCCAACAGGCCTTTCACCGTTTGGGCGACAACGCGAACACAAAAATCCAAATATTCTTTGGCCGCGTTCGAAGAATCCTCGATTTAAACAAACAAATGTACACTATACAACCGTTAAAATACATATATTCAGCCTCGAGTATAATGCACAATGCACATAGTGTTGTGTCAGATAGCAAAATAATTGGGTAACTCGCATAATGTCTATAATTTTCAAAGTAAAAACTAGTAGAACAAGAAATTAATGTACGACCAAATCTGAATATTAAAAAAAAAATGTTTTAAAATCAAACTACTATTCGTTTTAGCAATAATTAAAAAAATAGACAAATAGGTGGGCTGGTTTAACAAGGTCGGGAAAGTCACATTTCTATAGAACTAACAAAATCGATTTAAAGGGAAAAAAAACAAAAAAATAAGGAGATATCGTTTGGTTAAATTAGGTAACTTGTGACCGATGAAAAGAACAAAATATCAAAATAATTAATATAAATGATAAAAAAACCAGTATTTACCTTTTAAAATAAATTTAAAAAATATACCTTTAGTCACACATCGAAACTAAATTAAAAATGTTATTTTTTTTTGTTATATAACGTGTAAAATAAAATAAATGACTACCAGTGTGGCCTACTTAGTACTTATACATATTTATGACAAAACAAAATTATTTTTATTTTGGTCATAATTAGAACAAATTCAAATTAAAAATGCACTAAAAAATCCTACCGAAAAATGTATTTACGACCTAAAAAAGTAAAATATATTTGTAAACAAGTCTTATTTATTTATTTATTTTTTAATTAAATTAAATACCGAGGACTGGGGTGGCACTGACGATAGTAATTTCACCCCCCAAAAAATGACTTAAAATTGCTAGAAAATGACTATTATTAAAATGAGCATTTTATAAACTATCAAAAATAAATAACGGAAAAATCAAGTATAAAAAGCTGTAAACTAGAGGCAGCAAGGCACTAAAAACCAAAATAAAAACTCGAGAAAAAACAAATTTACAAAAAACACATCATTTAAGTTTTTATAAAAAAATAGGTACCTACTCATTGTTCCTTCTGCCTGTCGTGTACCTACTGAATTTTATGAAAACAACATAAGTAGGTATAATTTAATGTCATTAAAAATTGTAAATAATATGCTAAAAATTGGTGAGCAAATTTTAGATTAATTATTATTACCTACACAGTGTTCAAACGAATTTTTTGTTGTGCTAAGCAATGCCAATGTTGCAATGTTGTAAGCAATGTTGGACTGGCTCAAAAATGTCGGTCGAAAACAGTTAATTTTGAATTTAAATCAGCGCACTTGAATACTTTCCCATAAAATAAATCAAATATGTTTTCAATTAAAGTGACGTTTTTTAAAAACAATTTTTTTAACCGTATATGTGCTAATATTTATTATATACAGTTTGCACTTACTTCTAATACGACGCCATTCAACTCGTTGAGAAAACATTCCAAAATCCTGATGATCATTTTTTCTGTGTTGTCGACATAGTGGTTTTCCATGTTCGTTCTAATATAATTTAAACGTCTTATGTAAGTTTAATAATTTTATTCCTTCCGTCGATAAGTAAGCACACGTATTTGTACACACTCGGCACATTTATAAAGGTAACTGAGGGATTTGGAAAAACACTGAAGGCCGATAAGGGGTTGTATCACTATGGATACAAACAGCCGCTTATAATAATAATAATAATAATAATAATATTCTAATGTGCAACACGAGACACGTCATGGCAACTTAAACATTTGAAATAATATTATAGTATAATCCTTTTCAATACGGCGAGACAATTATTTTGTAACAGATATCTATGAATACACACAAATATTAAGGGGATTGCATGCAGTCTGTTTTTAAGGAGTTTTTGTAGACAATATTCAAGAAGAGATTTTTATAAATTTCAGGTTCTTGTATAATTAAATAAATTAAGGCCAAAACGTTTGCATGACGACGATGTTTGGTTTTAGTATACGTTTAAAGTAGACGCACTACTTTCGTGACGCTATTTGTGTCGTTTTCGAGCTGGGACTTGGGAGGCAAAGGCTAAAGCATGTTTGTGGCATAAAAATCGAGTGACTTTATATAAACAAACATTTAATACTATATTATATTAAAATAAATACAAACAAATTATTTTACACACAATTTATTTTCAACAAAAGAGGACAACACAATATTAAAATTTTACAAGAAATACAAATATTTTTACATAGTAGGTTTACAAGTTATGATTTATTTAAATCTACTCTATAAACCTGTATAAAGGTAATAGAAGAGATGACAACAAAATACTAAAGTTTTACAAGAAATACATTGTATTTCAACATTGTAGGTTTACAGGTTTACATGGTTATAAAGGTTTTAGGTAATTTTAGAGAATATTTACAATAGTTCAAATAAATAAAAGGTACTAGAAGAGAGGCCAACACAATATTACAATAAATAAAACGTAAGGTTACAGTTTACAAAGAGTTTACATAATATTAAAGATTTGTTTGGTTATAAGGGTTATACACACTTTATAAAAACATCAACATAAAAAAACAAAAATTATTTACAAGTACAGGTTACAAGGTTTGCATGGTTATAAAAGATCTTACCGATCGGATCGGAAGATCGTTTTCGTGGTGGCGGTTTCGCTAATTCATAGATTGTCTTAGGTTCTCCAGGATCAGGTGTTTCATCTGTTTTTGTTGAAGATCTCGACCACAACGAACTGCCATTTCTCTCGTCCAATGTCTTGTTTGTGTCTGCTTTGTATTCCCCATTTGAAATAATTTAGGTACAATTGGATCATAAAAATATTATAATTACAGTGTTTGGTTGCCTTGCGGCAACCAAAATGGACTAAAAATCGTCTTGTACGAGCTATTTATAGGAAATATCTACTTTGTTTTCGGCCATGTATAAAACACCACAAAAGTAATATTTTTGATACTGGCCAAGATTATATTTTGAAAAATTCTGAATTTATTAACATAATGTTCTGGTTCTAAGTACCTACAAAAAACAACATAGTGATTGCTTTGTGTATATTCACAAGTAAATTAACTCGTAATTATGTGAGGGGGATAATTTTGAAATTATTAATTACACTATAAAACATCGGCTATAGCCTATATATATAATATACTACCTATGTTTATTGATTTTCATATTTTTAATATTATTATTAGGTATAAATATTAGATTGTTTGTTTACATTCATATTTTGAATTGTGTGCATTGATTGACACGGTAGCAAAACGAAAATGTTAATTTATACGGTACAAGTCATACCTAGACAATATCTGCCATGTCAAGGTTCAAAAAATAAAAAAAAGGTACATTTTTGTAATAAAATATGACATATAGTTTTGCTTTCTCGCATTTTTCAAACTATTTACTTAAAAAATATAGTGATTTTTTATGATCTTTTATATCCTTCATCCTTGCGATATTATAGTCTTGTATTATTATAGTTTGTATTGTGACGATATTATAGTCTTAATTATGTGTTCTGGCCAAAACGTTTGCAAGACGTCGATGACTCGTTATACAGGGTGTGGCAAAAGATATGCATCGGTTTTATCTACTGAATCGAACAGTATACACCTCATTTATCCAAGTTGAATAGTTTTTTTTCTGCAGCCCTTCAAAACTGATGCATATTTTTTACCTCACTCTGTATTAGAACACAATACCTATATTTTAAATACTTACAAAATTAGTACTATTATGTAATATTAATATTATTTACTTACCTATGGTATTTTTTTAAAACTTACTACATTACACAACAGTCATAAGTATACATTGATATCTACCTTAATTTGTGGTGTCCCAATATATTTATTTTATTTTTCAAATTGGAACATATTTCTATGATATTTATTTATTTGGGCAAAAATGTATTTGAATAATTATTGTAATATTTAATTATTAGTCAAATGTTTTCTTGTTAATATTGTATCCATTTTATATTGAACTACTGGATTATTGTAAAATAATTTTTCAAATTACTCAACTGCTTTCAGCACTAAAACTAATTTAATAATTATTGGAATGTGTACTAAAAGTAAGTAAATAAAAAAACAACTCACATTTTTTTGGGAAATAACAAGTAGGTAGGTTTTATTTTTATTCTTTGATAGTAAAAAAAAAAAAACACAAAAATAACTGTGGTAGTTTAGAGAATGCATAGTAATACTTATAAGATAATAATAAATTATAATTAAAAAAAAAAAAAATTAACAAATAAATGCTTTTGGATTTTACAGTTTTTTAATACAATCACTGAATTTAAATAGTGTCCTTCACACAGTTCAGTGAACCAAATACGTAGTTAATAAGCAAATAATTACAATCAAAAAAAAAAATGAGTAAAATTATAATTTTTAAATGACACAATTATTGAGGATGAGGTCATGTCTTGGCTAAGTAAAAGTAGAAATATACGTCATTCGTAATTACGTATTTTATGTAAACGTGTAATAAATTAGGGGGCAGCTTATTGTTGTTGAGTAACGTTGAAATTTATCATGGTCTTGACGGCGAGTTGTAGCATTTTTATCTTGCGACAAAATGGGTTGTGCGGATTGAGGCTTAAAAACTTCTCAATATTAGTTTCCATTCTTCTCAGAACCAAAGTGATGTTCTCTCTGTGATGGTCATTTGTGTAGTCCAAACTTCCAACGGCGGCTTCCAAGAATCTTTAAAAAATAAAAACCTTGAAATCTAAGAGCTCAAAACGCACTCGATGCTCGGTCGGAAGCAACAAATACATATATAAAATAAATAAACGATAAAAAAATTGTTAGAAAGGTTATAGGGAAAACTCAGGTAACAAATTAAAAGTACAGATGAATTACTTGTGCTTTAGTTCTGTGCTGTTTGACAAATCGAAAGACAACTGTTGAATCAATGATAATACGATCGGAGTTGTCATGGACGCGTTTTGGAACAGTTCTTCGGGAGTTACTGTAACATTTTCGCAAACGTAAAGTACCAATTCCAAGTTAGATGCCGACAGTGCCTGGAAAATAAAGTGACCACGATAATATAAATAACAAAAACATTGTTAATTCTTTATAAGGGTGGTCCAAAATTGTTTTCCCTTTTATCACGGTTTTCTTGCTTTGATTATTTTTTGGACTACCCTAATGTGTAATATAATTCATGGTATACCGTTTCAAAAGCTGAAACATTTTCGCCGTTTTCCAGTAGATTTGTTATGATTCTGCTAATACTATCCTCATCGCTGACGAAAGAATCTGGTACTTGCAAATTAGGTCTCTTCAGCAATAGGAAAATGGTTCTTTGCAATTCATTGTGTGAGCTAAACAAATGTGGTGTTTTAATTTAGAACAATATAAGATAAATGTCTTTGTTACTAACTTCAACAAGTTTAGTTCCATTTCTTTCATTACACTACCCATCCCGTCAACAACTTTCTCGATATCGATTTCCACTTTGTTACCGTTACTGTTACCATGGGCTTCGTCGCCCAACAAAGATTTCAATTCATTTTGATCTGAAATTGTAAGTATATTAAATTATTTATTGTCACTCGTTAAAAAAAAAAACAGAAACTTACATTCCAACGATCTCTCGTTAAACGACATGTCTATTTGCTTGAACATTGAACAACAGGCTTGTTCGAATTTTGGAACAACCTTAGTCATAAACAAATCTTTTAAAATCTCATCCAAAGCCGGGCTTAACAAATCCATCAATGCGGGTGTGAACGATTCTATGTCATCCTAAAAAAAGAAAAAACGTTAACAATGCAATTTATTACAAATTAACCCTATTTTATTGTTATCCTATTAGTACTCTGTTAGCAGCCAAAGTGGAAACAACATTAACAATTTTGTTTTCCAACGCTATCAGCTTAGCGTCCAACGCTGTTTCAACTTTCTTCTCCATCACATCAATACTTTTTTTCACTATAGCTATAAAAATAAAACAAAAAATATAATTATAACTATTGGAAGTGATCAAAATCACTTTCAAACATAAGGTTCTACAGTTTTACATCAGATGGTAAAAAATATCAAATATAAATTGTTTTATAGGTAATATTTGTTTATAATAATATAATTTGATTTTTTTTAGTCTATGGTGAAACGCTTATTGAACTTAATAATAATAATAAATAAATTCCAAACAAACAAAAAGCTTGTAATATTATAACAAACTGAAATATCAGAATTACAATTCAAAAAACTCTGGGATCAACTCACATTAAAATTGTTGTTGTATGTTAAGTTTAGCAAATTAACTTGTTTTTGAACAAGATATTTATCCAACATACATGTTTAAATATAAGTAAAATTGCTAAATTTCTTTACCAAATTTGTTCAACCAATCGAAAATAAATGTTATTGGTGGAAATAATCTTGTATATAATTCTTATTTACAAAGACGCAAAGGAAGCCATCCTTTTTTGTGGAAGGCATCGAGACAAAAGTCAAAGACAACATTGAAACGTTGGTTTTCGCTAAAGTTCTAAGAAGTGAAATTTTGTTTGAAAAACAGAAGAACGAGCCAGAAACTTTAGTTATAATAACTGAGGTTGATAAGCTGTTGTGTTGGCTAGCCAGTTGTACCGTTTCAAAACAAATACACCGAATACTACCGTACCTATCGTACTATCGTACCTGTTTGAAGTATTTAGGTTTAATAGACTTGTCAACAGTTAACAAAAAAACAAGATCAAGCTGTAATTTTTAGAACTTATTTCTGTTGCCTCAAGGAAGGCTTTAAGCCAATTCGGACGACCCTGCAGAAAAAGCAGCAAGTGTATATGTATTTTAAAGATTTTTTAAGTTGAAAATAGTCTACTAAAATTTTGACTGATTCATTGAAAAATTCAGTCATGTTAAAAAAAAAAATACAATTATTCATTTCTAATCTTTTGCTAAATGACGAATTCACTGGTGGCTTAAAAAATTGATCCAGACACAAAAAAATAAAAGCATTATCATAAAACCAGTTAGTTTTGGTAAAAGCTAAAATATGAATAATCGATGGAACAAAATTCCAGAAATATAAATTTACACAATCAAACACATACCCTTCATAATGGGTTCGAGATTTTGTATGAGATCAGCAACAACTGTCTTTCTGTTGGCCGGTGTCAGTAGAGCAGTGTTTACTTGGCTCTCAAGTTGGTTATTTCTCTTTATCAGCAATTTCAGCTGACTGCTCAATTCTTGCAGGCCCGTATAAACTTCGTCCATCTGATTGGCCATGCCGTTGCTCATGGCGGCACTGTTATCGTCCACTTGTATTATTGGCGACAATGTCTTGCGGTTGTCCATCGGGTCTGCGGTGTAACAATTAGTTTCTTCGCTTTCAATTTCAGTTGAATAATCGACCGCACGTTCATAGTCTACAGCCTCCATTATAGATATAGTTTCGTTTAAGTCACACCTTGATTTGGCATAGAAAAATAAAACAAATTACTACTTTGTAAAAAAAATTATACATGAATATATTATGCATATGAAGAGCATATAGAAAGAAAGGTATTTCTTCATATGAGAATTTTAACAACGTTAATTTGTGCATAAAAATCTATGTCTTAAACATTTTAAGACGCTATCCCCACTGTAACATTTTCTTCACCAAAAGAATCTCAACATTTGATAATATAAACTTAAAATAGAAAAAATTTACAAATACCCTTCTTTCACTGTACCCTTTCTAAATATATATATATTATATAATTGAATTACTCAGAGTTGTTGAGAATTTCTTGAACTTCATCTGCGGGTGGACTGCAGTCTACGCTCTTAAGTAGAGTGGGGCGCTAAAAAAAAAGAAATAGATTATTACACACTGTTTATTACTTTTGATTAATTTATGTACACAAAAAATCATTATAATATTGTATGAAATAATTTAATAAAAAGAATTTAACTGTTTTTATTATAATAAAAGTTAAAACTAAGCTATTTACTTGAGGAGAATACAACAGTGGAGAAGTGGCCTTATGCTCAGGAGTCTGTTCCGGAGACTGAATCGGAGTCTGAACTGGAGCTGGTTTGATGATTTTCTTCTTATTCTAAAAAAAAAAAACAAAAAACAAAGGTTTTAAAATGGAATTTTTTTTATAACACGCTTAATTGAAATATTTACTTGTGCGGGATTTGGGTTCCTTTTTGGACTGATATCTATTCCCTTCAACTTTAATTTTTCTTTGACCAAGTTATGTATTTCCATTGGAGTGAGCTTTGGGTTATTTCTAACCGGATTCATTTGAACGAAATCTAAAGATTGACACATAATATATTGAATTCATTGATTTGCGTTTAATAGTATGCACTCACCGTTTGTGTTAGTGCTGGCTACGTGAGGCGGCAATGGGAAATCATCAGCTAGCAGACTTTTAAGACATATAATGGGATTTGATGGCCAGCCTTTCTTTGTTTCTTCTTTAAGATTCTCCGATCCAAATCTATCAGGTGTAGTAATAATTATTTGACCTTCTTGAAGCGATTTCGGTTGTATTGCGTATAAATTGATGATCATAGTTTTACTGTATTGGCTGGACATGTTCACCGGTAGATGATCGCCTGTAGGAACAAATTGTCAAACAAATGTGCCAACAGTTAATAAATAAAATTACTTACCTGAAATGAGATCTATCAAATTTGAATCGTTATCAGTTTTTGTGTCAACAATAATCATGTTCAGTATTGGACTTTGCAATATAATTTCAGTGACGCTGACAATTTTCAAAGATTTTTTAGGAGAATTTTCATCCAGAGCTACTTCCATGACATACAACAACTGAAAAATAATTAAGTTATTTTACTTATAACTCTCCTCAATCATATATTTTAGCCAAATTATGTATAACTTTAATTTTACATTATTGCTTATGTTGCTCAAAAACAAGTATTTTCCAGTTCCATCAACGGTCAGTTTCATCGGACTATCCACTCCAATCGGTTGGACAAATGACAATATTTGAAGACATTCCCATGATTCACAACACCACAAACGTATCTCGTTTTGATTAGTCATCGTCACTAAGTATTTCCATGATAGTATTTCCATCCTGAATAATGTGCAGAAATTTTATTTTTAAACTGATGATCGACATAAAAATGCAAAATAAAAAAACTTACGACGCCCCTTGAATTTCTTTACGATTGTCCAAAAATATCATTGACTTTAAACACAAAAACACTTCTTGAGGATGCCAATTGTATACACATTTTGGGAAGTCATCAACGTTTTCAAACGATATCTAAAATATGGAAAAATAATTATTTTTATTAATTAAAATATTTATTTATTTATTAAAACAACTTCCTCATCGGCTACTAAACAGTTGATTGAACTTAAACTAAAATAAACACAACAAATACTGTACCTGATAAAAGTATACGCTTCCGCTGCTGAGAGCTAATGCCACATTAGAGCCATCGGCAGAAAATGCAATATCGACAATAATGGCGTCTTCTTTTAAATCAATATTAATCAAAGATGTCTCCAAGTACTTTATCGTAGTTTTGTCAAAAGATTTATTCAAATCGAAATTTGAAAAAATCGGACCAGCTGTGTATGTGCTTGCGATGCCAATATGCCATATTTCAGTCTAAAGTTTTAAAAATAAATTTTTTAACATACATTTTCATAATTTATATCTATTATAAATATATTTTTTCTCTTTGTAAATATTTACTGTACAACCACGTGCAACGGCCAAGATTTTCCCATTATAATTTGGTTCATACTCAAGCTCTTTAATGTTTCCTTCTTCAGGTACAAATTGACACCAGGATATAAAATAATCGTGGAAACAAAATGATGGATCCTATAAAAGTTATTAATATAATAAACTAGTATTAATATTATTCTAATAGAAAGAAATTAATTAAAAAATATTGATATTCTAGAAAATATAAACAAACCCCTTTAATTTCAAGTATTGGTATAACAGTGAAATATTTGGATGCAGAAGCGTCTTCATTGATCACGTACACATGTACCGTACCGTTTTGATTGATACACGCTAGCATCAGTACCTCATAAAGATGAGCAAAGCTGATGTCTTCAATCAAACTCGAAAAACCTTTTATTAACGCTCTTTCATTGGTCGTTGTCTTAATGACTCTGACGAGCCCTTCCTTAGAATTGGCTACGAAAAAACAACAATTAATAATTATTATATGACGATGAAGTGTATAGGTTCAAAGTACTTAGGATCGGTAGTATAAAAAAATGGTGGGTATGACGAGGACTAAAAAAATTGGATAAATTGTGGATGGATGAAGCGGAGGGGAGCGTCGGGTGTTTTATGTGACAATAGGATGCCTATAAGATTGAAAGGTAAAATATATAGGACGGTAGTGAGTCTGGCAATGTTATATGGGTCGCAATGTTGGGCAGTAGACAAGAAAACTGAACAGAGAATGAGTGTAGCAGAGATGAGAAATTAATACATAACGGGGAGTCTAGGAGTTACATAAATTGTGGGGAAAATGAGAGAGCATAGGTTAAGATGGTTCGGTCATGTTATGAGAAGAGATGAGGTAGGGGCAGTGAGAGTTGTTATGAAGATGAATGTAGAGGGAAAGAGAGAAAGACTGAGGAAAAGATGGATAGACGGAATAGAGAGTTAAACGAGGACAGCTGGGGTCACTGAACGAGGTATAGGAGATCAAGCCCTATGAAGGTGCAGGACTAGGGTGGCCGACCCCGTGTAGTCGAGAGTGTAAAGCGAAGATGAAGAAGAAGATTAATTAATTATTCATATTATTTTATTCCCACTAAAATGTCCTGTCGTAGTACTTACGTTTAACAAAGGCGTAGGCCAAGACGGTTCCACCGATGTGCATAGCAATTAAACGGCCTTTGTAATAACGCTCTTCCCAGTTGAAGTCGACCAAGTTTTTCAACTTCAGCTTCGAACTGCCTTTCTTGTGCGATCCCTGGCTCAACATGATCGTCGTTTCGTTCCGTTTGATGATGTGCGTACAGTCATCGTCGTTTCCGTTGAACTCCCTGAATCCATCGTAAATCGACATAATGAATACTCAGCAATAGATCAGTTTCCGCTCAAATTTTTCTCGCAGGCCAAATGTGTGTTTGACGCAACCGCTCGCTCAAAAGACAACCGTAAAAGCCAACTCGAGGCGCGAACAGTAGGCAACACAAAACGCTCGGCACGACGGGATTCGAGACAATGAGAGTTTTCCCAGGGCCAATCGGGCGCGACCAAGACGAATTCTACTCCCAACCCCACTACCCCTCCCATCCGTCACCGCTCCTAAACGCGCGAATTACGACCTGCCGGCCCACCCTATTTACACATATATATGTATTATTACCCCAAAAATCAATACAGCTATTTCCTCCCTATTGCGCGCAACACTGGTGTGTACCAAAAATGGCCGCAATCTACTTTGAGAATAAAAATCAATAGGTCACCGGATGATGCTGAGGACGGTGGGGTCATTTCCAAGGGAATGAGACAGGTATAGAATCTGTGTGGACTCGAGACAAAGGCAAACACTATACAGGGTGATCTATAGTAACAATACGAAGATTGATTTCCTTAAAATATCTCAAACGTTAATTACTTAATAGGTAATTCTGGTGTAATTAACTTCCGACGTCCCCAACCGTTTTTACACTATCAGCCGTAATGATCACTTGTTAATTTTTCTGATAATAATAATAATAATATGTTCGTAACCATTGGAATTGTTTATCACAGGTGAGTAGCGAAAAATATGATAAATATTTATTTTTATCAATATATATTTATTATTATTATACATTATACACTTGATGAAAGATAATGTTTCTAGTTGAATATTAGCTTCGATGCGTAGCTGAGAAGTTATTGTTTTTACAGGGTTTTTATTTTTGTATCTAAGCCCACAAGATATTCTAAACCGCCGTACCAATTTCTTTATCAGGTATAGTACCTGAAAGGTACTTTATTGGCCCAAAATTAAAAAAAAATATTACCTCTTCCCATCACCCTAAAAATATACATATTTTTCAAATTAAAAATATGGAGCTGTCAAACTTTTTTATAATTAGTCAAATTAATTCCAAAGTTATATATTATGAAAATACCAAATAAAATATCAAACACCTTTTTTTCCAAAAGGGTGGAAAGTTTTTCTTAACTTTCCTTTTTTTGTATAGTTTTAAGTCTGAAAATTAAATTGAAGGTTTTTTTAATTAAGGAAAAATCTAAACGGAAAGGTGTAATACTTTGATCGTAGTAAATTACTAAATTACTATGTACGAGTAAACCAACAGTTAACGGGGAAATGGTGTAAAAAAATTTTTTTTTTCTTTTTTCTGATCAAAACATTGTTAACAATATACATTTTTTTTATTTATTTAGATTGAAATTGTTCTCAATATATATATATATATATATATATATATATGTATATATAATTAAGAACATGATATTAGATGACAAATCCAGCTTGACAACAGAATGGAATGATACCCAACACACTATTGGAATTTTAAAAGAGAGAATCAATTGAATATTAAAGGGAAAATACAATACATAAAGGTTAACAACAAGCATTATTCAGTCTACAAATACCAATAGCCCGTGGATCACCTCTGAATGACAGTAACATGAATACGTTACAAAATTATGTGTATGTTACAACAAAATCGTTATCTATAGTAATAAAATAGGTCATAAGAAGTTATATCACATGTACTCTGCATTATATTAATTTTTTCATTAATTGAAGGGATAAAAAACACATTATTAAGTGCAACTGTTAGTAAGAAACATTTTTAGCATGGAACATACTTTAGCTTTGGCCCCCCAGTCCGAAGACTGCATAGCGATACTTAAGTAGCGTGCCTACATTAAAAGTATAATAACATATAAGATACCATCAAAATAATAACGAGTTGTCGTCGTCATGCAAACGTTTGGCCAGAACATATAATTAATACTATACTATTGTCATAAATCGCAAGGAGATTATAGATCAGAAATAATCACTATTCAAGAGGCAGCAGGCTAAAGCATGTTCCATGTTTTATAATTTTAACCGTTAGGCTTGAAGTAGACTGTAACTTTTTTTTTCTTCAACTTTTATGTTACGTTGTACAACTGTAAAGATTATACATTGTAAATCACTTACAACAATGTCAATAATAATTAAATATTCATAATACGAACATAATGAAAAGTCCTTGTCAGGGACTTTGTAATGAAGCAAAATCGCTTATAATAAAACATTGGTTATAAGTTATAACTAGTGCTTGGATGTTTTAGACTAAAACTAGACAATTTAGATGCAATAGGAAATTTAATAAAATATGCACTTTACTTAAACAAAAAAGACTAGTAAAAGAAAATACCCCCGTTTTAGTTATTTTTTAAACATTTTTTGACTTAAACAATAATAAAATATTCAAAAGGTATTCAACTTTACCAATTGTGGTACCTTGTTGAATACTAGTTGTCTGTAACAAATATAATTCATTTATCATAAAACACGTATAAATTAAAATTTAACTTATTATTATTTGATTTTGTGAATCAAAACAATAAAACAATCCAATTTCATAAACATCCAAGACCTACTTGTAACAAACAAATGTATTTTTCACTTCAATCATAAGTGATTTACACTGTATGTATTCTCTACTTAACTTAAGAAAAAGTCAGTGACGAAAAGAAACCTACGGGTGGGATGGTCTATTAGCATGGTCATTGATTGTAATTCTTAACTTGAATAGGGTATAGTTAGTATATATTTTTTAAGAGGATGCCATGTGTCTTATTTGTTGGGTTTTTTTTATATCATATAAAAACACTGTACAGAAAACCCTGAATAAAAAAAAATATTCACAGACTTCTCTTCACTACTATAAAAACACTTTTACAGGTTTAAAAATATATTATTCGAAGTTAAAATACGCCGTAACATAGATGAGGATTTTATAAACTACAGATAATCCCTTTTACTCCCAAATTATCAATGTTTTCACTATAAAATAAAGTTGCGGGCTCAATAAGTTAGATTTGAAAAAAGGTTTTTAATACTAATACAATTAAAAAATATGCCAGATTTGTATTTTCCAAATTTTTAACTTTTTGTTCTTAGCACCTTTCATGTGTTATTTATATTTTTAAAACTTATGACAGGTTGCAAAAAAAAAGTTATCAGATTATAAGAATTAAATAGCCTATAATTATAAGACCAGTAATTTTTAATGATGCATTTAATTAAAAATGTTTAAATAAAACTACGCTATGAGGTTTGAAATACATAAGCATTATGTATGTACTTGTTGTGTTAACACTTCTTTAAAATGTTTGTTCGTTTACTTTTAGATAAATATATTGTACCATTACTCAGTCAAATAAGGATCCTGTAGAAAAATACAAGAAATGTATGATACTGTGTAAAGTCATAAAAAACCTATAGGGGTGAAGTAAGTAAGATTAACTTTTAAAATGTTTTCATCAAAAGATATTGTACTAGATGTCGACTTAGATTGCTGTTATAAGCTCTTGCCTCAATTAAATTAACGTAACATAAATAAATTGAGACAAGCAGTAAAGAAAAAAAAGCACGTTTTCGACTTTTATTGAATTAAATAGGTTTTTTAATTTAAAGTAGAAGCAACATCAATCTACACAGATAAACATTAATATAGTTTTATAACGGAAAGTTTTTGTCAGAAATGTGTCTAAAATTCAAATTTTTTAAAAGATTATAATTTCAATTCTTAAAAAAAAGAAACAAAAATATTAAATTTTAATGAGTATTAATATTATTATATTATTATATTGTTTCTTGAAAAATTTCAATTTACAACATCTTATTTTTCACAAAACCCGTCCAATTAATTTGTAGAAATATGGTGTTAGTATAATTTTAAAAAAAATTAACCACCGCCACTAATTGATAATAAAAAAAATCATTGTGTAGTTACTAATAGGTAGAAATGTTTGTTCAAACTAATTAATAAATTTGAACATTATTTAAAAGTTTTAAACAATTTCAAATTAAAATATGCACAAACTGGAATTGTTTGCTTCACTTGAAATTTTTTTTTTTTAGGTCAATATTTTTCATAGATATTTAAACTATAGATCAAATTTGAACTAATAAGTAGACAACCAATGCTCAAAAAAAAAAAAATTATAGAACCAAAGCAGCTAAATCCACATATTATGTTCAAATTGTGTTTTACAAATATTTTTTACAATTTTATGTTACAGGTAATATTGAAGATGAACGAAAAACTTCAAAAATGTCATTGCCTATGGAATAGATATCATTATCTCTTATTTTTAAAAATGATTAAAAATTAACAACAGCACTCTTAATTTTTTTATGGTAATTCTTGAGTGCTGTACTAATAAAATAAACATCAATTAATCAATTTATTTTAATTTACAGGTTTACTTTTTACTTATTCGAGTATTCAATTCATATTCTTTAATACAATTATCAAAAATTTTGAGGAAGTGAACATATACCTTGCATTATTGTTTATAAGAAAACAGGTTAGAAATAGCACTACTTAATTTAAGTAGGAAATTAACAAAGAAATATATTTTTTAAAAGAATCATTTCCTTAAATTATTTAACATTTTTTTAAATGATATATTTTAAATAGTAATAAGGCAACCTTCTAATAAAACAGTAAATGCCAAGTACAAAAAAAAGGCAACAAAGTGGTTTTTACCGAGAGTAATCAAATCACATTGAAAAAGCGCTGATGTGAATGTGTTGGTAATAGAAGTATAAAATATCGATAACAATGATGTTAAGGTAAAAATATGCTTAAAATTTGACACAATTATTTTTTCAAATAATTTGTTACCGTTGTTACCAATAGACATCGCTATATAATATATATATATTAGGATAGTTCTTATTTGCACAATTTCTGAATTTCTATTATGCCGCCCCCTATTCAATTAAAAAATGAAAAATGTTAAGCCTATTTTCAACTTTCTAATCCGATCCTAACCATTCGCTGTAACAAGGAGAAGTTTTCTGTTAAAAATACCGGCAATTTTCCTATTTTAATTTAATTATTCTACTGCAAGGCCAAATAATTGACATGGTTTGTAAGTATCACTGTTTTAACGTTTCAATGTGAGTACTCAATATTACTTCATTATGATTGTACTGAAAATTTACTGTGCTAATATATTTTATATTAATACACACATAGCAACCTAGAAGTTTAATGTGATCCAAGTGTAATTTCCACTTTGGTTTTTTCTTAACAAAAAAAATAGTTAATAGATTTTAAGAAAATTGTTTATGTTATATTGTTATAGCATCACTCTAGATCTACCGTTTAATCTAATTTTAAAACCTTAATTTCTAAAACTATGCTCAAGAAAAAGAAAGTTTTCACCTCTTATAGGGAAAATGGATTATAATATTTTTTTGGATCATCAACATTTATTGTTAGTAATATTTCTAAAGTCTATTCCATCAAATTGAGAACTAATTTGACTGATATAAAAAAAGTAATAGCACGTCGTAATTTTAAGTAAAATATGAAAATTTGAATGCTGTTTTTCTCCATTTTGAAGGGGTGAACTATTAAAGTGTTTTACAAATAAAGTACCATCTATCTCAAACAACTATATTTTATTTAGACAAATTATCAATGAGTAATACAATTGCATGATTTATTATGATAGGCTAGTATTTCTTGTAAATAAATGATTTCATTGTTTTTAACGCTTATGTTCAATCTAATAGAGTCTATACATTTTAAGTAAAAACAAGTAGAAAAAGAAATTAATGTTTAATCAAACTTGTAAAAATATTGTAAAAAAATGTACTCAAGAAAAATACCAAGAATAGACAGAAAATTGAATGACCATTTAATTTGTCGTTAATCCCATAGATTTAGTGTATACTCAAAAAATAATTAAAACACGATTTGGTAAATAGATTTGTAGAATTAATCGGTATAAGATGTACCTAGTTTTAAAAACTAGTAAAAACTTAAAGTAATATTAAAAAACAAGGCTTACAACTATTGTCGGGTATTATAATAGATCACAGATATAATAGTAGTATCTATAAACGAAAGGAATACTTACAGTAATTCTACAGCTTGAGCGCTCATTTTTACAAACTTAAACGTTTTTCAAGTAGATTAGTAAAAAATATTTAGAAAAAAAAACAAACACGAATGTACGTTGCCAAATATTGTCACTAGTAAAATATAAATGTATAAAAATATGCTATTAGTAATAATGTGGCAGCAGACGAGAAATTTACTAATTTTGCATTAATTATTTCAAATAGTATAATAATTAATACTGAGTCGAGTAAGTAGTAATGCACAATGTGCGTTAATTTTTTTTATTTAATTGTTTTAAATATAAAAATTAGAAATCTAGGAAGTCGGCGTGTACGTTTTTTTCCGTCAAAATATATCATAAAAATCCTACTTAATTGTTAATAAAATATAATATTAAATAATATATATAATATATAATAATCGTCTATAATAGTACAATAAATGTAAACCTTAAATTCCAAAAGCCGTTTATTGATAACAGTGTGATAACGCTACAACGTCCTTGTCACTGGTAAAGCATGGCATAACATTGATAAGAACATTGCTCCGATTTCGGCGGCAAAATGCATTTGAAATGTTGATGGTACAAATAAATTATAATATAATAATTTGCTAAAAAATATTAAAGAAAGAATAATAATAGAGAAAACGAAAGTGTAAAAAACAAAAATGAGTCGAACCGATTTTGCTTTGTATACCATAGTCGTTGATTTGTACAGTGTACTGTAATTTGACTGTAATATTGACAAGACATTTTAAATGAAAAAGTACCTTTTTATAAATGTTCGCATACATTTCCTATCATGTTTTATTTATGTCGGACGAGATAACAAAATACAAAAATACGCTAGTACTTTTTTGGTATTAAATGTTTATTTTTAAATACTATTCTTTTACTTTTACTTGAGTAAATTAAAAAAAAAATATATTTTTATTAGGTATGTACCTATTAAATTCAAAATGTCAAACAAGTAATAACAATTTTCGCCAATTTAATATAAATCGCATCATTTGGTGCATTTATTTAAATTTTTTAGTGAAATATTTTTCAGTACAATTTAAAAAAAATATATATTTTTTACGTAATTTCAATAGAAAAATATTACAAAATATTTCGTATTTACTAACTAAATGTCAAAATAAAATAATATGTTCTTGTACGCTAAAATAATATTCTAAAAATTATACATTGTATAATACTTCCTTACTTCGTGGATAAAAACATAATTTTAATATTTTTCTATTAGACTATTAATATTACTTATTTTTTAAATCATTTTAAGCATTTATAGTTTAATTTAAAAACTAAAAAAAAATATACTACACTAAATATGTTAATTAAATCAGCATTTTTCATAATTAATTCGATTTTTTTTTAAAAATAGGTGCTAAATGTTTCAAAATAGTAATTGTCCTAGGCTGAAATTCAAAGCATGAAAACTCCTTGAAGGGACTCAAGTATCGTGTAGCTATATAGAATTCTCTTGTATAAAATACTATTATATTTGTTGTTTATTATAAATTATCTATGATAAGAACAGAGTAAGAACACATTCCTTAGTATTAATTTCAGTACTTCGCACCTCTAGTTCTCGATTTTTTTAAATTTGCCTATGAATATTTGTTGTGCCCGATCCGGCTGCAAATAAAAATAATATTCCTAATTCCTAAGCTCTTTTAAAATATTGTATTTCTCTATTGCTCTTTTAACCGTTATAGGTAAGTCTAAAAACAAGAGTATAGGTACTCTAATGTATATATTTTGTTTCATTTTGATTACTCAAGTCTAAGATATCATTGGATCGCTTGTACGATTAAACGCTTGACGGTAACATTTGCAAAAATTAGTTATGTAGGTATACAAAAAGTGTTTACAAGCCTTTCATCAATTAACAGTATTTATTTCTGAGAGCTTTACACTGTTCTTATTACAACAAAGACAGATAACGTTATTAGTTACCTCGCCTATCATTCATTTATCTGGAAAGAATAATTTACACAAGCGAATCTTTTTGTTTTTTCGGTTTTTTTTTAATGTTAGAATTATTGGTCTGGACTTTACACAAAACTGACAGTGGCAGTTATTTTTGCCTTTGATTTTGTATGTACATTGGTAGACGGTAGTTCATACTATGGATAAGTATGGGTCGGCACATTTAACAAAACTGTGTGGCGTTTTTTGAATCTATTAATAATTTAAAATATAATAATATATGTTGTAAGTTTCGTTGACTTGAAAATACATTTAAATAATATTTTTTTAAAATACCTATCAATGGTGAAAAAAAATGATTATATCTTTGTAGCTAAGAAACTACTTTGTTTTTTAGGTAAATTTGATTTAAAAATCGCACTTAAAATTATTAGAAGAAGTACACGATTTTTTCCAAAATCCAGTTTTGAATACCTAATGACAAGTATAACTATTTATTTTAAATACTCAGGATAACTAATTGCCATTTAAATTTAAAAACTTCATGAGAAATTAATTGTTGAAAAGAAAACTTATAGTGTTTGTGAAAAAATTGATTTGAACATAACAATGCCATAAATCTCCGTAAGTTTTGTACTCAAATTTATAGTCAAGCAGAAGTTTACAAAAATATGGTCTCTAGTAAGGTTTAAATCAGGAACTGAAATTGAAGGGTCCGGTGCAATAACGAGATAACTCCACTTTTTGAAATTGTTAAGGAGACATAAAAACAGCTTACTAACTCCCTTTTGATCAAATTACGGTTTTAAAAACAGATTTACATGCTTTAGATGTATATATAACAGTTTATCAAATCTTATTACTTTTGAATAAGCTAAAATCATTTAAATTAATTAATTTAAGTATAATTTAGTGGAAATATATTGATTTTTTGCCCCAAAATTAAAATCCATGTTTTTGTTTTTTTACATATCTCAAAAATACTCGCAACATTTACATTAAGGAATCTCAAAAAGCATTAACAATGTGTAATCCTACCTATAAATATAATCATCCAACTAATAGTGACCTTTCATGATGATTATATTGAGCTAATTCTGTGTTTTAAGGAGATATTTTGGGTTTTTGACCCAAAATATTAGTTTTCCGACGCAAACACAATGACACATTTTGAATAAAAACTGATATTATTGATAACTGATAAGTATCGTGATAACAGCAATATAATATGAAGGTTACAGTGGTAACAAATCGTTAGATTATATAATGTTGACATCGTTCGGAGCAAAAACCAAATATCTTCGGAGATATCTGGTACTTGCCCACAGCATTTTAAACCAGATATCTCCTTTTGTATGATATTAGCCGATCTATCGGTCGGAGATATACCGTTATTACACCTAAATGTAGACACAATTTTCCGCTATCAGAATATGTTAAAATATGCATTTCGAAAAAAAGTGGAGTTATCTCGTTATTGCACTGGATCCTTCAATTAAGGTACAAAAAAAAAAAAAGATATAAATGAAGATGACAGAAAAAACCCATAAAAATTGCAAGTTTACAATATTATAACTTCAATGCGTTTTATTATAATAATTTTAATTATATATTTTTTCTAAACAACACTTCCTTCTTTTTATTATAGCAATAAAAAATAATTTGTTATTCAAATTGTTTTTTTTCTACACAATATAATATTATTCTGCAGTTATATGTATATATAGACGGATACAATTACGTATAGTATATAATAGTAATACTTGGTGTCAAAAAAAAAAAAAAACAAATCATTCAAAATATTTTTTTTTTAAATTAAGTATGCGTTTTTTTTAAATATATAAGTAATAATAATAGTTATAATAGTTATAATTAATATATTTTTTACCTAACACATCCGCGACGTGTACATTTTTTTTTTAATAATTAACAACAATCCAAACAACAAATAAAACGACTATACAATGTTTTTTTTTTAATTTTTTTTGGGGGGGGGGGAGGGGAGAAGTCTTCTTTTATATCAGCTATTTTAATTATTATTCAACACAATACTTATATGTATATAATATAAGGGTATAAATATATATATATATATCGTTTACTGTGACTGTTTTGTCTTAAATTAAATGCACACGAATTGACATAACTAAGTACAGGACGATGACCAGCATATAATTAAACTTTATTGAGCAAACTGAACGCGAAGCGGACGTTTGGACGGGCTCTCTGTTTCGACTATTTTTCGTTACGCTCAATATAACCGTAGCTTCCACCAATGTTTTACCAGAACCGACGATCAGGTTGTATTCACCACTGTGAACAGGCGTCGCCGAATGTATTGTCAGGGCGGTCACTTGGCAATAAGAAGATGTAGATTGCTGAAACGATACAACAAACGGGTCATGAGTGAAATATACAATAAAAATGCAATATAATCCAAGTATGATACAATACAATAAATTACATGTCTAAAATATACATAAACAATGTATAATCGAATAAATGAACAACAATGTCATCTTTATTCAAATAACATTACTGCAATAATATATGTTTATTTAAATTAAAAAATAAAATGTTGTTATTCGAGTAATAAAAGTATAAAATCATGTTTTTTATGTGCTTTTATTATTATGCTAATATTATTTTATTATGGAAATTCTTTCGTCTTTTTGTCAAACTATTATACAACATAAATATTATTCGATTTTCATTTTATTCATAAAAAAAATATGATTCACGATTTTTTCTATTCGAATTCAATACTCAAATAATTTTTGTTATTATTTAACCTAAATGCCCAAAACGCACTGACTTCACCCTATAGGTGCATTTTTATCCGACTCAATCCACACATATGAAATATATTGAATAATAATTTACCTAATAAAATATAATAGAAAAGGTAAAAAATAATACAATTATTGTAGTTAAATGCAAAAACAATGACAAAACCTACCACAAAAAAGACACACTTTTCAATAAAGAAGAATAGGCTTCTAAACTGAATTGGACTATTTTCTATGAGATAATAAACCATGGATACATTTACGATTAATCTTATTGCTCGTAACTCAATAGAAAAAAACAGTATAAATTGATTAAAATAAATTTCATAATAAAAATTGTTATTATTATAAACAACATTATTGCCTAACACTTTTTTTTTAAATCAAATAATTTATCTTGCTATCTTGTTATTTTTTTTTGACAATTTATTATATTTATTAATTACCTACAGGGTGATTTTGAACAAGACAATATTATTATAAATAAGAGAAGGTACGCGAGAAGCAGTTATGTTTCCAATAATAATTATGCTTGAAATATGATATTCTGGACATGTAATGTATAACGTTGGAAAAAAAAATTACCACCTAACGGATAACATAATATTTGCTGACGTCTATACTGTGTATTAAGTTTTTTCTTATTAATGATGGGTATTCCTGTCATTCCATAAAAATGTTGCCGTTATACCTAGCGCAAATTTTGGGATGTTATATTATATCCCAACAATCTTTTCCGTCATATCCTACCGTTTATTTTCCCTTTTTACTTTTTGCAAAACCCAAAATAAAATATTTAGAACAATGCATTTTATCTTATAGCCAAAGTATCGACTCGAAAGTGCACCTATCTTAATAGTTTTAATTTTGATACAAATTGTAAAAATATGTGATCAAACTCTTTCAGGAAGTACTTATTCAATTATTTGAACTATCACCGTGTTATATTTTTTATATTTATTTACATTTTATTTTTACTTTTTGATTTATTAATATTGTAAATACATTTTTTATGAAATAATAATTTAAATCGCTCTAATATAATTTTTATAATACTTATAATATTTTATTGATACGTTTTTATAATAACATTTGTGTATAGTATTGCCCCTAATTTCTATAGTATTTATAGTTGGAATAGTCACCCCCACCACCCCAAAAAAAATATATATATATATTGGAGGCTGGAGCAATAATTTTTTACTCTCCAAAAGCATTTTTTTACATAATTTAAAACTGGTTTTCATCATTGATATGTAATTCTGTTAATCTTCATATAGTAATTTTTTAATTCGATATATCGAAGAAAACTAATAAACGTCACGAACATCAGAGATTACATTTAAAATATAATTTTCATTTTACCGGGATGTAAAAGTTACAATTTACCCTTTTGGTTCTCTTATCGCAGTTAAATAATTAGGAAAATAATCGTTTGTGACTTGTGGAAATAATTGTGCGTGTGTGTGTGTGTGTGTGGATATCACAAAAAATGTTCTAACGGCTTAGAAATATTTTTTATTTTATTTTTTACGATTTTGTGACCAAAAACCTTTTGCCGGGCAAAACCGAATTACCGATTCCGGCGAGCCAAGGTGAGATTTAAGCATTTTGAATATCAAACGAACGATCGACAGCCAGCCGGGAATACTTAATAAGGGGGCATAATATTATTATTGCTTTCTAGTCATTTGTCGGAATTGTAAAAAAAAAACCGGAGAGAAGGAGACAGAAATCCATCAGTAAAAACGAAGGGGATGCGACTCGGATGGCTTTGCAACGACGTTTGAGGAGATAAAAATAAAAAGGGAGGGCGGTTTGACGTTCGGGACATGACGAGTAATAATGAGGTGGAAACCGTGGAAAAAGATAGAGGCGGCGTTTTACCAAGGCCGGCAGGGGAATTAAGGAAACGGCAAGACGTCGCTGACAGTGTTGAGCAAGACATATTGAAAAAGAATACCTTAACACCGGGTCCGGCGGTGATAAATGTCTCGCGTGTTATTTAATTTACGACTTACGGTGACGGTATGCGCCTCGAGTTGGCCGGCCGCCGTTCCGGGTCGAATCACTCTGTCGTTGGCGATCCAAAGCACTTTGTTGGCCATCGGGTTGGCGCAGAACTCGGCCGAGAGCCGGGTGTCGTCGCCCTCGTGCACTACCACGGTTCTGTTTTCAATGTAAATCACCGGACCGCCTGGAAATCGACGGGAAATTATTATGAATTATACTTATTATACATCATCATAATCTTATCGTAGGGCCATTAAGTGTACTTAAGCAGATACCGTACCTTATATGTTTTGAGAGACCGGGGGAGGGGGGGGGGTCGGTTATTAGTAAAGCAATGAGGGTACTTTATTATGGGTAACTTTTTCGTGTATCTACGAGTGGCTTATTTTTTTTTATATCGTACCGTTTGCATATAGTTTATTTTAAATAAGTTTTTCGCTCATTTTCTCAATAGGTACATATTATCGAAATTTTAATGACAAAACCACGTACAACGGGTTTTTTGTAATGTAAAATAAGTTTTTATTTAAACTATTAATGTAACAGAAAACGGCAAATTAAGTTATTATGTAAATTCAACTTTTGGTCATAGAATAGATAATATAAGTCATGATAAAAACTTTAACTTTTCCCATCAATACAAAATATTCATAAAGTAATAATTATTCAGTATTAATGAATATAATTATTTATCAATGCGAATTTTACTTTTATATTTACTACTTCTATTTGTGATTTATGAACAATGAAGTACGTATTATTTTTTTTTAATTTATTAATTATTACAAAGTGATTTTCTAAACTAAAACACTAAAAACTAATTCTAATCATTAGACATAATATGATAATATGATTTAATGGATTTTCTTGAAACTTTCAACTAAACATTTCTGTTAAGGTAAAATGTTGTAAATATTCTACAAGGTTTATTTGAATATACATAATATTATGTATGCTAGATCAAGTAGCAATTTTATCGCGTCCGTGATTTGTTTTTATTTTATTTTTAAATATTTTATCGGAGAATTTGCTAGAATTATACTTTTAACGAAGAGGTATTTTACCGTTTGAAATTCTTACAATATTTTTATGTTTTATAACTAAATCGCATTTGCCGAGGTTCTGGTTAACGCAGATTACTCGAAGACGGTCCTCGGGTCGTTTCTGTTGACCTTAATAATTAATACCTACTTAAAACATTTGCCCGTAAAACCATATTGCGCGACTTTCGAAGGGACTATTGAATGTCGAGTTTCCCCAAATCGCAATACAACGCAGGGTCACTAACAGTAAAGAGTTAAATTATTAAGTTTTTGGCTTGCATATTTCACCAGAGTTTATTGTAGAAACTATAACGAAATAGACAAGTACTTTTGACGGAACAAGATATGACAGAGGTATTTCGGAGGCATTTACAGAGATCAGGGAGGGAGGAGGGACGCTTGGGGTACTAAACATCTTAAAACTTAAAATTAGCGCGGTTGTTAGTAAGTGCTCACCGACAACGTTCAAATGGACCGTGTAAACCCTAAGCTTTTCGTGGTTTTTGTTCTTGTTGCCGACGATGCACTTGTACTCGCCGGCCTCTTGGTACAACACTTGTTCGATGCGAAGATGACTGCCTGGGCCGACGGGTTCTAGTCGGTTATCGGCCGTGGACTTGGCCCAGCAGGGTATGGCCGTGCTGGGACCGGACGGGCATTCCAGTTGCACTTCACCGCCGACGGTGACTTCGACCGATTCCACCGAACCGGCTCGGTCCTCCTCTTCGATCAGTTCTTTGCGGACCGATTCCAATTCCTCCGTGTTGTCTGGCAACAATGAACAAACGCGTTTTATTTTTTAAGAAAACAAATTATAAAACCGCTACCGCTATTGGCTTGTGTGTCTTACATCTCACGTTCAAAAAGTAACCGATGGACGAGTACTCGGACAGCAAGTGCCGGCTGGTGCACTTGTACCAACCGCTGTGGTTTCTCCTTATGGACGTGAAGTTCAAGTAACCGTCGTCGGTCTGCAGGACGGGAGGGGCGCTGTCATCTGTTGACGGACACAAGTAATGGCGGTTTAAGTACAAGATAGCTCTTAGTAACTAATGCTACGAATATCGATCGTTAACAGAGATGGCCAACATGACGTCAAAGTATCAAAACAGTATCAGCAAATCACACAATCTGTCAGTTGATCCGAATACTTATTGTAGCTGTCAATTTAACTAACTTATGATTCCATCAAAATGTATCGAAGAGTACATTTATAGGCACATTGTGGTTTATGAGTGTATCGGTGGTTTGTATAGTTTATCCGGAGTTGGGCAAAATGCTATTACATAATAACGGTTGACAACTAAAACAATTCGAATGGCTTATCGATTGAAATAAAAAGATAATAAAGTATAGCTTTTACGATTTTTTAATTACTTATATTAAATTTAGGAAAAATAAATAAATCACAAATTCCAAGTGCGCAATCAACAGAGTAGTTCGTAGAAGTGGGATTTTGCTGAAATTCATTGGAATTGACATCCAAACATCAAACGATATTCGAGTTTATTTCTGTACAGGTTATTAAATTTCATGTTACAGTTTTTTTTTCTGAGAAATTGTTGTTTTCATTAAAAATGTTTCAATCCTTACTATATTTAATGATCAAAAATCATATTATTTAAGTTAAAAATATTATTTTATAAAGGAATAACGAGGGTTGTCTTTTAAAAGTCAAATAACAACTAAAATTTACCAATAAAAACAGAATAGTGAGATGGAAATAATGAATGGTCGATAACCAGTTTTTGATAAAATACTTCTAGAGGTATTAGTACTTAAATCTGAAGGTGATATAGACTGTTATATTAATTATACCCACACGCACATTTTCATGGGAAATATAAATATTTTGTGTGTTGTTATTGTCGCCATTGAACTTTAGACAGTTATCCTTTAAAACAATATTCTTTTTACTAATTTTTTTATTACTGAATGTAATAAGGATTTTATTTTTTAACCTTACACGATTATTTGGTAGACAAAATTACTGTAACTAGACACTTGTATGATGATCCTGTACAGTTATATAATAATCAAATAAAAAGTAATTTTCTCTCTGGGCAGATTATCATTAACCGTTAATAACAATTACCTTTCTGCCAGACGGGCGACGACGGTGGATTGGAGTCGACGTCGCATTTCAGAGACACCGGAATGCCTTCTCTGACGGGTATGCCGAAGCCTGGAACTCTGCTTATGCCAAACGACGGAGTGTCTGCAACAGTATAGCGCGTTATTTATATAAACGATTTTGATTGTTATTCAACAAAAAAAAAAAAAATGAATTTTAAGAGATAGAGCGAGAGGGTTGCCTCACATTGGACGTCCAGAAGTATGGAGGTGTTCAAAGGGTTGACAAGGGTAACGTGGGTGACAACGCAAGCCACTGTGGCGTTATGGTGGGCCCGGAGAACCCTTTGGATTTTGGCCGAGCTGCGACTGACATCTTTTTCTTGATAGGAATCGTTGGACTGTAACACTGCCGAGGCCAGGTTTTCGTCGTTGTCGAAATCGTCGTTGTTGTTGTTGTTGTTGTTATTGTTGCCCGGGAACAGCAGCCAGTGTAGGGACGGCACGGGATTTCCACCTTCGACCACACACTCTATGCTCAGGTCCATGTTTTCCTTGACGGGCACGAACAAATTTCCCGGATCCAGACGGTGTCCGTCGATTAGTAAGTAGGGTTCTTTGGGAGTTTCTAAAAATAAAAAAGAGAGAATATAATTGAAACACTTAAACGGTTTTCTCAACCATGACCGACATGGCATAGACCAAACTGAAATAGGTACGATCGCAATGCAAAATTAATTCACACTAGCTGCGGTGACGCCCTTTTTATTGCCACCCCACTGGTCGCCCCTCATTTCTACTTGCACTGCTATTCCTAATCCCTTCGTTTTCCACTTTTCCATCTTTCTTGTCTCTATACTACCCTTATCTCTTTTCCACCGTTTCCCTTTTGACGCCGATAAGGCGTTTGTAAGTAATTACAATTAAATAGCCGCACCATTACCGTTTGTGATTTATAAGGAAAACTTGGAACCCCAAAAACATCCCTTTAAAATTAATGTTTAATTATAAGACCTCCGCAGTTTCGATCCTAATGTGAATTGTTCACTCAGTTTTCAACTGAAGGTAAACATAATAACAGTGTGTTATTTATGTACCTATTAAAATTGTGAAAATTAGACCGGCGAAAGAATTATTTTTTTTATATTTTAGTTTATTTTATATAATTAAAAAAAAAAAAATTTCATGGATTCCTTAATTTCTGGAAAGTAATTAGTAATGTACATATTTGTATTTAAATTAAGTTCACCATTAAAAAGTTATAATAATATAATATTGTAAAATATAAAATAATTATAAAAAAAATAAAACATTTAAAATTAGAATAATAGCGAGAAGCGTTGAAGAAAAATAAGTAAGTCTGAAATAGAGTTTAAAGTCTATTATTGAGATTGGTTGGAGAAGTGAATATTTTAGAGTTTAGACATAATACTTTAACTTTACACTACTCTCAATAAAGAAAATAAAAAACACGTTACTATTCTATCTGGGGAATAGGGTTTTTTCTGTTCATAGCTAATGTATTAAAACAAATTAAAGATTTTTCGTTCACGTTCCTCAAAAGAAAAACTTTGATCCCGACACGTTTCAAACAAATTCTTACGACGTGTTCAGTCTAAGTATTGGACAAATTAATGACTAAAGTCATATGACAGTTTATTTAGGAGTCGCAACAAAGTGGTCGCGATTAGTGTTGAAAAGATAGACAAATGTGGCAAGAACGATGATTTTGATTGACCGAACCTATTTGAACGTTAATAGGCGACGGAAAAAAGAAGACATTTTAACATTTTTTAATTATTGTCAATTATTAATTTAATTATTTCACGTTCACGTGGAACCGAGACTTAGAACTTCCCCTTTTTAAATTTCAGGAAAATTGTTTTCTTAACGCTCTACAATTGGCCCTAGCTGCTGTTTATCTATTCATTTACGGATGAATATAATATAATAGAAGAGCTGCTAATAGATGGAAAAACACGGTTTATTATTTACCTAAGACTACCAAGTTGATCGCTCTGGCCACTTGTTTTTCGTTGACGCATTGCCATATACCGTTGTCGTCCGTTCGGATGTTGCTGATCACCAAAACGCCAGAGTTATGATTCAAGTTATACCTGTGCCCCAAGTCCACGCTCTTGCCGTTATGGAGCCATCTGAAAAGTGTTTTCACAACGGATTAGCACATGCGATAGTAAATAACAGCGGCCGCGTCTAAAAGGGGCAGACACGGGTTTTATATTTAAGATGTAAACAACACAACCGAATGAGGCATTTGTAATATTACGGTTTTCTAAATAACGTCTCGTTTTCAAAGTAAACAGAAAACGCATTACACCGAAACCGAACGGCGCGCGTTTAGTTTGTACCGAACTTGTTGTTTGTACAAGCGCACGGCTTATGCGGGTAGAACACAAATTGAACAAATTAACGATTTCAGACGTTGTGGTGCTATAGAGAGAATTATTACAATAATAATAATAATAAATATTTGAAACCTTTTGTGTTGTTCCATAGCAAACTCAGCGACGCCAGAGTTCTCGCCCCACTCCTCCTAATGATGTGCGAATCGTCCAACAAAAACAGCCTTTGTGTGTGTTTGTGCGAGCGGCGTTTGTTATTAATGGACATTTTAAAACACAAGGAGAACCGACACCGGCCAAAGGGGAGGTTTTAAGTAAACTCGGCATTGTGTTTATAGCTTTTCGGTTTCCATTTTTAAAACAACGTTTTTCTTTTGCTGTTTTCTTCGGCAACGTCGCCACAACAGTGTTTTTGCAGTCGTTACAAAAACACTAGCCCGCGGCTCGGTTTTGGGATCATCTTCACTGTGAATATAGATATAGTGCTGTCGGTTTTCATTAATACTTTAGCGTTTTTTTTTCTTTTCATTATTATCTCCAGACCAGTTCAGCTACATCGCCTAAACATTTGCCTTGGGCAGTTAGCGTGCACGCGCTGGAGATATAATCTAAACCTTGCTGTGGAAATTGAAGTGCTCTGTGCATACAGAGACGGGAATATCATAAAAGTGGCGACAAAATATTTTAAAAGATACACGCAAGAGAGATAACAGACCGGACGAGCAGAGAGCAGAATGTATGAGAAAACGTAATTATTTTTATTTCCCATTTTATTATCTTATATCATATTTCACCCGTCACTGACGTGCCAATCGTTTGGCGACCGTATCGAACGGATATGTTCAAATTCAATACATTTTTATCTAATTCCCATCTCGACGTTCGACTGCGGACTTTTGATTATATAACACTGTATATATTTCCAGTGCAAAGACGGTATACAGTGTAAAACCGTACGTTTTATGGGAAACTCGAACGGGCGTCGAGGCAGCAACTTTTGGAAAATCCACTTTTGGAACAACACACACGGTGTTGAAGAATATTTCGTTTTCCGTAGCTTTTATTGTATTAACATATAGGCCGACGCCCAGAGTTTATATGTATAACGAAATAAGAGAAAAAGAGGGCAAACGGCAGGAACTGAGATTTCAGTAACGGGGGAAGACACTGTCGTGTGCGAAAGGAAAGGAAATTGAAAATGAAAAATCCTATTTGACTCTGCGAGGCTGGAAAATAGTAAATGACGTGTGGAAAGATGCAGAGTTCAATAGAGAGTAGAAAATGTGTCGTAAGGAGATTACCGTCGAACCCGGTGAGAGTGGAATACGTTTTTATACCAATTAGGACGAAGAGGATTCGAAGGTAAGCGCATTGGACTTTTCACACACTCGACTAATGTTAAAAGCGAACGCAATTTGGAAATAGACATTTTCGAAGAAGCAAATTTCGGATGTGAATCCGATAATGTGGATTAGCTGTAATGTGTTGAGAAAATCTGGTTATTTTTCGACGGTCGGATGCTATAAAATATCAAAATCTACACCGTGGAGTTACTTTATATAAGTACATTTACTTATTATCGACGATAGAATGCGCTTATTAGGTATACCGTAAGCTGATTATGATAAATAAATGATGAATCCTCCCTTTACGTTAATTGGCCAATTTAAAATATTGGACTGACAATAAAATTAGATTAGAAAAAATTCACAAACAAATGCGGTTATTGATCCAATTATGTAATTTTGACTATTCCCCAAGGCTGTTGCTTATGGTTAAAAGTTATTTTCCACAAAAGTTTTATTTTATATATATATTTCTACTATATATACAAACGTTTTTGCGAAGTCACTGTTGTGTGTAACTCGATTTTCTCAATGCCGAAATTATCTCTGAAATTCACTCTTTGGAAAATATATTCTTATAGTAACAGAACTCAAACAGACGACATATCGTATTGATCATTTAGTTTGCGAATTATTTCCAAACGATTATTCAACACCGAGCGTGTACCTTATGCGTTGCTTCAAAAGTTTTTAAAGGCTTTTGCGTTTTGTTTGACTTTAAACGCAGTTGTTCAAAAGCCTTTCAGTGTGTACCTGCGATAAGTCGGAGCATGACACACCACATCAAAGGGTCGAGTAAATCAATTTGATAACACAACGCACTAACCGCGTTATTATTATGCTATAATATAGAAGTGAAAAGCCCAAAGTTTTAGTTTACCGTATTAATAGAAGTGTTGTATATAAAGTAGGTATATATTACCTGCGTATATAAGTACTTTAGACGGGCAATTAAATTGTCTCGCTTTCGTGTCATTTATACAGTAAACCTAGCCTACACTAATTATTATTTACAGCGTTTAACATAGCGAGGCAAACTTTTGCGATGCCGTTTGTGAGACCTGACTTTGACGTAGTGCGGGTAAGTCAATTTCAGACCTTCTGTAACGGCTAGAACACGGTTGTCACCGTCAAAGCTGGCCTTTGACGTCTCATCGCCTCTTAGTCCATTCTACACTTATATTCTACCATCCCTTTGATCGACGGTCCGCTCAGCCAATAAATATATATATATATATATATATATTACATATACATATTTCCCGTCTGACACGGTCGTTATTCAGAATAAATATACATTTTTTCTTTTCTTTAAACTCTGTTGAATGTATATATATAAATGGAGTATTTCTAGCGAGCCTCGTTCGGATCAGATTTGAAATTTAAATCAAGCAAAACGCCAGCCGAGAGCACTTAAAAAAATCAAAATAATATATCGAAAGTCCCTTAGCGATTCCCTCCCCCCTCCATGTCGAATTTGTGACGTGAGTCGTACCAACCTAAATCGCGGCGCAGTGGTGCCAAACCACGCGAACGACAAGAGGCACTCGCGCGCTTTTGTTATTAGAACGGAAATAATTTATTCTTTGATAAACTCCCAAGTTATTATTATTTATTATTGTTCGAGGTGAAGGCGCCCCCCAATGTATTGGAACGGTGGGAAATGTTTTCCATGCGCCTGTAGTTTATTGTTAGCTTTAACGTTGCAGTAGTATATTACAGCATTCACGGTTGGTAAATTTTTACAGCCGTAACGTTCGGTTGTCGGCTTACGACAAAGAATAATTCTGAAATACGACTTTGGTAAGGAGAAAACTCAATTCGAAAACCGCAATATATATTTTGTAAAATTATTATTTTCTAAAATATAACATAACTTATAGACGCTGCCGTGTAAACTATGTTTGAAAAAACTTCAAAATAGATGACCGGTTTTACAGCCATATTAATAGTATTAAAATATTTTAATGGTTTATTTGTAAAAGATGCTATTAGTAAAAATTTTAGCAAAAATTGTTGTATGATAAAATTATGTTTAAAAATAGTAGATGTTACGCTAATCGTTAAGTACTAATTAATATTTTTAGTTTTTTTTACAATACATTTTTTAATTAAAATTATTAAAAAAAACATGTTAGGTATTATCATTCAATGTAATATTAGACACTATACATCAGAATAAATAAAATACATTATAGTTAGAATTTATGAAATTATCACTCATACCCTTAATTTGTATTTAATACTTTTTCCTGACGTTGGCTTATGAAAGGGGTAAAATTACACACTATAAACTGCAAACAGTTATACATATATTATATTATCTATATTTTAGTATTAATTTCGCGTAATATGCCTGAGAAAATAGATTTACGGTTATATATTTGTAATATTTATAGTAAAATGTATGAATGAAAAATATATTTTCAAAAATTAGACTGCACATCCGTTCAAAATAGTCTTGTGGTCGATAAATTCAAATTTGCTATCAGTTTTTAACTATCCTCTTAATTAGGATGTTAACTTAAGTGATCAAAATCCTGATTATGTCACTAAACGAATTTTAAATAAACACCATTACAATGTTACAAAATTAAATGTTTTTGATACGCGTAAATTAGTTATTATACTATGTGCTATATGTATTAATTTTGGGGTTGTTTATTCTTAGAAATTCTTTCTGGTGGCAAAGTTTATTTATTTACAAGAAGACATAGTAATAACTGATGTAATTAATTGTTTTTTATTAATTAAAATTTTGTCTTTACTTGCCTGAAATTTTTTATTTAATTAGTAAAAATCGCACAAGTATAAAATGCCAATGGACGATTGATGTCATCGGCTAAAATATTTAAAAGTTTTTTTTGCTTAGAAATTACTCAATGTATTAAAGCGAGTGAAAACACTAAAAAAATAATGAAGCTTTATCAAAATATGATGAACAACCCCACACTGAACCGGAGCGTTGCCATTAATGTTTCTTTGGAACTCCATAAAATGTACGGTTCAAAGTTGAATGTCTTTTTCTTGGTGATACTGTCTATAACTATGTCTGGAAGAGATAAAATCGCCTCAAGTAAACCATTAAATGACAGCGAAAACACTATAAAATCAATACCGACGCGATAAAATCGTGGGTTTATTGGTTTAAAAGACTATATTGCTAATGGTTTTTTTTCTTTATAAAATAAATTTCTGTCTATTTTTCAGGTCTTCAAGTCCTATTACCTCCGTCAGACTTTACTCGATACCTCATTTTTGAACGCAAATATCAGATTTACGAGTACTGTTGAAAATCAGGATGTGGGTAAGTTTAATATTTATATGATTTAAGCGAAGCTAGAATTGTACACATTTTAATATGAAGATTTCATTAAAAAAACTCTTGTAAAATAATAAAACCACGACTATTATGTAATTGTATTAACATAATGAGAATGGTAAGAA